ATTTTTCGTCCTTGTCCGAGAAGGCTAGGTGTAGATCTTTCCTATAGAAGATCAGGGGCGTGGCTGAAAGACAGCAGTAAGAAGGAGCCAGGCAGTAGCAGTAGAAAGGCTGCAGAAAGAGTCAGGAGCCCAGAGGACGGGGAAAAGGAGGAGGGGGCAGAAAGTGGAGACGAAAGCAGACGACAGAACATTGCTAGATAGCAGGAAAGGAGGTGAGGGGGTGGGGCAGAAAGTGGAGACGAAAGCAGACGACAGAACATTGCTAGAGAGCAGCCTGAAAGGAGGTGAAAGGAGACAATTTTACATTTTGAGAAAACAAATAATTTTCTGTCACTACCCGGATTCGAATACGGGACCTTTGAATGAGAGGCGAACACCTTAACTTCTAGGCCACGAGAGCCCCCCCCCCTGCCTCACTTCACCTTGGTAGGAATGGGTACCCGGCTATAGACAGCAAAAGATCTCATTAGTTTGTTAGTGTCCGCGCGCTTAATCAGCTGCTAACACTGTGTATGCTTCCAAGGAAGCCCAGAATGTTTCTGAGTACTTTTAGATCGATTGGGGTAAAAATAGTTGTAAAGCACATAGTACATGATGCTGTAAAGCATGGAATATGCACTATATAAATGAAATTTATATTATTGTAAAATTTATTATTATCATCATTATTGTAGAAAATGTGTGATGTGTACAAGGCCATTGAAAAAACTTTGCCAGCACTCACAAAGAGGACTTCAGTGGCAGAGTGAAGTGAGCTAAGGCATTTCAAATTATACTTCAGTGACCCACAGAGTTTAGGTGGGTGGTGGCTGGGTGTTCAGCTGGGTCCTTAGCATGACCTGACAATCCTAGCTCAAAACAGAGCATTGCACACTGGCCACAAGTGGTATGGCATGTTAATGTGATACTGTGTATTGAGCAGTGCCAATAGATTATAGCACAGTGTGTAGTGATATAACATGTTGCTTGTTTGCCATTGAAGAACAAAATTTCCCCAAGAGGATCAATTAAAGCGGAATTCTATTCATGAATGTTTATTTATATTTTTATAAACAATATTTTAAAAGTAAACACTTTTACTTCGAAACCAGTCTGATTTGGGCAGAAGAGAGTGTAGAACCAATGCGTCTCTCAAGGGAAGGAGAGTACAGTGCTATGACAATGATCCTGATAGTCAAAGCCCATGAAGTGTAAGGGTATAGAGAACAGATGGGGAAATGTGGAGGGGTTGAATTACTATGTCTCAAAGAGGAAAGCATTTAATCAATGGTATTTAATCTCTCCTTGGGGGCCAAAATAGGCCCGCCAACAGATTCCATCAGTCCCCAAAGGAACAACTTTTAAAATGTCTCGCGGTTAGCAGAGACATATTTTTTTCTAAGTTACTTTACTTTTCCAAGTGACTCATTATTTAATGGCTTTAAATTTTAAGAATCTAAAGTCAGTCTGTCTTATTAAAGTAAAAACCAGGAAACTGTCTTCCTATCCCAAGCTTCTTTCCACTGGTCAACCTCCCCTTCCCCCCAATATAAGACACTCGTTGAGGGAAGTCTAATATCACATGACAATGATCGGATGCTATCTCGGTATTCATAAAAAGACATGATCTGATGACTGTTTTAAAAGAAAGATGCAACTACAAAAGACTATGTTGTATGTGTACATGTACGATAAATTTAGAATCCATAAAACCATAGGAGGAAGGACTTCCGTAATGAGTAACCATTAAACAAACCCAAAAGAAGGGACCTAACCCTAACCTTTTGTACCCTAACCCTTTATCAAGAATTTTGTAGTGGTCGTTGAACTAACAGTAACAGAATTCCTCCCAAACCTTAGTTACGTCTGTTCAGACAGAGGATGCATACATGCCTATAATGGGCACATTCTATTATTTATCTTCTGGAATTGAAAATAGATCTGAAAGTTTACAATACACATTAACTAGATCTAGATCTATACTATACCAAAAATGATAGTTTTTTTGCGCTTTTTCGGTAGTTCCCATTCCGCCATTGTAATTCGCGGGTTTTGGCCCCAAGAGTAGGGGGGTTTCAGGGAGGCTTGCCCCCCCTGACCCTGACCTACAAAAATAGGGTGGGGGGTTTCAGGGGGGCATGCCCCCCTGAATTTGAACATAATTTTATGTTTTGCAATTAGCCTAGGTTTGATAGGCTATCTCTCCATATCGGCAAACTCATCAAAAAGTAATCATTTAGAACCAGAAGTAATCGTCGGTGGGGTCTAAACTAAATATCCCCTAGCGGGACCCAGATAAGTAGTACTGAAATCTAGTCTAAATATCTAGAGATCTAAATCTAGATAGATATCTAGATCTAGAGTAGTAGAGATCTAGATTTAGATTCTAGATTAGATTCTAGATTGATCTAGATTAGATCTAAGAAGGGTTGACTGCACAGCACATGACATAGCTTTTTAATAATATTCCTTTTGATTCTAGATTCTAGATTCTAGATTAGATCTAGATCTAGATCTAGATTCTAGATCTAGATCTAGATCTAGATCTAGTCTCTAGATCTAGATTTAGATCTAGAGTCTAGAATAGATCTAGAAAATCTAGATTATAAATTATAGATCTAATCTAGATTTTAGATCTAAAATCTAGCTGTTTTTTATAGTCCGTGGTGCCCCGTTTTGTCAAAAGCCCTTGAGTCAATCAATGAAATATTTGAAAGATCGTTCTGTGCTTCAATACATCCATGATTAGCATTGATTGTTGACATAGGCCAGAACTAGGACTCCAGAACTGTCAAAAAACAACAAAAACAACACCGACACCGACCTGAAAAGTTCACGATGCTCCTCGAAATTCAACTTTTTCCTTTTCTTTTCGCTCATCCAATATCCGACACGTTTCATGATGCTGGCAGAAAATTAAGCAGTATCCATGCAAGAAAACAAGAGAGACATCAGGTGCCAACGGTCTGGTCGTTAATAACAGTTACATTAGTTACTTCGCCACGGGCTGTTCGGACTGGATTGAGTTCACTTCAGTGACTTGCTTTGCCTCAGTGAATATCGAGAGAGGCCGAAAAAGACCCCAAACTTAGAGAGTTCTATAAATAACGAAACAATGGATGATTCATTCATGAGTTCATTCGTTGTAAAAAGAGTTCGCTAAATTAAGAAAACCCTAATGTTCTCTTTGCCGTTTTACCAGTCAATAATATTATGACGAAATAGCCGATGAGTAAATAAACGCCATAGTTCTCTAAGATGTAGGTCAGTTACCGTAAGCTTTATAAAGTTAAAAATCTGATTACAACCTTTTGGACTGATAACATGCAAGTTCTGCTTGTGCTGTCGCCTGTTATTTCTGTTTGTTCGGGTTGTTATATTTCCCGTACAGTGTTCTACCAGAGAAGGTTTACAACTCTCTGGTTCTACAGACTACATGTACCCCCCTCCCCCCGCGCGCACACACGCACATAACACACACAACACACACACACACACACACACACACACACACACACACACACGCGCGCGCGCACACACACACACATATGCACACACACGGTCACTATCATCATCGTCAAGTGCCTGATTCTAGATAGATCATAATTTTCTGTGAATTCTTTTTCTTGCATACGTGTGATGCTCTCAGGGTTGCTCTCTGTAGTTACAGTACGCGAAATAACAACCTAAACTAACAGTGGCGACAGCACAAGCAGAACATGCAAGTTAACAGTCGACCTGGTTGCTCTGGGTCTACCCCTCTCGTTTGTCCTCAGTTTTGCCAGAGAGCGAGATTCAAAGCCTTTGCCTATGTCTATTCAAGTGTCCCAGAAACTGCATTTTTTGGGTCTTTTCTTTATTGTTTTTATCAGCGATCTCGCGCGGTCCGCGTGGGCTTCTTCAAGTATGTGCAACCTCAATTTGATTTCTTTTCTTTCAAAGAAATTCCCAGTAGTCTCACTCCTAAGAAACCACTTTTCCGTTGCTTCTATTTTATTTGTACTCTATTTGGTGACTAACCAGCCTTCAAAGCCATATAGAAGGGTTGGCCACACAGCATTTAACGTTAATGTTGGACAGCTCCGAGTCTTTGTGGGTGTCCGCCGGAGGTTTCAGGGACATGTTGAAGTAATGTAGCGCAGTGAGGAAAATACTCCGTGTTTTTTTGTTTTGTTGCCGTGTGCAATAAATGTATTTTGTTGTTATTGCTGCTGTTGTTATTCAGCTGTTGTTGCTGCTTTTGAAGTTAAATAGGCCTACCCCGCGAAAAAAGTGATTTGTTTATTTTAGTAAGCAACACAATTAGGTAATAGAGCCGAAGATTAGACGTGGTACGAGAGAGTGACAAGCACAATAAAGAAGGAATAGAGATAATGGCAATAGAAAACACTGTAGAATGTAGATGTTTGATGGGAATTAAGAAACAAACCACACGTCTGGGCTCTTCATCAAGCAGAAGGCGAGGATTTTGATTCTCCTGTAGGGAAGTTCCTTTCACATTATTGTGGATCTATGTCTGTTAACATAAGCCAAATTACAATCTACTTTTGAACTGCAATCAATTCCTAGGCTATATATAATATTGTAATTGTCGTTCATATGTATGTATATATTGAATTCGATGTTGAATCTCAGATAGCTTTCTTAGCTGTCACTTGTCTTCAAAACTAATCAAGTCTGTCTTATTTTCTTGGCACAATTATCGTGAATGGCAGGTAGGCATCTTTTATGCCTCATATTAAGTTACCATAAAATTAACGAAGCCTAAAATTAATCTCAAATCCAAGCACTGCTTATTCCCTGCCCATAGCAGTAAATCTATGTAGCTTCGAAGCAACAATTTAACGGCATATTATAAGTCTGAAGGTCTAAAGACATAGACATTAAAGATTTGACCCGCGTCTGTGGTGTAGGCCAAGTGCACGCATACATGGAGACCCGGCAGGTTCGATTCCAAGTGGAACGAATTTTCATTGAGTATTTCGGTCTTTCATCAGGGAAATTGTATTGAGAATGAAAAATAAAAGTTGTTATGTTGATGTCGTGATCACGGGCGTGATGGTTGTCTGTAGACTTTCAGCTTCGCGTGTCGGGAGTGTGTACCTAACAACTCGAACATGTCAATTCGTAAGTTTTTGTTTCTCTTTTCTTTTTCTTTTTTTTGGATAGGCCCTACACACACTAAACAGCGGGACGGGAGTCAGGTTGTGCTAGCTGCAGCAGTAAGAAATTTTGCTTGTTGTGCATCCCACTTCTACTTCCGGTTCTATACAATGGCTGCGCCCTGGTAAAACAGCAAACTGACTGATCTGGGTGTAACAGAATTTGGCTTTTTTTGTGTGTGTGTGTGTTACTTTTATCGGGAGGACTAAAGCCACATACCAGCCAACATGGAAATATTTGAAACACACAATGAAGGCCCAGGATTTGTTGGTATTCGATTTTGTAAAGAGTGGTAAGGAGTTCTAGATATAATAGTAATAGATCTAGAATATAGATTCTAGATCTAGATCTAGATAATCTAGATCTATGTAGATATATCTAGAATCTAGTCTAGATCTATCTAAAATTTTAGTAAAATCTAGATATAGAATAGATCTAGATCTAGACTAGTCTAGATATCTAGTCACCATCCCCATCATGTCAGTCTTTATTTGGGAGGACTTCCGTAACGAGTGACCACTATGAGATTGAGACAGAGCAGAATTGAGGGCTTGGGCTTGGGGTAGGGGTAGTGGTAAGGGTAGGGGTAGGACCGGTAGGGTTAGGGTTAGGTCTAGGCCTCTTCTTTATTGTGTTTCATGGGGTGGTCGCTTGTTACGGAAGTCGGCGCTTTTTCGGTAGTTCCCACCCCGCATTTGTTATTCGCCGGTTTTGGCCCCAAGAGTAGGGGGGTTTCAGGGGGGCTTGCCCCCCTGACCTAATAAAAACAAGGTGGGGGGTTTCAGGGGGGTATGGTATGCCCCCCTGAATTTTACCACAATTTAATGTTTTGCAGTTGTTAGGTTTGACATCTTAGCTTGCCGCGAATCAAACGTATATAGATCTAGATGTAGAATCTAGGTCAGGCTCTATCAAATAAGGGGGGTGGGAACTACCGAAAAAGCGCCCGGAAGTCCTTCCCTTTATTTTATAGCATTATGGCCGGCACTATTTCTCCGAACGTTCGGGAAAATAAAGCTGGGCACTATTTCTCCGAACGTTCGGGAAACTAAAGCTAGGCACTATTTCTCCGAACCACAGCGGTTATAGAGCGCCCATTTAGTTTTGGCTGGCGCGAGGCAAGCAAGCCCGCGCTTCCCTAGGTCACAGGGTCATTTACCTGCGCCGCCGGGGATTTCCCTAATCAGCCGAACACCGGCAGCGCTCTTGTATTTTTTGCAAAGTTTACCAGCACAGTGAGCCAAAGCTAATGTAAGATGAATATTTTAATAAAGACCACGTAAATATTCAACATATTAAGGAAGAAAATGAAGAAATCGGAAGAACATGGTACATTACACTTAAAAGCTGTGAAGTTCTCAAACAGGGGACTTAATTTGATAAATGTGTCATGGGTAATCAAATATAAACATCGATTTAAATATGATTGCCCCCAACGAATTCAATCAAATTTGCACACAGGACTGAGAACATAATGAAATTTGTACTGACAAAGGGGCATATGCACGAAGTTTCTGGATCCGTAATTATTCAGGTTTGAAGTTGATTTTTGCAATACTCTTGCTTTGCGACCTTGTTTTTTCATAGCGATATCCACGATACATGTAACTACAGGACAGATCTTTTCTTGCCGATACACTTATGAAAACACAACCTAAACACAAAATACAAAAAGAACACAATATTGCTGGACTGGAGGAATTATCTCATTTTTCCGCTGTAAGCTTTCGTCTTTTGATGGGTGGTGCACACGGCAGAGTAGCTCAGGGTGGGTTTGGACGTGTTGTGACTGCATGATTGTTTTGACGTGTTTTTCTTTGTCTGTTAGGCCACGGTTGCATGAATGAGATCACCCCCTTGCTCACAATGGAAGGCCATTCCAAACCCACATTTTTGTATCCAAGGAACGCAGTGTTTCTCAAGGGTGTGTTGTTTGGGGATGACCTTTTCTTTTGATCGATTTTGATTGAGTAGCACGTGTTTTACGGCACTATCGACTCAAGACCTTTTATTTGCCAAATATGTTTCTGTATAAAGACATATATCGTGTGATGCATGACTGAATATGTGGTATTCTCTCTAAAGTGATTGGCTTTCCATGTGCAATTACTGTGTGGATATCTTTGAAGGTGTCTTTTACGTGAACAAATTTCTCTCTCAGAACAATTAATGCGGTGTCTATTATGCTTTGATTTCGTGTACATGCAACTGTTCCTTTTGCTAAAAATGATGCTAGCTGTCTGTACACATGGGCTGTGATGTATTTTTGGCAGTGGCTTCCTATAAATGAACGGCTGTGGTAGGCCTGTGGTGTGAGGTTGTGTTGTTTGAGGATGTTATCAAATTCAGAGCAGGCAGGACTTGACCTTGGAATAAGCTCCCCAAACTCTAACTCTGACAGCTGATCATGTACACTAGAACCCTTCCTCTCAAATCTCTCTGCTTCTCGTGGATTATCCGACAAAATCTGACAGCCCTGTAACAATTGAATGTCCTCGTTTTTTTCCAGCCCTCTTTCATTTTTTGCCGTAGATATGCACATTTTGTCCTATTCCAGGCGTGCAATTCTCCATAGATTGATGGGCCAGCTGTACATCTATATCATGTGCAGCCTCCTCAAGAAGGCGATGATGTTTGAGCACAATGCCCACCATATGATCATGTTGAGTGTGGCTCTCCATGACAAAAATATTGTTAAAATTGACAACGAAATTCAGATGTAGTAGAGGCAAGAAAACTAAAAACAGCAAGGATGAATGTTCAGAGTGGTGGGTTGGTATTTTTAAAAAATCACAGAAAATCATAGAATAACTTCGTGCATTTGAAACTTGCACATGTAAATGAAAAATGTCCCCACAGTTGATACATGAATTTCTGTTTAAATCGTTGGGGGCCGGATTGATATATCTAAATCCAAACTGAAAAAGTTCTAAACATTGAAGATGCCAGTTTGAAAATCACAGACTTACTTAAATCCCTTGTAAAACTGATATAATCGGACTTACAAGAAAACAAGTTATACCGGCCTACAGGTCAAACATAGCACGTTACAATGAAATCTCAATCGGCCTTGTAGCATTTATAGTTTCAGAGTTAGGAGACTTTCAATTCGCACTAAAACGCCATATTTACTACTGCTCCGGCACAGGAGGAGTGACGCTGCGGTCACCCCAATAAACCCCTCTGACAAGTGATTTATGACTACGCGCTGGGCTGTCGGGCGGGGCGGGCAGGGTGGTGAGGATGGTCGGGGAGGAACTGGGGAAGGAAAACTAAGTGAGCGGTCTGGACGGTATTTTATCCGCTGTGGAACGTTCGGGAAAATAAAGCTGGGCACTATTTTTTGTTTGAAATCACATCCTTTCCGCAAATTTCCGATATTATATAGATCTAGATCTAGATCTATAATTATAGTATAGGCCTACCAAAGATTGTTCGTATACAGTATGGTTCAATCGGTCCAAAAAATGTCCGCAGTAAATATTTATAAAGAAATGTTACAGTTCCAAACAGTTTTTCGCTACAGATATGACGTGTTGCCTATGAAGGGTGCTGCTCTTAAACTTAATGTGTTGTGTTCACTCGTGTGCTGTCTAGTCTAGATCTACGGAGGGTTATTGACAGCGACACATAGAACTAGCATAGATGTCTGCGTTTGTCGCGGCCGCGACCAATCAATCGTGGCTCGATTTTTTGGCATTTTTTGGTCCTCAAATCGGAGAATAAAAGTCCAATAAAAAAAAAAAAAGAAAGAAAGAAAGAAACCGAACTTCGTTACTTTTGAAAGAAAGTTCACCTAGCTTCACTTCGTCTCTTTCTCACTTGTTGTCACCACGTTGATTTGTTGAATACGTTACAGTTACTTTTATTTTTCCCTCTTCGTGGTGTTTTATTTTGTTAGAGTGTATTTTTTTCTTTCTTGTTATTGTTCTGATGTGTTGTTTTTCTATCAATTTTTTTTTATGGGGAAAAAGGTGGGGGGGGGGGGGTGTTATATAGTGTAACGTCATTTAATTTGATGTTCCTACCTTCATTAGATTCTAAATATATATATATACATGTATAACTATAATATATAGATTTAAATGTGTTATGTTAGAGCGTACGTTCCACCAAAACCGATCACATGTACTGACACTGGCAGGCCCCTTAAATGTGTGCGATTCCATAATTTACTTGTAATATCCTGTACTTTGTTTTAAAAAATTACGCACGTTTAGTGTTAAAACAGCCAATCTTTTCCGGACAGGTGGACTCACGCCCTTATTTGTTAATTTTTGTGGTTGTTTATGGACTGTTCTAATTTTGATTTCATTCGGTTGTGAAACCTTTCTTTTTCACGTTTTTACACTCATCTAAAAATCTCTAGACTAGCCAGACTAGCTCATCTTGAAAATTGAAATAGATATAGACCTAAATATTTGCTCCTTTGTGTGTGTGTGTGTGTGCACCAACATGCAAAACAAACAATAATTTTTAAAAACAGAAAAGGTTTCTTACTCTCTAACGAAATTGCATGAAAATTGGTGGAATGGTAGATACAGATGCTATGGTCAATCGTACTGAGCAAAATTTTGATATTTGAATGTAAAAATATATTTAATATGTTCCTGTACCCTAAAATTGCATCACAATAATTAATAAATTAATCATTGTGAGCAAAAAAAATAAAAAATTTTACACCTCTATCAAAAATCTGCTCAGTGCAAAGGAAGGAGGAACATTTTAAAGGCGAAGAGTGTTAACTCCAAAATGGCCGCTCTTCTTGTGGGTGTGATATGTAGTGATGTCGGTGAATGAGAAGATGATGCTGGCAGTGGCAGTGATGATGGTAATGATAATGACGAGGAGGTGATGGTGGTGGTGATGATAAAGAGAGGGTGAATGATGATGTTGGGGAGAAGAAGGAAGAGGTGGTGGTTGAGGAAGGGAGAAGGAAGATGAAGAAGAGAATAGAATGATGGTGAAGAGGAGGAAATGGAAAACCTATGGGGCTGTTCAAATATAATTGTATACACACTTTTGGGGACTTTTTTTAAACACAAAACCCAAATACCACTTTTCTCACATTTGCCTCCAACCCCCACCAACACCAATTTAATATTAGTACTTTTTCCGATCTTCAACTTCCATTATTATTTTAAAGATACCTGTACTAGATCTATATGTGGCTTTTTTTTACCAGCTTGTAAAAATAATATCTTTTCAGTTAATACAATTTAATCAAACCATATGAACTAGAAAGAACGCATATGTGGAAGACATTGAGACTCTTGTCAATGCAATAGGTACGTGCCTTACAAATAAAAGACATCAAGACATTAAAAGATCAACAAAACAGTTGCAAAGTTACAAAGAAACATTAAGAAATTAGATATAAAAAAAACAAAAAAACCAACCAACGGGGATCTGCAGTGATCATGCAAATCTGGGTCTTGTTACTGGCATTTATTCACTTTTTCTTTTACCTTTTCTTCCCAGTCATAAGCAAAACGTTCATCTCACAGAAGTGTCATATTTGGTTAACCTCCCCACCCAATCTTACACTTTTCTTACAGAAGCCAAAGACACCCTTTCCCCTCTGAGGTGTAAGTTTATATTTTGAACGGCCCCTATAGGCCTAGATCTAATACATTGAGGCATGTCGCGTTCATGAGAGGCGGAGTAGGGTCGCTTTTCGAGGATCGCCGTAAAAATAGCCTGGTACTCACTGGGAGGCTATCTTTACGGCTCGCAGTAAAAATAGCCACTGCGAATTTTTTTTTAAAGAAAGGAATGATCATTCTGTGCTTGCTTGTTATTCAGTCGTAATTTAGATCTAATCTAGATCTAGATAATAGATTTCTATGTAGATTTCTACATGTAGATCTAGATCTAGCCTAATACGGATTTTGGAGACCATGGTACAGGACAGGTGGAAAACCTTTCTTCTAGATCTAGACTCTAGACTGACTCTAGATAGATCTAGGCTACGGTCAAGTCTAGGCCCAAGTAAGAGAAGAGAACAAAAGTACTGAACTGAAGTGAGAAGAGAGTCTACAGTACATGTTAGAATAGAATCTAGGCCTAGAATCTTGATCTTTTGAAAAAATGCAAATTTCTCTTCAAACTCCTTGAAGGAGAGAACTTCGCGTCCACTTCCATCCACCTACATCGCTATTTTGTTTCGAAGTTTGAAGTGGAAATTGAAAGGCTATTTTTTTAATGCAAAAGAGTTCCGTTGTCACCGGGAATAGTTTCTGTACCTATCCTCAGTGTCACTGGGAATAGTCACTTCGTTTTATTATAATGTAGACAAAGGGGTGCTTTTTCGGTAGTTCCCACCCCCCTTATTTGAGCCTAGATCTACATCTGGATCTATACGATTGATGGGCGGCGAGCTAAGATGTCAAACCTAAAAACTGCAAAACATCAAATTATGGTATAATCAGGGTGGCATGCCCCCCTGAAACCCCCCACCGTATTTTTATTAGGTCAGGGGGGTAAGACCCCCTGAGACCCGCCTACTCTTGGGGCCAAAACCTGCATATAACAATTGATCTAGATCTACTTAGTGAACTTCGAGTTTGATACCTGACATAATTCTTGTGAGCTCTTCAGTTTCATATGTTAATTTTAATTTTCATATTTTTTACACTTTTGAAAATAGGGCCTTTGACATTTGAATGTTCCTTGATGTGAGTAAAAGAATAAAGATGGAAGTAAATTATTTTTTTTTAAATTTATGTAAAATATTAACGCAATCTTCATATTGCCACGCAATTATACCATTCATCTTCTAAACCTGCAGCGCAATCTTAAGATGGCTGCACGATCGTTAAAACGAAGATTGCGTCGAACGGTAATTTGCGTGGAACACATTCAATTCATCATTCAGTATGCAGCCTTCCTGCTATACTGGTTAGAAAGTGAAAGTTTGTAAGTCATACTACTAGAATCTATAGTACCAGTCCTGGATCATAACCCCTAAGAATGAAAAGATTCTTTTGAATGATTTGTTGAAAGTGAAAGGAATTTCATAAAACAGTTCAATCTAACCTGTGACTTGAACTTTTACTTTCACAGTCACTCCTTCCTGTTTCAAGACTCAACAAATTCAAACATTTTGTAGCATTTTAATCTCGACTTTATTTCCATCACAATGTATTAGTTTCTGAGGTATTTGATGTTTTTATATGAACTGTATTACAACAGGCCCAATTGTGTATTATTTCACATTATGTTTTTAACAAACTGGGGGTTTTGAGTTGTTGGTTTTTTTTTGTGTGTGTTTTACTCTGACAGCCCAAGTGGCCTGAGTATAATTGTATATATTTCCCTTACAGGGTACTGGCCACCTCAAACCCAGCCGGGTATTTTTACTGTTCTCTATCCAATGGCATGAATGACTCTGGACATAATAATTCCATCAGACTTGTCAAAATCAATCTTCATAGTTCTACCAAAGAAACCAAATGCAAACGAATATATGAAACTCATACCATCAGCCTCATGAGCCAATAACAAAAATACTACTCAGAATAATTATGATGAGAATACGAAATAAAATTCTCCCAGAAATAGCCCAAGAACAGTGTGGATTTATTGAAGGCAAAGGCACTGTAAATGCCATATATGTCATCAGAACAACAATAGAATGTGCCCTAAAAGTTCAGAAAAATTTTCATTTATGTTTTATGACTACACCAAGGCATTCGACAAAATTAGGCACGACAAGATCATCGACATGCTGGAAGTCCTCAATATTTATGGGAAGGACTTAAGGATTATCAAGAACATGTACTGGGATCAAACTGCTGCTATGAGAATAGAAAACGACATCAGCGAATACATACAGATTAAAAGAAGAGTCAGGGATGTGTTCTTTCTCCAGACTTGTTCTCCCTGTATAGTAAAAATATCACGAAACACATAGATGAAATGCCAGGTATCTTGATAGGGGGACATAATATAAACAATCTAAGATTTATGCAGACGACACAGTCCTAATAGCAGAAGATGGAAGGACACCTACAGGATCTATTAAATTTCATCGTACAAGAAAGTGACAACATGGGCTTAAGCCTAAATGTCAAGAAAACCGAAACAATGGTGATAAGCAGAAAGACTTCAACCCCAACATGCAATGTCAAAATCAATGATACCACCCTCAAGCAAGTACAACATTATAAATATTTAGGGACCATTATATCATCAGATGGGAGATGTCACTCCGAAATTAAAAGCCGCATTTGCCAAGCAAAAGCAACCTTCCATATAATGAAACAGATACTCACAAACATCTATCTGTCACTGGAAACGAGAAAAGAGTACTGAAAAATTACATGGAGCCAATCCTATTAGACGGGTGCAAAGCATGGACTATCAATAAACAGCTGGAAAGAACAATTGTGGCGACAGAGTTGTGGTTCATAAAACGCATGCTACGTATCCCATGGACAGCTAGAAAAACAAATGAAGAAGTCTTGGTTGAAGCAAATTGCAGAAGACAGCTTATGACGAATATAAGAAAACGACAAGCAAATTTCTTTGGACACAGAATGCGGAAAAAAGCATTGGAGAATATTGTAACAACAGGCAGGTTTGATGGAAAGAGAGGCAGAGGCAGACAGAGGGAAAAGATGCTGGACAAGATGACAACATGGCAAGGAGCAGCAAGAACAACCGACACCATTGCTGCAACGCAAGACTGAGTGAAGTGGAGGTCCATGATCGCCCACGCCAGTCGGCAAGGCACTGGATGGAGATGATCCAATTGCCTCTGAAGATATGCTGTCTTCTAAGTCTAAGACTTCAAACAACAACACTTTTGAAGACAAATTTTCCTTTAGATTTTAAAAATGTTCATAGGTCTGAGTATAGAGGTTTAAATTTGTTGTATTTCAGGCATACAATTTATACTTCGTCAAACTTCACAATTTTCATCTATTTGTATTTTTAAATGTGCCTGATGCACGAAGTGGTTGTCGTCATAGGGGATTGCATATTTTGAATCGAGCCACTCTTTGAGTAGCTATACCATTTTGGATACAATGCTCATAGTAAAGCATTTAACTCTAACTCACTTGAATTTTTTTACCACAGTGTATCATAATGGCATTCAATGTCTTTTACTTTTGTTCAAAATCCAGGTAAATTTTAACTTAAACTCCCACACACAGATGTACTGCTTTTAGGGTGTATAGCTGAGCTGCATATCAAGCATATATGGCTACTAAAACCATCGCAAATTAATTATTTCTGGAAATTTTCAAGCCTAATTGCAAAACATCAAATAATGGGGAAAAAGGGGGTACAAATGAATTTTTTTTAAAGTGCTATACAATACCGTAGCATGAGATATGAGCGAAAGTAAAATAATACCTTTAAAACTTATTTTTGTGGACTATATTTCTAATGTTTAATTTTCAAAATTATTTTCATTTTCAGCAATAACATGCTGTACCCCAAAGAAGACAAGGAAAACAGAATACTTCTATATGCTGTAAGTTAACTTTTGTCAAATAAGACAATTATAAAAGTAAATGTCAGGCAGCGTGGGGGAATCAGGCTCTCGTCAATTTTCGGACATGTAGAGTTATTGGTATCATCTTAAAGATTGTTTACTTGCCTTTATATGGATGAAAAAAAATCCATTTATCTTGAATACAAATCGAGATATTTGCGAAAGAAGGAGGTGGGGTTCACCTTTTATCAGAGATAAAATTGGTGAGAAAATGGCCGCCAAAGATTTGTTATTTCCTTAGCTAAAGAGTCAGTGGTAACTAAAAATTTACATTTTTAGTATCTTTAATCAACGTTTTTCAGAAAAATCCACACATAAACGAGTTCTTTAATGGGTATGAAAAGAGTTTAGCCGAAAAACAAAAATTTGATAAAAATTAACAAACCAGCGGAAAAATGCAAGTTTCTTCACTTTGATTATTTTGACGAGAGCCTGATTCTACCACGCTGCCTCACAAATTGTAAGTTTATTTGATCGAATAGATTTTCATGTATTGTAAAGTTCACTTAAAATCCTAAATCTGCAGACCTTCTGTATTATTTTCTGTTTAATCTTGTCTGTGGTTAGAGAGAGATTGCCTTAAACAATACCACCTCAATGTTTTTGAGGCTTCTTTTTTAGTTTTTCAACAGAAAATAGCTCACCATGGTATTGTGCATTTGGAACTTTAAGATTGGGAAGGTGAATGAAAAAGATTTTTAGTTTTTAGTTTTAGTAGAGGTTTTACGGCACTCACAACTGATAAGGTCATATGAGCGCCAGAAGATTAGAGGTGTTACAAGTTACAAGAGAGTAACAAGCATAAAAAAGAAGAAGGGGATATAAGGACGATAGATGTTGAAAAAGATTTTGGTCAGCAATACTTAGTAGTGGTTTCTGTGAAAATTTGGTTTTAGATCCTCATAATGCACTAAGCTTGAACTTGTGACACACACGAACCAAAGAGAAATCTGCTGGACTGTCGGATTTTCCTTAGTTTAGCAAGGTTTGTAGTTTAGGAGAGTTGCTTAAAAAGAAAAAAATAATCAGGGATTTTCTTTTTTTTTCGGTTCACCATTGTTTTAGAATTAACCGTGTTCACTTTAAGCAGACTCCACTATATTATGATTGTATTAAAATGTGCTCTGGACCAGAGAGGTATTGTAACGTACAAAAATAATACAATATTATACCTCTGTAAGTAATGAATGTTTTAATTTTATGATTAATTAGCAATACTCTGCAGTTGTAGCGTTATGAATTCTAAATCAGCTGTTTTTTATATTTTCAGTGTAGAAACTGTGACTACCAACAAGAAGCAGACAACAGATGTATCTATGTCAACAAAATTATGCACGAAGTGGAGTAAGTCCATTTATTAGGCTTATATGTGAACACAGCGTATATGGCTTATATGTGAACACAGCGTATATGGCTTATATGTGAACACAGCGTATATGGCTTATATGTGAACACAGCGTATATGGCTTATATGTGAACACAGTGTATATGGCTTATATGTGAACACAGCGTATATGGCTTATATGTGAACACAGCGTATATGGCTTATATGTGAACACAGTGTCTATTTTTTCTGTAGGAGACAGTCTTGTAATTATGGCACAGGTATCTTAAATTTACAATGTGTTCAGAGCCTTTGTTTTGAATAGGATCATAATGTCTAATGCTTTTTTTTATTTCTGTTAAAAACATGATCAATTTAGGCAATTTAGATGCTGTACAAAAATAATCTTACACCTTTTTTTGGACTTTTGCCCCTTCTTACACTTTTCAAACATTTGCCTTTTGACATATATACATACAGTCAAACTCGGTAACTCGAATTCGTCGGAATTAGAAATAGTGTTCGAGATTTCCGTAATTCGTCTTGTCCGTGAAAGCCCAAAATACAAAGAAATACAGAGAAAATCAAGGGAGGTAAAAAAAAGAACATTAAAACAATTAACGTGGTTATCTCCCTTGATGAACATGTTGACGGTGTGAAAGCAAGAAGATAAATGAAAATGGAAGTGGAAAGCAGAAAATCTCACGTGTGCTCAGTCGACTCCTACGTCTTTCTTTTCCTCTCATTTCATTGACTTACAGAAAGTTACGTCTCTTGTCATCCAGACTGCACGCATCCCACAACTTGATTGCACAAGTGGCGAGCCAGTCATGCGATGCGGTTAGCATCACTCCCAAACCCCCCTTTCCAGTCCCCCCTTCCTCCAGCCTCTATTGGTGAGACAAGGACCACGTTTGGATGTAACAATAACAAAAAAACACATGTCTGCGGCCAGAAAGGCTGTAAAGCCGGGTCTTTTGTTGAGAATGCGAAGGGGATTTGTTGGAGATTCGAGTGTTGCTCGTTCAGAGTGTTCGGGAATTCCATGAGGTCAATACTAAGAAATCTTAGGGACTGAAACAGGACCAAGCATTATGTTCGAGATACCCGAGAATTCTTGATTTTTGTGTTGAAGATTCATGGACTCTACTGTATGAAGTTCTACATTCACTCACTAAAAAAATAACAGAGTAAATCATTCAAGCAAAATATTGCACACACTCTTTCTTACTAATAAGGAAAAAATTGAGACTCATGTCACTGTCAAAAGCGCCTTAATTACAAATAAACAAATTACATTTGAATTGTGATAAAGTCAATGCCTCGGGACCGAAAAAAGTGTAATATTACATTGCTTCAAGTCAAGACACACCCCCCCCCCCCCCCTACAGGTGTAAGATTATATTTGAACGTCCCCTTATGTCATACTGTTTTATAAAAGGTATTTCTTTCTTAGGTAGCAAGTATGCTGTCATTATTATTTCGTAAGACCATCTGGATATATTCGAAGTTCTTTTTTTTCCCCAGCTCTTAAAGCTCATACAGAATCATTCTCCTTTGCCTTTACAACCGAATTTGAAAAAAACAGGTTTTGCCCATTGGTTACGGTATTTTTCAGGAAAACAATGTGTTTGTTTTGTCTCATATTCAACAGTGAGTTAACACAGATTGTTGGAGACGTCATAGCTGACCCTACCCTTCCCCGCACAGAAGATCACCCATGTCCCAAATGTGCTCACAGAGAGGCTGTCTTCTTCCAGTCTCACAGCACCAAAGCAGAGGTAATCAGATAATAATAATAATAATAATAATAATTTTTTTAATGAACATGTGTCGTAAGTAAATTTGTTTTACCAGGGTGCTATAATTTCCATGCCAAGAATAATGAATATTTTCCTGCAATGTCATACCATTATTAGTCTCTATGGTGGAGCATCATGTGTCTGAGCTAGAGTCGATGAGTTGTGATATAAGCCAATGGCGGCCGGGCTAAACGTTTGAGCCTCAGTATTGCTTTCATTCTTTGTGGACCCACATTCAGCCACCACTAGACTACTAGTACTAGGCCCCAATGTGGCTGAGTGACTTCTTTCCGGTTTTTGGAGTTGTTACAAACCATTGCTCCCGCCTTTCTTTTTCTTTGTTTGAGAGTTGAGATAATATGACCTTTTACTAAGTTTAGAAAGTAGCTCTTTGGGGCCAAATGATGTATTTGTAAACTAATTATTGCAGGGTTCCACCAAATTTTTCAATTCAAGCCTATTCCTGTTTTGACTTCAGACTATTGGAAAAATTCTCAGAATTAAACATTTGTTCTATTTTCTGTATGTCACCAATAATAAAATGATTAAGTTCCCTCAACTAACCTACTGTTAGTATTAGTATTATAAGAAGCGTAAATTTTAAGAACACAAAATGACTGCACTTGCAAAGTATTCTCCTGTTCTTTTAACCTACATTTCTGGGTCAGTCATACATATAGTGAAAATTTGGAGTTTGGGGACAATGATTTTAGTACTGGTATTGGTATTATAATTTTGACTGTCATGTCTGCCAAAGTGCTGAAGGAATGTTGGTTCTGGTGTGAGTGGAAATGTCAAGTGAAATGTAATAGTACAATAAAGATTTTTATTTTACTGACTTGCTCCCTGAGCAATGGATTGGAAGCTCATGAGTAAGCCCTGCTTTTTATTCTCTGTGGTCTGCAAAAAGCATCATGTGTTTGTAAATTTGCTAACGAAATTGTTCAGGACAGCCAACTTTTGTCGAGGAGAAAAGCAATTGTCTTAGACAGGTGGATATCCTGGACAGTGTCATTATAATGTGTGAGGCATCGTGGTGAAACCAGGTGTTTGTCAAAATAATAAAATCGAAGAAACAGGCATTTTTCCTCCAGTTTGACCATTTTTATTAAATTTTTGTTTTTTGGCTCAACACCTTCTATGTCAATATGTGAGGCATCGTGGTGGAATCAGGCTCTTGTCAATTTTTGGGCATTTAGAGTTATTGGTATCATCTTAAAGCTTGTTCACTTGTCTTTATTTGAATGAAAAAATATCAATTTATCTTGAATACAAGTCAAGATATTTGCGAATGAAGGAGGTGGGGGTCACGTACCTGTTTTCAGAGGTAAAATTAGTGAGAAAATGCCAGCCAAAGATTAGTTATTTCCTTAGAGTCTGTGGTAACTGAAAATTTACATTTTTTTGTTCCTTTAATCAACGTTTTTAAGAAAAATCCTCACAGAAATGAGTTCTTTAATGGGCATGAAAGGTGTTGAGCAAAAAAAAAAAATTAATTTGATAAAAATTCACAAACCTGCGGAAAAATGTAAGTTTCTTCACTTTGATTATTTTGACGAGAGCCTGATTCCACCACGCTGCCTCACATATATAAAAACACATTTCAATGTGAATTTTAGTGAAAAATGTTCATTAATGGCACAAAATACAGTCAGACCTGCCTTAATGGAAACGTGTAAAACGGAAACCTGCCTTAATGGAAACGTGTAAAACGGAAACCTGTCTTAATGGAAACGTGTAAAACGGAAACCTGTCTTAACGGAATCTCCCTGCTCCCCCCTTGATATATTCCTCTTTAATTACCTGTATAAAGCGGAAACCTGTCCAACGCGGAAGCGGAAAGAAAAATCCACTCATTTCCAAGGGTTTTACCTGTCTAAGGGGGAACACTAAGAGAACGCTTACTCGCAATAAAAGCGAGCGCGTTGTGACAAGCGCTTGAAATGTTGTTCAAAATTTACTTGTTGGGCACAAAAAGCACGCTCGCTTTATCGCGCCTGAGATATCAAGCGATGCTTAGAAAACGTAAAGAATTATAAGTTAATTCTTTCTCGCGAGCAAACGTGTACTTGGTGCAGTCCCCCTTTGTTGTCTGGTCCCGACTTGGGTAGTGCCATGTGGGCATTTTCTCTCAGTCTCAGTGACAATCGGACCGAAATAAATGTTGAGTCTTTGATATCAAACGTGTTTAAAAAACATGCAATTTGGGACAAAAGAAGGAAAGACCACGCAAACTGCAACATTGTGAAACGTGCTTGGAAAGATATTAGCGAAGAACTGCCAGTTGCACCAGTTCTTGGTTATCTTTGGTTCAATTTCTTATAAGATATACTCGAATGTCTCTTGGCTCATTCTCAGGTAGGACTGAAAACGTGAAGGACTCCTTTTAAGTAAAGGAAACAATTAAGTGATGATATTCACCTTCCAATCGCTTCCTTTTATTTATCTCATGAACCCCCATTCTTTGGTGTTTTCCTAGGATAATTTTTGGCAAAACACTGTCTAGCAACAGTAGTTCGTCTTCACTCGAATCCGCCAAGGCGCCAAATGCCCATGTTCCGACCAGTTGCAAGCGTGATTTGCTATCTTTCTCTAAGTACACCTCAACAACAAGCAAGCGCTTTCTTCACAAGTGCTCACTTTATCGCGAGCAAGTGTTCTTTTTGTTAGTACCTTAAGACGGAAAATGTTGTCCGTTCAGCCCTGATTTGAAACAAACCTCGAAAGTTTGGTTCTGTCCACCTGCTCTAAACTTCACGCTATGCTACTGAGCGAGGAAGGGGAGCATTTGAGGGTAGATGTTTCCCAACGCCTACTCTAATAAAGCAGGCGTTGATGTTACCCCATTCATGTGAGCGATGAAGATGGTCTGGATGGTCTGGGTGTGAAATCTCACAAGTGCTATTGAAAGTGCTTGAGTGGCGCTCCAGCTCGGAAACTTTCATTGGTAGCCAGAGGCCAGAGATGGGAAATTAGTTTGACCAATGCCCGCCGCTCTGATCATACAGCCAGCTGAGAAAAGAGTTCCTCGAATCGTCGTTACATGCTTGTGAAGGGTGGCATTGGTTGACTGTGCTTATTACTATTACACCAATGGGTGGGGCTAAGAGTGGAAGCAAAGGAGATGTTCAAACGTTTCTTTTTTTAGTAGGTCAAACAGTTTTCCTATGAAATGCAAGCACTGGTGGTAATTGTAAGACTGACCGCATGTCATTATCTGAGAGGATAGCAGCTGAGAGGTGTGAAGTTTTGACCACTTGTGATTGCTTACCGACCAGACAAGCGACCCTTGATCCCACCTGTTGGGCCTTTGTACCCTGCCCCCTTCCTTTCCACATTTAATTCCCCTGTCTGAGACGGAATTTTATTCTGGCTCCCTTGCAATTCCGTCTTACACTTACACAGGTTCGACTGTATATACATTTTCAGTTTTCATGGACTCTCAAGCTATAGGAGTTACTAAACTTTAGCGGCTATTTTCTCGATATTTTTCCATCTGAAAGCACTCTACCCCTACTTTCTTCATTTGCAAGTATCTCAACTTCTATTCAAAATAGATAGGTATCTTTTTCTTAGAAAGCAAGGCAAATGAATTTGAAGCTTTGAGGTGATACCAATAGCTCCATATGCCCAAAAGTTGACGAACGCCTGATACTACAGTGTCGTGACAAAATATTTTGAAAAATGCGAAAAGTGCTCATTTGTACAGGTGATTGTGTTGGTCGGGTGGCCATTAGGGTTGATTCAACTGTACTTCAGTGACATTGAAAATTTTATGCTCAAATTCTTGTAATACAACAGCTTGCTCAGTCATGTTCATTAGTCTTCCTTGATATACACCATTGTTTAACAGTGAAGGCAACATTGGGTAGAGAATGTTGCAACTGGCCTCTTGGAGCTACAAACGCTAAAACTGAGACCCTGATAGAAGAGCATTGCAAACATGGAGATTCTGTGATCTTCACGGATGGATCAGTCAACAGAGGAGTCAAATCGGGTTTGGCCTTCAGTGTCAGAGTTGATAGGATAGTTGTGAAAGAGCAAAGTGGAACAACTGCACTGACAACATCCAGTATGTGTATAGAGGCCATAAGTGAAGCTCTACACAGGATCAAGAACACAAGCCATCAGGGAGCAGTAATCATTACTGACTCAATGAGCACACTACAGAAAGTACAGAAAGCGATGCTGTATGCGGACTGGAAGGCTACGATCAGGGAGAGCAACCTGGAAAGAGTGGCTTGATTTTCTGCCCGAGCCACACAAGGGTAACCGACAGCGAGAGAGCAGACAAGCTGGCCAGAGAAGCAAAAGTGGGAGGGAATTTGACACTGGACTCACCAACTGTCCTAACTGCTGTAGGAGAAAATTTGAGGAAGAATAGAGCAGATAGCGGTTCCCACACCCTAGGTAGATTGAAGGAGAAGGGGATCCAAAGAGGAGAAGGGAGAAACAGCCACCTGTGCAGACCAGTCCAACGGATCTCCTTCCAGATTATGATGGAAATTGTAAGCAGACTCTGGGATGGATCATGAAAAGGGGTGGAGAGCAGAGATGGACATGTTCCGACTGAAGTGAACCCAGCACTGAGGACAAGGATTGACAAGGATTGACATTGTTTAACCCTTTGAGCCCTGACCTTCTAATGCTACAACGCCCCTCTTCCTGAGTGATATATTACTAACATGATGGTCAGAATCATATTCCATTGCCTGCTCATGGTAGGCTTTGTCATTACTAGCATCTAATTCAGAAAGATCTTCAAGATAATAACGTCCTATATTGTAAACTGCGTGCTTTTTGTCCCAGGCAGGCCAGTTTTGGGGTAGGGTCTCGCTCACCACTGCACTGGTGGCAAGGCATACAGGAAGTTTTACGTGCCACTAGTGTACCAGTGGCGAGGACTCACAGAGTTAAACTAGACTTCACATGTATTCTCTTTTGGCATTTATTTTGAAAATAAAACCTTGCTTACTCATGTCACCTGTATTTTTTTTTCCTCTCCAGGAAGGAATGCGTCTTTATTATGTGTGTACAAATCAACAGTGCCAGCATAGATGGACTGATTAGATGGATCACAGCTGGAACTCATGAACCGGGCACAGGATATTCTAGGAAATTGTTTTTCTTGTTTTGGAAATTTATCTTCTTTAAATTTCAACGGGAAATCTGCTTGTTGTCATATATTGTGTCAATAAAAGAAGCATCCTATTCTTGAAAGTATGAATGCCAGTTGCTCATGCCCTTCATTAAAGTTTGAACTTATTTTTACTAGTTTCTCATTCTTTGGCATTCAGATTTCTAAAGTTTTGTGGTCTGTCTCTAAAAGTTGAACACTGACAAAATTTCATGAAACTAAGCATCTGCCATCACTTTTAATTATTAATCTCCAAAATGACATTTGATAATTTATGTTGAAATTGAAAAAAGGATTTTGATTTTCTTCCGTTATCAGGCTCATTACAATGTCAATTGTTAGATTGTGAACTGCCTTTGTATTTTCATCACCCTTTTATGGCTCTTTGTAAATTCATATCATCACAATAGTTGTTTCTTCATGTCAGGACCATTGAATAAAATGTGAAATTGAAAACAGAATTTCCATTGTGAAAATGTCTTTCATTAAGGTTCATAGTGGTATGTTGTCTTAGTGTGTTTTAGCCATATTTAGAATAAAAAACAACACAAGTTAATTACTAGGAAGAGATCATCGTCATTCACGAGTAAATTCTTGCTCAACATTGTAGATTATCCACCTCTCTCAACTGTTATTGTTATTGGAGGTCATGACTGCTTTGTTGAACAATGAGGAGTTGATTGTTGTGATTCAAACACAACAGCCAGTTTTTGACTAAATTGACAAGAATAATTGTAACAATACTGCTCCAACAACTTATCAAAATTGTTTCGCTTTATTGTAATATAATTTTCTTATCTTTCATTGACTCTTGTTGTAGCAGAGGTACTAAGTAATGATATTTGCCGTGAGATGTTCTCAAATTAATTAGGTACTCAGACATGCTTCTGAATCGTTTTCTACTCCTTTTCCACCACCACAACAACAAAGCAATCTTCTGTCTTCTTGAAAATACCGTCTTGTTTTTGCAGAAATGCACTGCTGTAGTGACACCACCGCACAAGGATCACTTTTTGCTACTTGACACCACAGAGAAATGTGCACCACAAAGCATACGATTCCACTATAGCTATGACACTCTAGCCATAGTATTTCATAAAGGGCAGAAGAGGAATACAGTGGGTGTCGCATTCAATGAGGTCACATTCAACGAGAAGTCGGCTCCAACGATGCAATCCTTAATCCCCGATTTTTTCCTCTATAGGCCTATCTCTTTATAAATGTACGTCAGCTCCAACGAGGTTGCAATCAGACCGAAGTCGCTTTCAACGAGGTCGCGATAACTAAGTAAAAGCAATTAACGGCCCCGAAAGTGAAGAATTTTTCTCCTTTCTCTCCATCTCGCGCAAAGCACAAGGCCTATCCTTGATTCCTAATACTTTGTATTGCTGCTAGATCTAGTGTGTCTCTTAATATGGACCCCAAAGCCAAGAGGATGGGCGAGGGTTAGCCTTCGGTAGGGATGAGAGGGGGTGGGTGAGAACGCGATGTGGGCTGTGTGAAACTGGATGAACTCTGGATGGGTAGGTCTAGATCGAGACCTTCATTTTCTTTTCCATTTTCTGTTCTTCCCCTGATGAGAAAACCCAAGCCCCCGCCTTCACTTTATGTAGATCTAGGCCTATGTTTCCACACGACAAGTGTTCCGGAAAAAAATATTTTAAAATGCAGAAATGACGGTCAGAATTCACAGCTTAAACACAGGCACACTGATGCTGTTTGAGATTTTCGTCATCAGGGGGAACAACTGTTTTAACTACTAGTATTGGTACATCGTGTGATTTAATAACTTGTCTCCTTTCTTTTCTTTAGCCTTAGTAGTCACGTTCAACGAGAGGTCGGATCCAACGAGGACAACAAGCCGGTCCCGGCAACCTCGTTGAATGTGACACCCACTGTAGATCTTAGCCTAGTAGCTCCTTTTTTTTTTTTTAGAGTGAATGATATTGTGCTGTTTTGGCTAAAAATAATTCAACAGCGAAAAACCGTTGTAACAATGAAATCAGTTGGCAAGTCCCAGGAGGCACTTCATGAAAGGCTAGCCTGTCAAACTTTTCCAGGTAAATAAGTGTAGAATTTCAGAGTCGGGTTTGGTCAATAGAGCTACCCAGTTGTATAATCTCTTCTCTCTCAAGCCACAAAAGTGTATTTTGGGCTCTGTAGTAATACCAGAAAGTAAGATCATGACGTGCACTGCCGAGTGAAAAGCTGTGGTGGGTTGGCAGGTGTTGTGGTATGGTTTGCTTTTCTTTCCCATCACAATCTATTGTACATGTAGGCCTACTTCTCTTTCCTCTTTCTGTATTTTTGTATGTTGATCTCAAGCAACACCTCAAATTCCTGGAACTTGTTTGACCTATTTGTGTTGCAAGTGCTGTAAAATTTACTAAAACTAATAGTAGGAAGTGAAAAGGTCAGTACAGAGGAATTGATACACTTACAAGTACAAGATGCTTTGCTTCCTGTACGAATGTATGGAATGATCTCAAGTCACCGCAGTTGGCATTGTGGGTGCTTGTTTTGCTTGTCAACCCTACCACTACTAGTCTGATTCAAAGCGGTGCAGGCTTGAAAAGTTCTCCAGCCCCAATTATTTTTAATTTTGAAATATCTTCTATGATGAACTCACTCATCATTATCGTACATTAGATGTGGTAAAGAGTCTTACTAGTAGGCCTACTAGTCTTACCATGAGCGAACAGAGTATTTTATTGGTCATTTTGTACCCCAGGGGTTGTATTCTTCACATTTTAGAATATTTCTAGTACAATGTACGAAGATCTCTTTGAAACTTTCAGTATTTCTCAAAAAATCATTTTGACAGACTGCTGCTATGCAAAGCGTACGGATCGGATTAACGAGTAAATTTCCTCTTTGGAAAGTGGTGGCAGAGAGTTCCCCACGTCAATGAATACGTTAGTAAAACATGATGTACGGATAGGGTTAAGAACACTAGGGCCTACATACTACATGCCTGCGAAGACGCATATTTGCAGAATTCTTATAAAGACATCTCTCATATTTTGTCGGAAGAGCTTATACCAGTCCTAGAGCAAGGAGAAGATTACCCAAGTTTCAACATTCCAACATGAAATGATAAACAAGTCTTTGGCATCTTTAGCTCATGTATTGAACATAGAACCAATGTATAATTATTATAAGTCAAACCTGTAAGACGGCCACCCATTGTCAAGGAGAAAAGTGGCCGTAAAAGACAGGTGGCCGTCTTAGGCAGGACTGACCAAGATGAAGAAAACAAACCATTCCCATCTGAAGTCCCAATCGAAAGTAGCCGCATTGTTGTTTTTGTTGTTGGTTTGTATTTTGTTTGTTATTTTTATTTTGTTGCTGATTTTGCGCAAGGGTGACAATAATACGAAATGCATAAGACGAGGAAGACCGAGTGCCATGTTAAAACTAACACATGGGTTGCCACCACTCGGAGAACGAGCGACGCTTCTGTCACAAGTTCATTTTGACGGCCATTGTTACTTTGTTAAGTTACAGACTGGGTAAACAGTGACCACGCATCTCACTTACGATTTGTGTATGAGTTCTGGGCGGGGTTTTAGGGTTATGAGGGATCACACGCTTACCTCACCGGCAGCTGAAAATTGGTACCTATTGGTCAACAGTGGGAGGGGCCTTCGCAACATGATCGGTTGGAAGGACTACCTAACAACAAGGACAGATGATTGGATTATGACGGCTCGCCCACAACGCCAGGGGTCAATGCACAATTTATGACAAAACGTAATGGATTCGCTAAGGTGGCCGTCTAATACAGGTGTTACTGCTTAGTGTGGTAGGGGTGGTGTGTTAAAATATGGTGGCCGCGTTAGACAGGTGCCCGTTTTACACAGTAAAATTATAGAGAAAAAACGCAAGGGGGGAAAAGGAAAGTGGCCGTTTGTACAGGAGGGCGTCTTATAGAGGTGGCCGTCAGGGCAAGTTCGACTGTATATATATAGATATTATATACAGCTGGTTCCAGTTGCAGGAATGAGTGTTTGGTTCTCACATCCTACAAAGATAGCAGATCTCTTTAAACTACTACAACTATAAATTTTTAAAAACCAGTTTTGCTTTCAGTCAGGAGTGTCATTGCTTGCACCAATCACAAGTCTTAACGAAACACCCTTCAAGTGACCCTGTGGTGGTTTTAAAGCTAAGGACAATGTCCTTTAACTGGAATATAGCATGAAATGTAGATCTGCATTATGTACGTGACTCGGTTCCTTGGTACAGCAATGTTCATAAAGGCTGACAAACGGCTGTGGTTTAGCAGATGAGCTCTTTGCTTTTGCACGCAGAAGAGTTTTATTACCATGTGGGAAGAATTTTTATCCAATATTTCGGTCTTTCTGCTGGGATGTTCGATCCTTGTCACTCCATGTTGGCCCCGACAGCCAGCATTGAAGCAGCCCACCTCCTAAATGCTCTAAATGTGTTAGTGGGGATATAAAACTTTTACATTTTTGTCCATGAAAGATTCAACAAAGTGGATGACTGACAGGATACCACCACCTGGGTTTTAACACTTTTTGTTATCAAAGAACTTGTAACTCTAAAAATGAAGAGCAGGAAGCTATGTAGTTAATGGCATTGGTAAAGAAAATCTCAAACCAATGTGAGTGTCATAAACCTGTGACTCTGGTCTTCCTGTCTGTACTACAGTATGTGCATGGCTTGCAATCTGTTGAAAAGTTATACGGTACCACAAAGTCATTTGATATTAAAAGTTGAAAGCTTCCACTTTTGAAAATTGAAAAATTGCAAACCATACCAGAAATCAAAACATGCAATGCAAAAAGAGAAAAGACGTTTTTCACACTGTAGTTGCTATTGACATAAAATTGGAAAGCTGAACATACCATGAAATAAAGCTCAAAGGACACTTCGATCATGATGAACGCATACAGTTTATTTCAAGATGAGATATCAAGTTTTGGTTCCATCAAACAGGTCTAGAACAAGCCATCTCCCTAACTCCTCCAAAGTCATGGCAGTTGCTGCTGACATTTATTGCACACATTCATTCCTCTGTGCTTGTGTCAAAATCTTGCGACTGTCTGCCAAAAGCAGGACTCAGGTCACAGGGAAATGAATCACACGAGGGAAAAAGAAAATTTGGGCAGACTCAACTGCTTAACCACACCTAGGTCAGTTTCTCCCTGTCATTTCCTTTGTTTTAGTGGTTGGTAACCTTAAGGAATTAAAACTGGTCTCTAGATTCAAGTGTAGTTTGAGGGAGGAATGGCAAAAAAAAAAGACAAAAAGAAAAAGGGCATCTTCAATCAAGGAGAATGGTTTGCTGGTAGATTACTGGATACAGATTCCTATAATAAATACACGAAATATGTATAGAGACATTCCAATGAACAAGAAAAGCAAATGGTGATGCAGGATATAGGTCAATATTAGAAAGTTCTTGACGACTTCATGGCATGATGTACAACAACAGCATTTTGGCTATGATGTGTAAGCTTGTGTACAGTGCAAAAACAAAAGAGCAACGTGATGCTATCTTTACCTTGATGAACTGCAAAATGAAAACCTCAGGTGTTCAATTTTGGCCCCCTTATATGTAATGAAAGGAACTCCTGAGAATTTTCCTCTGATCCAAACAACATTTGACCTTCAACAAAGCCAGACACAAGGGAAATATGAGCAACACAACTGAAATGACTCAAAAAAGTACTACGATGATCAAACTAAAGTAACACTGACATTACTTAGCAGATTCTAGGAAAAGACAGACTCTGTATTTCCAAATTTTGAAGATTAATTTTTTTTTTTTTTGGTGATCAGTTCGGAGGCCGAGTTTTCAAAGTTGAAAGGAGAAAAACTACACCAGCCCCAACATTCATCAAAGGACGAATGTTTTATCTACAAGATACAGAAAATACAGACAATACAAATCACAGCAGGAGACATACCATTTTATGACTAGTTATTATAATATATATATATGTAGACGTAAAGCTGATCACGGAAGTATATCACCATGTCTTCCTTCTAACCTTCCTAATGGGTTCTTTAATTAAATAGAGCATATTTTAGGACAATAAAATTTTTAGTTATAATGATTCATAACTGAAATCTTGACTAAAAAATTAATTGACAAATTGGTTTAATATATATGTACTGAGGCATGAATTAAAAAAAAAAATTTTGAACCTGCACATGCTCTTGAAAATTGACAGCTCGCTGTTTAATATCATACCTACAAAGTGCAATGGAAACAAGTCCACATCCAAGCTTCTTTTCTTCTTTTCTACCATCACAAAATTCCCAATTTTTAAAAATGGTTTCTGTTATCAAAACGATTCAAATGCATATCTTGCACATTGACCTACTTTCTGAGCTTCTTGTAAACTTATCAAGCTGGCTGGCGTGACAGGTGGTAATCAAAGACAACAGATGTATCGCACAATGTTAACTTCTATATCTAGCTAAGAGCCCCCAGTTTCTATTTCATAAGGAACTGGGCGATCTACTAGACAACCGAATGGTTTTAATTCAAACAAGACGGCAAGTTCTACATGTGGTTTATGGTATGGAAGCCAACATAATATTATGTAAAATCAAAGCAATACTATAATGCAGAATGTGTGCAATTTCGACATGCAACATGGTGAGTAGCATCATCCATTAACGAAGATATAACAATGTCAGTCATGAAAAGATCAAAGCATAAAGGACGGCCAGTGACAAAAACAAAAGGGTCAGAGAAAACAAGTTTTACCCGCGACAAAGACCAGGTTGGGACATCCTGTGTGCAACACAAACAACACAACACAGAAAGTGCCTCAATTTGCTCTTGCAAACTGGGCCAAAGCAAAGACTGGGCATTTTCTGTCTCAGAGAAGGAAACAAGCTTGACTGGATTTGCTATATGCTATATCTGCTCCAGGCCAGAGCTTTGACGAGCACAGTGAGAGAGTTGTATCTGTGTCAGTTCGGAAATAGCCTCTACCTTCATTGATGCTGAATACATTATGATAATGAGATGGTCACTATCTAGAACCAACAAAACCTTACGTATTACCAGGAATCCAAACAAGAAGGGTAGGATGCTCGACCTTTTTTCAAGAGGGGGCTTGTCTTTCAAAGAGCCGACCACAACTACATTTCTATCAACAGCTCATCACCTAAAGGCTTATTACTTGACTACAGACAAAGAAGTTTGTAACATCATGTGGATGTCTTCATGAAGAAGAACACACCATCATCAGTACGTACTATGGACAAAACATAAAGCAAAACAAAACTGGCACTGTTTCCACAAGTCAGCAGTATTATGCAAAACAAGAACAACTCATTTTACTTCAACATCAGAAAGTTTAGTTTCATACATAAAAAGTTCTTAAGAAATTAAACTCTTTTGGGATAGAATCTAATTATTAAATCCAAATGATCAGCAAGAACCAAAGATGCATAAGTCTTGGGACATAAATCTCCTCTTAACAGTCTTTAAACTAATTTTAAAAATTCGGTTATAAGACTGTCATGTTTCTTCATGTGCAGTGAAAACAATGGTGACTGATCGATAACCAATCAAGAACCATCAGTGACTGATCAAGAACTACCAGTAACCAATCAAAATCATTTCCTGTCTTGATCTGGTTGCCAAATTTAAAAAACGCATATCTACAATTTTACAAAATCCGATTTGAAGTACTTGACAAAATGTTGAGAGACAATTCAAATTCGGGTGCCATAATGATAGACTTAAACACTAGATGTAGCAGATCCCACGCACAATAAAGTTGAAGCTAAAACTGAAAAGACAGAATACCTTTCTTGCCACATCTCAACCTGAGACAAGTTGGACTCTAGGATTATACAGACCTTGCCACCAATGCAAGATGAAATACACAATATTTGAACAAACTGCATGGGCTCATAAGATCTTCCCAGATGGGCAGGGCAGGGCTTGAATTAGAGAAAATCTTGGAATTTGGGAGAATGGTTCTAAAAGCCAGTCTACTTGAACTGCAGGACTTCACTGTCATTTACAACATATCACACTTTTAAAATCAAAATGGGGGAAAACTTTGATGAAAAGCCCACATTTTTGTATTATATGAGCATGTGAGAGAGTTACACCAAAAACAAGGGTTGCTTTCATCCAAACCATCTCACTTTCTTTCCATGTTAATTTCTAGGACTCAGACCAAAGATGTGCTAAGTCTTATTTTGAGCTGCAACAGATCAGTTAAAGTGCATACATCTAAACATAGAATCTGTACATTTGATCACAACCCATAGGCACCTCCAGACAAGACAAAGTAAATACATCAGCTTGTTTTCAAGCACAAATTTCCAGAACAAAATATTTTAATGAAGATTGAATTACAGTTGCACAGACTGCAATTTCAAAACAGAATTATAGCTCGTCAAGTAGATACAAAAGAGAATGGTAAAACAAAGAGGATGTAGGTTAAAGACAAAAAAGGGTTAAGACAATCCTCCACAGATTTTCTACAACTAATAATAGTAATAATACTGGGTGATCAAATTTACAGTCTAAAAAAAAACAATCAAATGAGGTAACACTTTCTCCTCGATTTCTCGTCACGAAGCAATAAGACAACTGAACCATGTAAAGCCAACAGTACAAGTTGACCAAACACCAAAAATACAAGTAGTCCCTGTACCGCCTGAATAAGCAAAGTTTACATAAATGTTACAAAAAAATAGTCCTTCTTGGTGTATAAATCCATAAAAAATTGCTTTTTTTCAAGCTGGTCACTATTTTGAACCACCAGAAATGTTTGAAAGCCATCCATAATCCTGTTCCATTAGAGCTCAATGTAAGTACAAAGTCAACATCAATACATACACAGACAAGGCGAGTAATTCGCTTTCAGAAGTTTGTTTGGAGAACCACAACTTGAAGATGTCCCTACACTTAGACTTTGCCTTGACAGCATAAGCATGCCATATAAAACAAGTTCCTTTCACATCTCATACCAACACAATTCTTGTTATAGCATAATACGCAGATTGTCTCTGCACTATTGTAAACATAGATTTAAAAAATATCAGAAGAAAAAATAATTTCTTCTAGAAGTTAAAAAAGAGCAAATGATAGCACCTTCACCCTGCATATACCTACAACAAGTGTGCTAGAGGACACATCATACAGTAACACAAGCAGAGTCATGTACATGCCAAAGGGAAGCTATTCAGTAGGGGCAAGGAAAATGGGGGCACATGTGAAACAATGCTAAATTGTTACCTCATGGCCCTGAAGTGTTCAACAAAAACATTGGCGACGGGAGATAAAACAAGACAGGCCTTGTAGTTATAGCATACCCTGTCACATGACGCACACCACCACCACCACCGCGAGAAAGCGCAGGCATGTAGCTCAACAATTACAAATGACAATGGGTGCACAAGCAATTTTCTCAAACACAGTTTCTCAAAAGTGAGAAAAAGAGTGCAGAGTTCTTTCCCTGTGGTCTGACTACACCACAGTTGTCATTTTTCTCTTCTTGGCTGCTAAAAAAAAAAGGGGAAATAAATAGGTTCGGCTACATTTTGCGATTGCTCAGTGCAAAGAAATGATTTCTCTCTAAAATCTGGTTGAGTCATTTAGTGTGTTAGCAAATGGGAAACAAACGGCTTATAAAGATGTTAATATTTCATCAAAGACTGACTGCTCTGACTACTTCCACTTTTCCTCCCCTCCAAACACTGCAAGTTTAAAGCACTGTTTAAAGCACTTCAAAAAAAGGTGACAAAAATGAACTACATCAGGAGGACATGGCTAAGAGAATGAATCAGGAGAACAAGCAAGATGTGCAGTAGTCAACAGCGTATCAATTCAGAGATGATGGTGATTTACATAAACAGAAAGTCAAATCCTGTCTCCTTCGTTACACAGATTCTTTGATCCATTATGTATATATATTGATTTCAACTCAAGGACAGTTTAACCAGGACAAACGATCTAGATCTCCGATCTGTCTTCGTCCCTTCGGCTCCTCTGAACACATACACCTTGTTTGCAAATAAAAAAAAGAAACGATAAAAACGTGCATCAAAGTTGCAAGATCTCGGGCTGGGTCCACGTGGGTGTGCCAGCTCCTCACAGAGTCCCAGCTGCGGCCGGACATCAGACAGACGTTCCATTGTCAGTGCTTGAAGCAGCCTGGGGGAGACAAGAACAGACACACATGTGATCACAGTGTCAAAACAGTCTCGATTCACACAGTTCTCAGACTCAGAGTGAACATTTTACCCCGTGCCCTCATAGCAGACATGATGATGATCATAACACATAAAAAGATTTATCATTTGCAGTCTATGAGTGCGAAGCTATGGCTTCAAAGCATTGCATAGGATCTTCTCTTCAAACGTACTTTATACTTCAAAAAGATCCCTAAACATGTTTCTAAACCATCCTATAAGAGAGACTATGCGTACTTTATACTTCAAAAAGATCCCTAAACATGTTTCTAAACCATCCTATAAGAGAGACTATGTTGAGAAAAGTGTTATGAAAAAAGTAGTGTCCGAAAAATCAGGGAAATATTTAATATTGAGAAGTAATGATAAATGTCTTTCAAAATTTTTTTTCAAAAGTCATGCAGTCGTCATTCTTGATTTAAAACTCAAGCTTGTGAGAGTTTTTTTTTATTTAAAAAAAATACAAAGAGATCCACTTTCTGTGGTTGATAATGTTATGAAATAGAAATAAGGTTCAGCTCAAAGAACTAGTAAGATTCTCATCAATGCATTAAGTTCTCAAAAGTAGTGGTACCCGTTTTCTTAAAAAGGAAAAGGTATGGTAAGTTATTATAGACCGGTGAGATTAAAAGCAGTCCCAATAATGGGAAATTCTTTTTTTCAAGTTGTAAGTAAAAAAAAAAGATAAGATAAAAAGATGAAAAGACAAAATATACATATTATAAATGCAATGGTTCCATCTGTCTCCTTTATAAAGTAGAAATTGCCCAAAGCCTGTGAAGTCAGTACATGAACCAAACCTTATCTTGTCACTTTTGTATCAAACCAAACACAATGTGAAATGGGTTCACTTTGAGCTGCACAACGCTCCATAACCAGCACCTCACTCTTACTGAAGATTGAAACATGTCATCAAGTGTTTTCATTACATTATCAATCTAAGGATAACTTGAACATATTAACCTTTTGTCTGTACCTCTGTGTAATTCCCACATAAATTGCTTTAGTGGTTAATACTGTTAAATATCTCTATGCATAATTATGGTGCTGTCTCCGCCTACACCATAATGTTCTCCATCTTTTCACTGCAGAAGAATTTCTTTACTAGTACTAGAAATATCACCTGTCTAGGGTTATCAATTCTTCTGCAAAGAACACAGAAATTTTCAAAAATTCAAAAGGGGGAAAGCAGGGGGGGTCGGGCATATATACAGAGTAAGATACACATAGCTCAGGGAATGGACAAGAGAGAGACTACATTTCCATCAAACGCCAGGAATGAAGAACAAGAAAAGTGAACAGTTTCCATCATAAAAACCACACTGATGGCAGTATCCAGGATGATTTTTCGAAATTACTCCGCTGACCTTTCAAATCGTCACATTAATTATCTCATTTATATACACAAAAGTTCTATGAGTTCCTGTTACATCTCTTTATATACCGAAATGTACGATAATCTGTTAGGTTTTTTTCCCCTATCATGTGACCTCTTTTGCACTTTTAAATATTGTAGTTGTAGGAATGAAAAGAAACAATTGTAAAGCTTCATTTTTCTTACACATGTGCATAAAACGAAGGCAATCCATTATCATTAGCATGTTAAGACACAAAGCTCCGAGAGCAAGAAAATATAAACAAAGTCAAGCAAAAACCGTCTCCAGTTGGCGTATGTTCACCGAGAGGTTACAATCATGTTGAGCAGGAGGAGCAACTGGACAATAGTTACATTTGTGCCCTGGCCAATGTCTGATACAGTTTGGAGAAGAAAAAAAACAACTAACAAAAATGCCAAGAAAAGGTGTGCAAAAAAAGATATTCAGACCTGAAATCATTTCCAAAGTCCCTATTTAAGTTTAGAGACACAAGAGAGGGTACATGAAATACGCTAAATTTATGCAACATGTATTTTTCCAACTAAGACAAGGTAATATATTGTGAATCACGTAATCCTTTATGAGGTCACTTTTCTTTTCAAATTTTAAGCTAGTAACTTATGAGGACTTCATTGTGCTTTTAATGAACAAAGATATTGACCTATAACAAGGAAAATAAGTCAACCACACCACAGAGTGTACTGTACATTGGTAAAAACCGTGAGTCATATCCTCATACTTTGACTACATTCTTACAAATACCACAAGCACAAAAATATGGTATGACTTGGTGTACAAATCACATTGTATGGAAGGCACTGTTGAACACAGACGTGCTGACCACCAGAAATATACTTGTAGAGAACAGACACACTGAAAATCAACTTTGTATAGACTTCATTTGTTCACTTTCTTATATTACCATAGACTACAAGAGTTTGCACTTCACAAAATGTACTCATCACAACATAAGGTTTCAGAGAAAAGTGTAAAATTTACTTTCTTATCAAGATTAGAATTCCAAACCTTAACATTAATTCCTCTATAGACAATCCCAGCACAATCTGCTCTAATATGGCTTATTATTGTGGGATAACTAAGAGGGTAGAAGGAATCAAGACAGTTATGGGATGGAAGGGACTAATATCAATCTACTGGGTAAAGAAACAAACAGACCAAAATTTTAAAAAAAACAACCTTACACAAATCAAATTTGTGATGATAATAATAAGAAAAAAAAACATGCTAAGCCAGCAGAGAAGTAAAATTTGAAAGGTAATAAACCTTAACAGTTTTTCTACATAATGAAGATAACTTATAAATAAAAAAATCAAATATGCTACTCAGGATGGTGGCAAAGTGAAGAGGAGGTCATCAAGGAAGGAAGTACAAAATTTTTGGGTTTTTTTTAAATTCTCAAAAAAGGTGTACAGAGAGCTTATTTCTATTGGGGGACATCTAAAACCCGACCGAAATTTCTTTACATTATCTGAGGTACCCATTACCGTGCGTTCAATGGTTTACTTACCAGGACTCCAAGTTGAGCCTACAGTTAACACATGGATGAATTTGGATGAAGTGAAACAATGTAACCACAAAGTCTTTCGGTGATCATAGATAAATATCTTAACATATATGAAGGACTAACAAATGAATACAAGCACTTGCTCCACTTCAGTTTAGAAAGACGGCCCAAGAAAATCCCTCCACTTACCTACCTGTCAATTCCAGAGACAAAGAATAAGCAGATTTAAGATACCTCACTTCTCCACAACAAGACCTACTTATGTCTTTCTCCAGCAGGACTGACGGAGTCTGGACCCCCCCCCCCCCCCCTAACCCTGGCCCAAGGCTTATGCACAAGTTAATAAGCAAAAGCTTTTTTTTTTATTACATAGAGGCAGAGCCAATGTACATGTTACTAAAGCAATGTATTTATATCATTTTAAAACTACATCAAAGTAAACTTGATACATGTATCAATTATTTGTGATTGCTATTCAAACTGGTTCTTTTCGTCCTGCCATAATGAGAAGACATACAGGCAATCACGCCCCTCCACTCAGCTTCATACTCAACTTGTTTTACTAAGGACATTAATTGTCCAGTTGCCCATTATTTCTGTCAATAAACATATCTACTTGAGCCTTCCAAGGTTTCATAAAATCATTTTTCTCAAGAATATTTCAGATTGTCTGAAGAAATAAGTTAATTGCATTTTCCTAGGGTTCTCTTTCCATAATTGTTTCAAGCTATTAAAAAGTATTCTAAGCCTCGCTGAAGGCCCATGTTAAAAAAATAGCTATGGACTCTTTCCTCTTGCTTTCAATAGAAGGGATATTTGGAAAACAACCTGTTCTTATCCAGTATATACCTCCTTCCCCATAGGAAAGTGGCAAATTTGAAAAAGACAATTCTAATAGTTGACCAGGGGGCCACTAAAGGCCATACGAGGTAAAAGCCATTTCTGTAGCCAAATGAGCAGCTGCACAATCTATAAAAATACCTGTGACCACACTGTGTCTACCTCGACCCTTGAAAGAATTAAAAACAAGCACGTCACTTGTTAAAAAATCAAAAACCTACTGTTGTTGCAAGAAAAGAAATTAACAACTTTTCCCATACGTAGAACTTTCCAAAGATCTTTAAAGATTCCCGATAAGACATCAATGTCAACATAAGTTTGTTTGAGATAATGGATGTCTATCTATTAATTACAAAACTAATCAGCAGATACTTTGAAAATATAATACTAAATAAACTTTCCTTTTCCCAACACAGGGCTTAAAAGTAACAAACATAAACAGAAATCAAAAAGAAAAGCACGAGCACCAAAAAAGGGATCTTTTTTCACAAATAAAATCAAACTCTCCACCAAACTCCCTGTGTTATAATTTCCTTTGCTTAATTGAGGGTGTGGTTCAACACAGTGAGACCTTTCAAACATACAGCATTGGGAAAACAACCCTTAACAGCCAAAATTTCATATCTCATCTTTCATTAAGATAATAATCGTTTTTTCTAATTATTCAAAAAGTTGGAAACAAGTGATTACTTTGTGCACACGAAAACAGTTCTAAATGGTCTCTATCTCTCCATACCAATCGAAGCTGTATATCTTTCTATGATATAGTGTTATAATGGTCTCACATCCCTCTCAACATCTCGCTACAATATAATGGCGTTGTATGGGCTTTACGCTCCTCCCACCATCTTTCTTTGCTATTGTTCATTAACCTCTAACAAGGGTAATCAACTTACCAGTCTCTCACTGAGCTGCTTATTGGCGGACATTTCACGTTCTAGAAGCTTTTGCTTTTCAGACAGCTTTGAACGCAGCTACACACCATGCCACAACACAGACATAGAGCCATTAGGGTTTTGTTAGTCACAGAAACAAGGCAGAAAATGATGGAGGGGGGAGGGGGGGTGTTCTCTCTCTCTCTCAAACCCCTTGAGATTTAAAGCTTCATTTCCCTTTAATTGTGGCATAACAACAAAAGATTTAAAACATAAAAGGAGAAACAAAGAAGAACAAAAAGGAAAAGTTTTTAAAAAAAAGAAACAAAAACCTATGGCTTAACTTAAAAATGCTACCCCCACCCACATGTCGACAATGTTTTCCTTTACTTAGTTCAAGAAAAGTTTATGAAAACCAAAGAGAGAGTTGCAGAAAGTATTCAAAGAGAGGAAGGGAAGATAGAAGGATGGTGTTAGTGCACTAAGTGAGTATCTGAGCTATATTTGAGCAGAGAAAACGACTAGCTCTACAGCCCAGCTATACATTTATTTAATACAAACTACACTTGTGTCAGTTAAGTCTGGGATTGTGTGCATAAAGCAAAGAAGAAACAAACAAAAATTATGTATGATAGTACGTTAAGGATAAAGTACAACAAATTACTGGACTATGATCAGAGGAAAGGAAAACGAGTGAAGAACACAATACACAGTCAAGGAAATGTGTATAAGGCAGAGCAACAGTTCGGGCACAGTCATCCTGTGGCTAACAAGGTGCTACCTATAAACACAAACAGTTGGCACAAGTTGTGAATCTACACAAATTGTAAACTTGCTTCATTGATTAATATGAATTACTTTAAAGTTTTGAAAAAGTTAGTAAGAGCAGCTCTGGTGATAGAGGGGTAATTCCAGCATTACATTTGAAATACATATATGCGTAGCAACAGCAGTGTTACGACCTGAGTCACATTATGCCAACTGTTTACGTCATCAAAGTTAGAATTAAAAAGCAAGTTCAAAGTATTGGATTACGTAGACATGCAATGTGGATCTGCAGACATTAAAGGAATAGATAAGAGAAAAGATCTATTGTATATACATAAATAAATGATGAACTTGGTGAATCTAAAAATCATGAACGCAGAATAAGGTAAAGAGAAGAAAAGAAACAGAAAAAACAAAAGAGACAAAAAGTGAATGCTGTGAAGCGAAGAACACTGAACAAAAAACAATTTCTCCCCAGCCTATCTGTACTGTACCTGCTCTATTTCTTCCGACTCAGACACTCCAGACTTCTGAGGATCAAGAGCGTGCACAAGTCTTTAAGCATTGGCAAGACTACCCAGCTCTATCAGGGAGGTACTCACCCCTCCTAGTACAAAAGGGGTCAGAATAGCTTGAAACAAAACTGAACTTGCTGGCAACAAAAAGGAGACCGTGTAAATGAGAGGAAAAGCACTTTGTGATCAGGTGGAGAGGGGGGGGGAGGTGGGGAGCTTGACACGGCAAAGCTTGCAAATGATTTGGGGTTCTCAGTGTGAACAGTGACTTCACAAAAAACAATTCACCAAGATTCAAAGCTCATTTAGATATTAGACTTAATTCATGAACATCTACTTCGCAAAAATATTCAAGGCGAGAGTTTAAAATAGCGTTAGTAAAGAATTGGGAGCAAAAGAAAAAATTGTTCAGTTCTACATCATAGAGGAAAACCATAAGCCCAGGCCCCCTACAGGATGAAATGTGAACCATATCTATGCCCCTTTTTTCATTATATATATGAGCATGTCTTTTCATTTAGGTTGAGAAAGAAATGTTCCATTTAAGGCCACATGCTATTACTGTCAAGTCATACAAAAGAAAGACATGGTTTAGGAGCAGGGTGCATTTATTACAGTCAAGTTAAACAAAGAATGAGTTTGTTTTAATTGAAGAGGCATGTTATTAGCAAAAAGTTTACAAGAATGAACATTTTATTTTATTTATAAATACAGGCTGTAACAGTTTAGTAACAAAAATAGCTATCCTGCTTCACTTATGAAACAACGTTAGGAGAGTTAAGTAGTGCAGAGGAACATCTTTTATTTCCACATTCAAAGACTATCAAACCAAAGGGCACAGCACGTTACGCTAAAAGCTGACTGAACTGAGTCCAACCCCAAAGCAGCAATGAACTAGGACGCATGAGGACGTCCCGCCACTCACCACAGACTTGTAGTCCAGCTGTTCCTGCAGTTTCTTGACCAGCTCCTGCTCTTGGGACAGCGCGTCCTGGCCAGTCTTGATGATGCCGTTCAGTTTGACCACGTTCAGAGACAGGTCTTTGTTCTTCTTGCGCTCTACCTGTACCTGACTGCGGAGCTCTTCCACTTCCTGGATTGACAAAACAAAAAGTATTCATATAGTTTCATCATAAGATTAATCATTATTGTCCACTGTTAAGTTTTCATCAGAGTTTGACGGCACTTGTAACACAATTAGGTCATATAAGTATCGAATATTAGTTTTAGTTTAGTTTTAGTAGAGGCTTTACGGCACTTGTAACACAATTAGGTCATATAAGTATCAAACATTAGTTTTAGTTTAGTTTTAGTAGAGGTTTTACGGCGCTCGCAACTGCATAAGGTCATATGAGCGCCAGAAGATTAAAGGGGTTACAAGAGAGTAACAAACATAAAAAAGAAGAAGGTGAGATAAGGACAATAGATGTTTGACAGGAAAGAAGAAGCAAACCACACCAGAGCACCCGCCAACCGCCCACCTCGAACATTAGAAGTGTTACAAACAAGTATCAAACACAAAAAAGGAGAGATAAGGACAATAAATGTTTGATAGGAAAGAAGGAGCAAACTGTACCCGAGTACCCGCCAACCACCTACTTATTGTCCACAAACTTCCTAAAACCCTGAAGTGGATGGAATACAATAACACTGCAAAGCTCAGTAGAACATGTCATCCTAAAATAAACAAGTGCTCAGTAACAAAAACAGAACATCCTTCGTCTTCAAAGAAACTTCCAAAACATTTTTTAAAAAGTTTTCTTTACCCACTTTGTGTATGGTAATTAGCAACAGATAACTGTATGGGTTCAATACTAAGGTTGTATAAATTACGGGACCTCCAATCTTTAAATCTATCTCTGTTATGACTGAACCAAGTAGGCAGAGAGCTTTCAGAACTCCTCAAACAAGCAAGTTCAAACGCACCATATCACCACATCAGGGATTCAAATTAGAGTCATCCCAACCATACTCCACGACGATACCAACTGAGGTAACAGCACACCCTTTCTGTCTATTGCTATGACCAAAAAAAATTTAAAAAGTAAATATAAAAGACAATCACAGACTCATATGAGGGGAGACAAACTTCTGTGAAATTATTTTCTCTCCATGTCAGGTGTCAGCACAATGATAGTAAGCATATTTGGCTGAGAACAGATTTGGACTCAAATCATTCAGGCATCAAACAGTAAAATAACTTACTTTATCTGAACTTCCAGAAGTTGTTGTTTTCTCAAGCTCCATGACTTTAGTAATCACCTGGGGGATAAAAATACGAAAGGACTGGTAAGATTTATATCTTTCAGAGAACACAAAAAATTTTTGGATCATTAAAATTTTTTTTAAAAATATATTTTAACAGGAGAGACATAAGGATCAGATATGTTAACTAACCCTCTACCCATAAAAACCTACCACTACCATTCTACTTCCTGTTCACTGCAACATGCACTATGCAACAGTTGGCCATCACCTTCCCTTCAGGGAGAAACTACAAGAGCCACGAGAGCAAATGCTTTAACAACCAATAATTATCATGTCCAACCCTGTACACAAAAAGACAATACACAACCAAAGCATTCTGCTCCATCTACTGTGCTAAACAAGCACGAGCAAAAAAGCTCAGCAGCCACTAGGTCCACAACAACAACAAACAAAAACTACAAAAGCAGCAAAAGAAAAAAAGCCTATAACCACTACTTGAGATTTAAGTTGATGTGTAATATTTCCTCCGAATTCACGAAAATTTCAGCCAATTAATATTCAATACCGTTTTGACCCTAAGCGTCACGGTCACCCAGGGCTATGTGGGACACATCCCAGCGAAAAAAAAAGAGAGACACTAGTACTAGATAAAACCTCCCACCCTTAATATATGGTCGCTTTTAAGGACAAGCGGGCTAATTCAGATTTCGGGGGTTTCTAGAAATCTTGACCTACACTAAAAGTGTTCATTGCCCTACCTATAGGAAAAGTTTGGTATCATTGGTGTGTATATTTGTTTCGTTATAGAGAAAACTCTCCCTGTCTTTCAAAGAATCTGAACAAGGAGCCAAAACTTTAACTTCGATTTTCTCAAAATGGCATTTTTCGGGATAGCCCCCTTGTGCTTAAAAGCGACCATATAAAGTGAAGAGCCTAAAGACTAAACAACAAACATGAGTTTCAAACTGCTCTACAAACAAGAGTGCACAAACTGTAACAAGACAATCTCCACAACATCATCAACCAAAACCACATACCCTGTACAACAGCTTCATTTCATTAAGAAAAAAAAAATTGGATGTGAAAAAGGACCATTTCATTTACATTCCTCTCATCTTTATGGAACACTTGCGGCAGAATTACCCAACATTGGACCCCCCTCCCCACTAGTGGCAGAATTATCAAACATGGAACACACCCCCCCCCCCCCCCTCCCCACACACACACGCAAAAAGGAAAGAAAAAAATTATATTTTTTAAAAAGAGAATACAGACAAGAATGTTAAAGATATGAAATAACGAGGACCTGCTCATAACATTGACAAAATTTCTTTCAAAGCGTAACTTTTGACAACCCCTTAACATCCCCAAAGTAAAAAAAAAAGAAGGCTAGTATATTGTGGTGGATATTATCCGATGACTGACCGTCTCCTTCTCGGAAGTGAGGACAATGATCTTTTCCTGAGACTCTCTCAACTCCTCCTCCAGAGTTTCCACCTTGGTCTGCATCTGAGAGCACACAAGAAACAAACATGAATGAACTCACTGCTTGAGAAGGCTGTTGTCGCCATCTGTGTACCAGCCACATGACATAGCACACACAAACACATCTTTCTGTCCCAACCACGTACAAGCACAAAAGCTTTTAAGTACAAAAGCACACACGCACGCATGTGTGCACATACACACACACACACACGCGCACACACACACACATGATTCTAACCAACATAACAGCCAGTGTCATTTTTCAAAACACTTTTGTGCTTTTCTGTTATTCATACTTTAAGCTCATTGAGACTGTGCGCTCTGATTCCCATTTCGCAACTCTTTTAGTTTTAATAAGAGTTTTACGGCACTTGCAACATAAAAAGGTCACATAAGTGCTGAAGATTAGAGTTAGAGGTGCTACAAGAGAGTGACAAACACAAAAAAGAAGGAGGAGAGATAAGGACGACAGATGTTTTATAGGAAAGAAGAAGCAAACCACACCAGAGCACCCGCCAACCACCCGCAATTTGCAATTCTAGACATAGCATTTTGGGAATGTTTAAGATGCCCAAATGAAAGACAAAAGCAAGCTAAGAGGGGGAGAGGGGGTTGATACTCATTTTCCACTAGATAAACACCAAGCAAGAAAGATGTTTCTAGCGTCAAGCACTATTTTTCTATCCAGAAATGAAATAATCATGAGAGATTTTTTTTTATCCATCACCAGAAGGCATGGACTGCAATTACTAGCAGTACAAGGACAAAAAAAAACAACATCAAATTTTTAAAAACAAATTTGCTATTTCAACTTCAGCAGAACCTGAAAAAGGTATTTGTTTTAAATTGCAAGCTTTCATTTTCTTACTCATCTTTTAAAAAAAAAGAAAGAAAAGAAAATATAAACGCTGGCGGTCAAAATATGGCCAACATGGTTTATACCCTTGTGCAAAATGACACTGTAGTGAGCGCTGTCTCAATGAGTTAAAGAGTAATGACCTAGACTTACGACCATTCCCCAACCTGGCAACACAACTGTGATTGCCCATTTCAAGAAACCCATTTGTCACAAATACCATATTTTAACAACAGAGCTGAAATAATTAACTCTACTTTTGTCTAATCTTCTAAACGAAAAAAACAAAACTTAATCACTGTCATTGCAGCTTGGATTTTAAAAGAAGAAGACAGGACAGAGGGGCAACAGCAGTAATGCTCATTAAAGAAATACAAGTTTATTGAACTAAGCTCTCAAACTGTATTTTTGCACGTTCAGAAATAAAAATAGAGATATGAACAAGAGTTCTCTAAACAATCTAGAAATCAGCAGTTCTGACTCTAGAATATAAGTTTGTTATAGTGAAAATTTTAAAACATAATTTGCATGGTCGGCATTCGACATTGTAGCGTTCTGAGTTCTTAATTTGAGTTGGTAGACTTGAGTACCTATTTCCCTAGACCAATATCACTTTACTTTATAACCTAACAATTAAAAACATCTGGTATTGAAAATGAAAATTTGAAACTTAGGAAACATCCTACCATAACCACTTTATTTCAACCCTTTATAGTGTGTGCACCCATAGAAAATAAAATATGTAAAGGGTAAATAAAAGGCATAACTTTAACGTGTATAACCAGCAATGAATATGAGCCCAATACCCAAGTAGACAAAACAAGAGAAGTAAGTAGTGTTTTCTTCCACCCCTATCACACCCACAGAAATGAGGTTACGGGACGCTAAAAAAGTTAATTCCACACTGGCACATCCACTGCGCATGATGCAAAAAAACCTGCACACATCACAATCACATGACTTTATCATCTGGGCAAAAACACAGTGGAGCCCAGAACACATGAAGAACAATTCCCACACTCTGGTTATTTTTCTCATACACAATGTACTTGTCAAACGGCCCAGATTTTATTGTTCTTTCACTGTCAAAGTAATTTTAGATCCTCAAATGTGTTGGAGTATTCTGTGCTGTACTGTGGTCACCCACTGAAACGTCACACAAACCGACAAACAAAACAAATACAAATACATGAAAAGAAACTAGAAGGTAGAATAACAAACTGAAACCTTCTTCCTGCAAATTGTATAATATTACAAGTGAATTATTGGACTGATTGATTCAATTTGCCAAACACAAGGCATATGACAGAGAAAGTAAACCTTGCCCACTGAAAGGAAAATGATGACATTAAGTATGAGAAAACCTGCACCCCACAACCTCATTTCCACAGATCAGATTCAGAATATGAGCATCCATGAATAAATAACATTGTGCGCCTGGGGGCTGTTTTGGACAACCGACGTCTCTTTCCCTACCCCTTTGGTATGGGTTTCATAAGGTCAAGATTTTTTGGGGCAAGACCCATTCCTAAAGAGGTGAACCATGCTACTTCATCTCGTCCACAGTTACAACTTGTCTGTGATTTGACAAAATATTGAAAGGATTTGACAAAACTTCTGATGGAAGAACCAAACTCTGTTTTTGTTTCACAAAATGCAAGTGAACTTTGCTAACTAAGGGTTAGGGAAAGTCCCTACATATAGATGGCTCCAAACTAAAACAGCAAAAAGTGTTTTCATAGTTTGGGGTTTTCAAAGTAGAATTCAAAAATTGGGTTTTTCTAGTCCACATATTCACAAACATGAAGAATGTAAAAGCATTTGCTTTATACCACGTCCTATCTGAAATTGGTCACAAATTCTGTAGGCAAAATAGAGAATGGTCCTTCCGTCTCTCAAAAAATGTTTGTATGCCAACAACTAAGGACAAAACATACAATAAAATACTGAGAATAATAATTAATATAACAACCATACTGAGGGATTTTCAGTGTGTTAATTCATAAATGCTAGACATTCAATTAGTTTTTTTTTAGTGGGGGTGGGGAACATGGGGACACACATGCTTTCGCCATCATCACTGACCAGTGTCTGACAACCCTGAGACTACATCTAAACAATTCATTCATCTTATGAAATACATACTCACAAAAAATTATGATAAAGCAACCCCTTGCACTCTTTCCATCTACCTTGCAACATTTGTTTGTCAGCTTACAGATAGTACACAACCCACTCTCCTTTCTCTCAAGCAGCTATGCTACATCCAAATGATGGTTGTCAAACACCCATTGCCAGACTCTGCTCACTGATCAGACCAGCTATAAGAAATATACCATGCTAAACACAAAATACAGCTGTACAGTGGCTTAGCTACAAAAAGGAATAGTTGATGCTTGATGCATACCTCATCAACAATATTGGTGAGACTTTTTTCAACACATCGATAGGCAAAGCCCAAATCTGACAGATCCTAAGGAGGCCAAGACAAGAAATTGTACAACACTCAGCACAAACGGGAGCAAAAAAGGGAAACATCAGTCTAACAACATTTCACTACACCAATTACAACATCTAAGAAAGGGAACATTTCAAACATCCGAGAAAGTAAGAATTTTGATAAACTAGGCCTACACTACATGTGAAAGGGGAACCCATTAGGTTTAAATTCTAAAGATTATTTTTTTACACTATCAAGTTTATTTTAAAATAATGATTAACCGAATAGTTTATCTACTTTTCCTCGGATCTATTTTGCCAACAAAACATGAATAATGTCTACAATGAACACTGTTTTTTCGTCACAAAGTGCTTAAACAGTTAAAATAAGACTTATCTGCAAATGCATATCAGTTAATTAATTTCTAATTGACAGCAAAACTTGAAAAATATGAAAGTGTACAGTTCTGAATAAATTCAATATGTACTGGGTTCCTCTTCAATTATGGTCTAACAAAAGAATCAAACGCAATTTGAACATACAAACTATACATAGCAGTATACTAATGGAGCTAGCATGAGAACTGACATTTTCTGCCTCTATCTCAAACTGACCAACACCTCCCCCCCCCCCCCCCCCCAACAAAAACTAGATCATGACAGTCGCAATTGTCCGTTGCAGATTATGCATAATAATCTGTGATTGTACGAGCTCAATGATGCTAAGTAATTGAGCACTGGCACCACTAGAACATAGTAAAGGAACAAGACCCAAGTCTCAAACTACCTTCTACACGGCTAAGATTTACAGAAGCCAGCCACTCTAGCAGTCTCATCACTGTATACAGGCATGGAAAAGAGCACACACACTCTTTCTGTTGTACATTATGAGTCTTATCTTTCACACTCTTTTCTCAGTCTACGCATAGAGTGCCATTATCTACACAGCCAGTCAAGCGAATAGATTGTCTGCACACAAAAAAAAGCACTAGCATAGAGCAGAAATGGCAGTGCTTTGGGTGGTGGGAAAAGAGAGGGCGGACTCCAGATATTTACAGCTTACTTCAGTCGTTAAAAAGGTAATCCTTTCAATTCATCACTACAATTGTATATATCATCTCCCTTCCAAAATTTTTTTAAAATATTTACTCATAGCAGCTAGCGTTCCATAGACTAGATGACAATTGTTTACTACATAAATATCTTTGGCCAAAACATTGCAGTTGCAAAATATTTTTTATTGCTGACAGAACATTCACTCCATTCTTTAACAAATTAACACTACGAAATAAATGTCTTAAAAACACATCTATATTATTATTAAAAAACACAAATTTTAATAATTTTTTTAAAAAACTAAAAAGCTTATGGGTTACAATGTCAGTATTTTCAAAAGCCACAAGAAATTAAGTTACTCTCCAGTCAGACAAAAATGTAAACCAGTTTACTATTTATTTTTAGCAATTTGAAGGAAATAAGTACACTGGGAGAGTCCCTGCTCTCTTCACAGATCTTCTATTTCATTTCACACTTCAATATAGATCTCAGCAGACTTTCTGCACTTAAGCCCTTCTCGTAAAAATGTGCAATAGCAAATCACACCAAACCATTTCTCTCAAGAAGATCAAAAAAGCAAACAACAGAGGGAACTTTTTTCTCTAATACATATTATTAATTCTTACCATACCCCCCCTAAAAAAAGTGTGTTTTATTGGAATATCCCCATATATGTATGTGGCATGCTACAAAAGAATCATTTATGCATGTTATCAAGGATTAAATATTCATTACATTATCAAAAATGTTAAGTCTACACACATATATGTAGTGTGTGTATTGAATGCTTCACCTAACGTAAAATACAAGTCTAAATGGAAAATCATTTTTAGAGTTGTCTGAACCTAACAGTCTCTACATTTTGAAGCATTTAAACTGAACAAGCTTTCTAGAAGTATGACTTCAAAATTCACCATTCATAAGAAAAAACCCAAGAGAATTCAAACACTTCCCACGAAAAATAAAAACTACAAAATAAACAGAAATAAGCAGAATTTTTTAAGAACCAAAGTTTTTAAAAATGCTACAAAGAGTGTTAATGAAAACTTTTTAATGTATAAACGCTTTGTAAACATACACTTTACATGGTGAAGAAAAGCAAAAAAATTTTGCTTTCAAATAAACTTAAACTGAGGAACGGTGATAGATCCTGTACTTTATTATACAAATTCTTCTTGAACCTTACAAAATTTTCATTGTTAATTTTGAATCATGTACAACAAGAGTCATTGAAATAGTTTGAGAGAAAAATCAATCAGCAACAAGGTTTGAATCCTGAAGCTAAAAACAGACAACAACCTTAGCAAAAATGATTAAAGTGTATTTCCAGATTACAGGAATCCCAGTAATAATGTATACTCTGATCTACAAATCAGGAAAAGTCATGAAATTGTGTGGATTACTAACAGAGTATTCACACAGGCACAAAGTTGACAGCCCACCCTAACAAACACATTCTAATGTCTACTAGGCCCTTTGTTTCTTGTTTACCTTCTTGTCGCATGTGAAATTATGTTTTGAATTCTTCATTAACCAGGAAAAAAAGAAAATAAGCAATGTGAAAAGATAAGGAGCCGCTCCAGTAATCTACCACACTAGACTTGAATGCACACCAAATTGTGATCTAGACAATGAGGGGTACATGGGGATTTATCCTAAAGAAAACTAATAGAATCAGTTTCAACAGCTGATCCACTTCTTTGATTTGCTGTTTCTTCTTGCACAAACATACACTAGATCTGTTTCCTTATTCTGCTTTTCCTTCCAGCAAAAATAATAGTTTAGATCCATTTGTTTGTTACCCCCATTCCTCCTGTACACACTCAGAGATCTATTTCCATGTTTTGCTGATTGTGCAAATACAAGTACATTGCATTTACTTCTTTGTATCGCTGTTACAAAAATAATCAAATTCATTTCTTTAATTCATCATTTCTTGCGAGCAAACTAAAATCCTGGAGTAATTTCTTTTCAAAAATACTTCATGTACCTTGCAAGGTGTAATAAAATTGTTGACAGTTGCCTCCACAAACTCATTTTTAACCCCTTGAACCCGTTAGCCCGCTAGAGCAGGCAGGCCAGATTTTGTCTCCTCATTGTGTGACCACTGAAAAGAGAAGACACATCTTTCTCCCATTTCTCAAGATTATCTATTGGAGGGGCAGGACTGGCATAACTAGGCAGAATACAGGAGGTAATTCAGGTAAGACATCTGACTGGATATCATGATCAGGATTGTTAAGACATATTTCAATCTTGAAAATGCATATTTCCTGCAACAAAGCATGAATGCCTGCACAGTGGATCAAGAGACCAGGTGAAGAGTCAACTTGGTCTCGGAGGTCAGGGTTCAAAGGGTTAAAAGAGAGACTCGATTCAGTCATAAATTATTTGCTGACAGGTGAGGACAGACATTTTTGACATGTGTCTCCACCTTGAACTGCTTAAAATTTGGAAAAAGAAAAAAGTAAAACTTTGAAAACTCTACTTTCCACTCGACAACAATATTCCATTTCATGAAGGAAGATATGCTCAAAGGAACTTACAGTTTACATTGGGTGGGGGGAGGGGGGGGGGGTGTTAAAAAGGGGAAACTGAGGAGGATAGTACAACACACTATGTTCTACAATGGCAAAAACTGTCAGGAAAAAAAAAAAAAAATTTTTAACACTCCACACAAAATGAACTTAAAAGGGAAAGCTTTGCATCACACTCAATAAAGGGGAAAACATTTCAGTTTGACAATTTTTCCAAATTAACCATTGTTGGTAACAGCCACCCAACATTTCACAAGTCTCGAAAAGAAATTATGTAAAAAATGAGAACGCTTCTAAAAGTCTTCACCAGAAATAATGAATAAGAAATAACCCAGACATCTAACCCAAAATGGATAAAATAACAAGAAAGTTTGCAAACAAATTTTGAAATTTCAGAGAAAAGAAACTTTGACCTGTCCCGTAGCCAGACAAAAAAGATATAAAATAACTTACAGATCCCTCTGGCAACTGTTTTTGAAGTAGTGTGCATAAAAACAGGGAAAGACAAAAGGTAGACAGGCAAGAGCTTTTTTGGAGAATTTTCTTTTGTCAGTGGTGGTTTTCATTTAAGACTTATGAACCATGACAAACCCATCTTCTGTATTTCAAAAAAAGAACTTTTTGATGCACGATGCTGTTAGACTACTTAATATGACAAGTGACATAAATACCAACATGGAAGTGACAGGAAAGAAAGGCCCCAAAAGGAAATTTTCTCAAATATTACACTAATTTCTAAAATGTTTGCAGGAAAACATTTATCGTCAATTTACAGCGAAAGCAGAACATCAAACACACAACATAACATAACCTGTATGACCATAAAGTTGTTTGTGTTTTTTCAACTGTATTAGAAAGGCAAACACTGCCAAAACCTTCAGTTTTAATGAAAGTCACAGTAAGGCACAACATTTTAACACAAAAGTCAACTGGAGGAATAAAGAAGCAAGCAAAAGCAAGCATTACATACCTCTTCACTACCCCGAGAGTCCAACAGTTGCTTCTTCAAGTTGGTTAACTCTTCTTGAGTCTGAAAGAAGAGTAGTAAAACTTCAGTATTACACTTCTGTAGATTCACACATCCCTTATATCTCTGCAAGAGAGACACCGACATGAAAGTGGTCAAAAAACATAATTTCCATCTTCAAAACAAAACAAGAAAACATAAAACCACTGATATTTAAAGAGATTTAATCATAACATTACCCTGTAAGAAACAAGATAAGATCAGTCTTGTCTCTCGCATAAAAGTAAATTGTTTTAGTAAGCACTTGTATATTAAAGAAATCAATCTTACACATCATTTGAGGCTGATCAAAATTATGAACAGTAGCCTTTAACTGCCACCAAATCTTACTTGATAATTTTACTAATCTTATCTAACTGGTCAATGAAGCAAGAGGAAGTAGGAGCAGCCATGCTAGTCAAAAAAACATTAAGGTCAGGACATGGAGGCTTTTTAAGGAAACAGCAGCTTGACCACAAAGAGTGAACAAAACCATTACATATTCATAACCAGCAGATTGTCTGGTTTGACATTTTACTACAGCCTCATTTTCCCTCCAACATAAAACATGAGAGATAGAAAGTAATGAATTATGGAAAACAGAAATAAAAAATTTTAACACTTCAAAATGCATTTGTTTAAAACACGCTTTACAGCTTACGAACTGAATTACAGTTTAGAATTATTCTTGAGCACAATATGCAGGAATTAAAATTTAAACTAAATTTACTTTATTTATGAAATGTCTGACCAAAAAATATATATTTCATTAGAAAGCTTTTTCATACACATCTTAACAAGTAACAGAATCAAGTAAGCAAAGTAGTTATACGGCATATCAGTATTATCAGGCTCTTCAATCAGAATAAAATTAATCCCTAAGAAACAATAACACTTGTAAAGAAATAATAATGCTTTATGGAAAAATGCGATGAACCCGTGGATACCTGGACCAGCTGTGACTGCGAAGAGTTAACTTTCCCCTGCCAGGCATTTTCCTCCGTGGCTACTTTGCTCTCTAATTGTTTTAAACTATTTTCCTGAAACAATGAGTGGAAGTGTAAAAAACTGTGGAGCAACATGTCACAGAGAGAATCTGATTTTCAAATCAAATGGACCAAACAGCCAAACAATAATTCTTTCTTAAATTTTAAATAACATGCAAACAGTAAAAAAAAATGTCCCCAAAACAATAGTAAAAAAAAGCAGAAACAACCCATCAACACTTTCCATACGTTAGGGTTTCACCTAATGATTTCCCAATAGTGGTTTCACTTTTTGATATCCCTTTAAACACAGTATGGATGTCCCTCAAAATGCAGCATTTCCATAAGTATGAAGTTTATTTTCATGCTAAAGAAGAGAGGTATTACTTGACAGGGAGTTGAATAGGCAATGTGATAAGAAAGTACATTAGATGTGGGGAGCACTTTATGACTTGGATCTATAGAATCTGCATAGGCTGATTCTGTTTAAGGTGTTGGCTATTATCGACATCGAGACCACAGTCTGGTCTGTGGGACACCATTACAGTTTATTAGATAGATTATCCAAATATTCAAGAATTACTAAATTTGATAATTGTACACAGATTCATTTGGTATGAAATGCTTTCATACTTTCCTTGCAAATGATTGTGTTTTAAAGAACAGGAATGGTTGCTTTCCCATAATGAATGGTGCAAGAGCCTGACGCATGTATGCATGCATTCCGTATGGAAAGCGTTAAACAAGCAGCATATCAAAATCATAAAAAGTTAACGGCCCACAATTGAGACAAGTGTAAATAGAGGTAGCAGTTTAACTTAGCAACAATAAAGACAGAACAACTAACTGTTTCCTCTCAGATTTGTTGACACAATTTTTTCAATGAAAGAATGCATAATACCACAATGAAGTAAGCAATTTATTATAAATAAAACATTTCAAAGAATGATTCCCAAAAATGCGACTCATTCCTATACATTTTTCCTAACACAAGATAATCTATAGTTCTATCACAAGACCATAAATAAGAATTCACCTACAAACAATTCTGTCTTAGGCTAGTTTTTTTGGCGTTAACATAAAGAATATAAAACTAATACAGTATCATCCCACCCACGACCCCCTTTTTTCTAGAATTAAAAAAAAAAAGCTTACTTGTCTAAAAAAAATAATTTTGAACATACTCATACAAACTGGAAGCTCAGATAAACAACTTAAAATTTGAGGAACAGTGGTTGCTCTCAGTCACAAAAGATATCTTTTGAACAGAAAAAATTCCAACCATGCCAGTCACTAGTTCACTTCTAAACCCATCACTCCATTACCTTTTCAACTCTCTCAACAACAACAAAAAAGTGCACATACTTTAAACATCTGAAGCAGTCTAAAGATGTCAGAAATGATTCTAGTCAGAAAGAAAACAACTATTCTTCCAGACACAAAGAAAACTATTCTTCCACCAAATATGACAGTTTTTAAAAAATAATAAAAGGAGACGACAGAAAGCAGTTGGAGGGGCCCAACAGACCCACGAGTGGACTCACTGTGAGAGACAAAACATTTCTGTACTCCTGCATCTGCTTCTCTTGATCAGCTATGATTTTCTCCAATTCAGCTATCCTCTGTACAGAGCCTGAATTCTGGAGATTTCAATTTCAATATAAGTATTTCTTTCAAATAAATGTTGAGGCATAAAGAAGAAGCTCAAGGAGTACTCTTGTCGTTTACCTTTTGGTCTGGGCACAATATTTCTCTATCTCGATCTTTGAACTGATCTTTGCCTTACATGCGGTTATAATAAAGAAGAGCAGTTGATTTGGTGACAATTACACACAACTTTATGACTCTAAGGAAAATAAACTTATTAATAATCTCCTTGTCATGAACTAGAGTTGTCCCACCCAGGATTCACAATAATCAGAGAAGCGTTAAAGTCAAACTGTGATAAACCCAAGCACAGTTATAAGTTCTGACAAACAAAATAAAACCTTTCTAACAAAGATAAAAACTCAATTTCTATTAATTACGTGAGAATGGCAAATGTGATGCTGGTATCAGTAGAAGCCAATATTTTATCAACAACTTAAACGACACTCTGCATTCACAATAAGAAAAACTTAATTAATCAGGGAAACGAAAACAAACCCACGACTCAATCCATTTGTTTTGAAAAAATTTCTCATTTAAACAGAATATTAAGGTGTATTTGTTGAAAGATAGTCTCCAGATTAATGCCATAATAACAGTTATGATTTCACCAGACACTGATTAATCTTATGTAAGCATAAGTAGCACAAAACAGTAGTATAAGATAATAAGGTGTAGGTCACACCACAGCACTCATCAACACATGTTTAGATAGAACATGAACAGGCAGTTCACAAGTCATCTCACACACAGCTTTTTACCTTAGATGAAGATGACTCTGCAGCCTTCAACTTCTCCTTCCACTTCTTCTCTTCTGCGTCTATACTTTTCTCCAGCTGTTTCAATTTATTTTCCTGCAAATCGCAGAGAGAAAAACATTTTAAGTTCCAACATTCCATCACAAACCCCCCCTGGTCATCATTTCTCAATTAATTTCAACTTACTTGTTACTCTTAAAAAACGCATGATTCAGCCAAAAATCTGCGAAAACCGTTTACACATTGAGCCACAGCTATACTGTTGTACACAAAGAAAGAAAATTATGAGAGTAACTCACTGTTTCTGAGACAATGCTGCGATATTGTTCCACCTCCTCTTTTAACCTCTCGTTATCATTTTCTATTTGAGAATAGGCAGCAGAATCAACCTGAAACACAAAAACAGAATAGTAATTACATGTATATACACACACTAGTTTTCGAACAACTAAATTGTTGTAACTTAGCTTAACAAACCTACAGAAGAGGTGTGTAGCCCTTTCATAACACAATAACCAATGAATTAAGCCTCACTGAAAAAAAAAATTCATTTTTTAAAGTTAAAGAAACATTTTAGCAACCTGCACTTCAGTGACTACACAATGCTGGAACACTATGTCTCTGAACACTACAAACTTGAGTAAAAGAGAGAAAAGAAGAAAAAAATCTACCATATCTGCCCTCCAACCACTCACTAAAAAAATGTCACTGATATTATGATTACCATAAGTAAATAGTTGAAAATGTCTACTACTATACCATGAAGAAGGAAGCCTATGATTACATACAACATTATGTATCTAATGCTCCATCAACACACATTTTGAGTCTCAGGGTCTAGTGTAGTTGCAGGCACCATAAAACTAAGTAAATCGAACCCATGTCTCAGTGAGGACAAAGATTTCAACATTCAAGCAATACTGAAATGAGTCATACCTGTGATGACTTTTTGGATTTGAGCTGGGACAATTCCTTCTCAGCCTCTTGTAATCTTGCAGATTTGCTATTCTGTATGAATAACGATTATGGTCAGTAACAACAAAAAGAAACCTAACTTCTGAGAATAAAAATAAAAATATTGTAAAATGAATTATAGATCATACAGTTAACGTAGTCCCATCAGAAATGTCAGAACTATATTCAGAGGCTAAAAAGAACATACTCCACTAACATTCCATTCATTTATACAAAAAAAGAACTCTCAGGCAGATTTTAAGTCTAGTTCAAGAAAAATGGGACAATGGGGTAGATGATTTTTTTTTAAACTTTGACTATAAAATCCAACCAATCAATATTTGAGCTGGAAATACAATGGAAACTACACACATGATGCGACTTAGCCCAATAATGCTACAAGGAACATCTTCTGAAAAATTAGATCATTACAAAGTCACTACAAAACAAATCAAAGCAAACAGGACTTTATCAATTAATATGTGATGAAACGTATTCAAATTGAAGTTTAAGACATACTTTTTTTTTCAGTGAAAAAGCAAGTTGGAGATGAAATATTCAAGAGAGTACCTACCAGTTCAGTACTCTGAGCTTCATATTTCGTTATTTGAAGCTGAAACTTTTTATTTTCTTCTTCCAATGTTTTGTAGCTGTCCTCGTTCACACTCTGAGGAACAAAAACATGAAACACATCATCAGAAAATTTCGCGAAAACGAAAACACCGAGGAAGAAACTTAAATAGTGTTACAATACACAGTCAAATTAATCCTTTTCTTGGCTGGCAAAAAAATTAGCTTGCCTGCAACTTTCACAAATAAAGCAGTAATATTTCTTATCATTCTCTTACACACAGTACTATGACTTTCTTTTTCTTATATTTTTTTAATTATTATTCTTGCAAACATTTAAGAGTAAAAGTGGTGTATCAGTGATAAGTAAATCAAAAACCATTAATAGATCAAAACTAGAAAAAGATTATTTACCTTAGTGATATGTACAATTTTGACTTCTACCTTCACACAAAAAACTGCTAGACAGCTTTAACTTTAAGTTCAAAACAATGCACACTCACACTTTGGAGTTTCTTGAGAGCCTGTTTCTCGAATGCAACTACCCACTCTTTGTGAGCCTAAACAAAAAAGAAAAGAAACAATGATTAAAGAAAGAATGAGATGGCCACAGAATACAACAAAACAAGGTGAAAAACAAAAAAAAGTTCAAGATTATTAAACAAAAGTAATTAGATATAATTTAAGAGACAGGAAATCTTCCACAATCACATATATTTAGAGACATAAACTGAAGATTTTTTCATTCAACACGTCACGACCTTAGTACTTTCTGGTCATGTCTCCATTTTTTTACGGTGAAAATGTGACATCTTCTTAAGCTCACTCTTTGTTATGAACTGTTTTCACTGTATTAAAAATGGAGATACGACAAGAAAGCACTGGGGTCGCGACGTGTTATAACATCATTTTCAGCCCACACAAAGTGGAACCAAATTTATTTTCGACATTACTAAATATTTGATTGGACATACAATCATCGTTCTTTACTTTTTCCTGATGTGAAATGTAATTACAATTGAACGCAAAGAGTGAACTTTGTTTACATGGTACCTAAAGTAAGGACACTTAATGCAATTAATTTTACAGTACAGTCTTATAAAATTGAATTCAGCAATACCCTCCTTACCAGTTTGTCAGAGACTTTAACCTCTGGGAACAAGCGTTGAAAGACAGCTTTGTCATTAGTCTCAATCTCAACACTTCCAGCAGAACTCATTTCCTGAAAAAAACACAATACACCCATGTTAGTTATACAGTCTTTCCTTTCAAGAACAACAAAAAAAAGATGACACTATAAACAAGCCTTGCTAATAAACAAATAGACAAAAAAACATGGCAAAAGCTTTTAGTCTACTTCATAACACAGGTTATGATTCTCAATACTAGAGAATTTATCATCACTAAATAATGTTATGAGCATGAGGTACAAAACAACAGTCTAAAATGTGTACGAATGTCAAAGACAAAATCAAGTACACATGATATTCTCAACAAAAAATATTCCCTAAAATTGTTTTAAATTAATAGTTCATTCCATTAGGAAACTGAATCACTGAATCAAGTTTGAGGGGAAAATACAAGGCTTGAGGGGAAAATACAAGGCTTATTCAGAAAGTAAAAATTAATGACCAACATAACAGTTTTTGTCAAAAAACCTGATAAAAGAATCAAAAGAGGTCAATTTGAGAGATTCTGACTCTGCTGTGCAATGTTGAGCTGACAACAGTGAAAGTGAGCAATACTAGACAATGACTTCCACAGAAAGGAATGTACATCGAGTGATGTACTACTTCACTCGTAACACGATGGATTTCATGTACATTCGTGGAGGGAAAAACTGAACATCCCATTATCACATAGATTACATATAGTAAAGTGCTATAGCTGCATCTCTTTTCAGATTGACTTCTGTCAACAAGAAAGTTTGTAGGAGTCACTGATAATATTAAACTTTTCCAACATCACCTATATTCCAAATGTCAAAAGATTGGATGGGTCGATGACATTTCTTCACTTCTGAAGTAAGGGAACATATAATATCACAGTAGCACCACACACAGAGGGCTTGGATTCAGGGCTGTGCTTTCCACAAGAACAAGAACTTTTTTTTTTTAAAGACTGAAAGACTATTACCAATGCCATCATGTTCTGAGATTTTTTGGGGGGAGAGGGGGTGTAGTCGTCTTTTTTTTTTTCCGGAGGTGGTGGTTGGGGGGGGGGGGGGGGGATTTCCATTGTGTTGTTCAAAAGAGAAAGTTAATGGAATGTACCAAAAGCCTCAAAAAGATTAGAAAATGTTATTAAAATTTATTTTAAATAAGATACAAAACGTTTTTAAAAACCCAACACACTATTCAGTACTTTGTCTTCCACAAGTCACCTAATGATACCCATAATAAACAGACAATTCAAAAGAGGTTTATGATATTAAATGTCAAGAAATCTTTTGTGTTAACACCAAGACGTTAGTATAATTTGGTTTATATTTAGCTCTGATTAGATAACAATGTAGACTTACACAACCAGAGCTGCTTTGCCTGTACCAACCCCCACCCCTTACAGGAGGAAATAAAACAAGAAAACAAAACAAAAAAAACACTGCACACACTACAACACTTTATAAATGAGGACAAAAAAGATTACCGGTAAGGGTAAAAGAAAGGGAACTTAAAATAAAATGTACGCAAGCAAACTGAAAACCTGTCATGCAATGTAAATGGAACCTGTTGATCACACAGGGTACGTAGCAAACAACAAGCAAATGCAGTTGACTTTTGTTTTCACTTTGCCATTATTAGTTCCAGTTACGCCTCTGTATGTAAAGTACTCTGGTTTGCAAAGTTTTGTGCTGATCATGTTACAGATCTACAACTTTCACAACTTAGGAGCCGAAGGGTTGGCTTTTACCTCATGGAGAATGAGAGCTGCACTGGCTACATCTAAAGATAACAATGACACATCCCTTTAATTTGTACGCTTAGTTATTTAGTTGACATAGATTGAATTTATCATTCTTTGTAGTCACATATTAGACTTGCTTGTCCGGCCAAAAGACTAGAAGCATTTTTCCAGACACGACAGGAAATATTTACTTTCTACAGGATAGTTCCCACGATCATTACAATGTCGTACAAGAACTCTATCCAGGAAAAACAAATTTTCTGAGAGCAGATACATAACTACAAGAGAATACTTGAGAATCTAAAGCTGTTTAATAAAACCTACAAGGTAAGAAAAAGCTTTGACAAAATTTGCAAGAGGTGCACACTTTAGCAATAATTAAGTCAAATACAAGACACACACACTTCCTTCCCTTTGAGAAGACAACATACAAAAAAAAAAAAAACAACTGAAGAAACTTCTGATGCAAATGGTGAAACAAGCAATATTTCATGAAGTGATCGGGATATTTACCCTAGCAGATTTAAGGGCCTTATCGGCTTTTTCGGCAGAACTTTTTTCTGCTTTTTCTAACGCTTCCATAGCTTTCCAGTTCTTTTCACGCAATTCCTGAAATTGCAAAGCAAACATAAGAGTGGATGTATGATTCTAGTAAGTCTGATGACGAACGACGGAATGAGATGAGGTCTTGTTCATCAGCCCAGATATAATAACTTTGTGTGAAAAAAGTGATGGGAAAAATGGAGAAAATAGAATAGCTCAAATTCATGCAGTCAAAGTTAGTGCTTAACTGCCTAAAGAGAATTCAAGACAAACAACAGAAGTGAAACTTATTGGACTTTACATGAAATTGACTGTGATTTGAGCCCAATACAATCTATCATAAATAACAATTTACATTTATACTTTCTCTCACTCAACACAGGAAAACAAAACCATATTATTGTGAAAGAACTTCATCTAAAAAAACAAAATGCAAAAACCATTTAAAATTACCACTTCTCTGATTTTTCTTTAATTCATTTCAGTTCTACTGCAAAAAGATTCCTCAAACAAGAAAAGATAGCTCTTGTGAAATGCATTTAAGACATAATGCACACAACTGTGGATAAACAAAACTGGTAAATTTTCAAAAGAAATCCTACCCTGCTTACTAAAAGTATCAAATTTTAACATTTTATCTTGAGCTTGAGCACTTGCTGCCTACACCAAATTGCCTCAATAAAAAAAAATGTCAAAGGAAATACAGTGTTACTCTGCATCGGCACATCACATTCATCTCCGACTCATTCAAATGACACACCATGCTATTAGCATAAACATGTGGGAAACTCTGTCATGCTACATGGCACTCCTTAACCTATGACCTGAAATAAATATTTGACACATGTGTCGCAACACATCCCTCACACTGTCAGACTGGCTTCGCAAGACCTGTATGATTTACTTCAGTTTGCAACAGTTAAAGATCTTTGCTGGAGCAAGAAAAATGAGTAATGTTTGACCCTGCCTAACATTATCAGTACAAAAAATCTTGGAGAGTTACTCATACTTCTTGAGACAAAGATGATATACAATGTCTTTCAGAGTTCAACAGTCTAACAATATTGCTCAAGAGACATTCCGGGTAAAACTTAACTTTTGTTCTGCTTGAAAATAAATCTGGCACAAAGTTTTTAATTAAAATCAAAAAGTCTTCATTTCAGACTGACCTCAAAGTACAGCAAAGAAAGAGAAAAACATAGACTTTGTGATCTTGGCAGAGAAATATATTCTACAGGCCTAATCAGTTGCTACAGGTACGACTTACAAAACACATAGGTTGATAAGGAGTAGTAGATCTTAATTTGCTTATTCAAAGGGGCCCAGTATTTCTATAGGAAGAAATCAGCCCACAATGACAACTTTGGGGAAAGCGAAAGCAGATGAGGACATTCTCACCAATGGCCACAGCAGCATTACATGGTGTCCCTCAGATAATTATCAGTAATAATTGGTGCAATAAAAAAAACATGGCACAATTTCCCACTTTTAATAGTATTTTTTTAAAAACCAATAAAAAAACAACAGTGCTCACCTTTTATGTAAACATTTTTAAAATTTCATGTTTTCCAAACGAAATGGAAATCAACGAATTAACTGCCAAAAGTTAAATCTTTACTGCTGCAAATACCCCATTTTCTCACTTTTCAAAGTGTACTGTCCAATCAACCACAGAGAACATAATCAAAGACGCCCCATGCTCCGAGTTTCTCAAATTTCCAGAAGCAATTTCACTATCCGCTACACCAAGAAGGACCCCTCAGTCCTGCGGGCATTCACAATGAACCCCGGGTCAACTTACATTATTTTTAGCCTTCTGCTGCGCCAACTGTTGCTGTAACTCAGACACCTGGGCAGTCTGTGTGTCCACCTGGACCTGCAGGTTCGCAGTAGCTTTTTTCTGACCTTCCAGGTTGGCCGTCAGCGCAGTCACTTCCTCACTCTTTTCTTTTACACTGAAGAAAGACATTAAGAGCGAATTAGGGTTAACAAAATTAGTTAGTTTGAATAAAAAGAAGTACATCCATATGACAACACTAATTTCAAGCAGAGGGAAAAAAACCAAGACAGAAAAACTACAGAGGCAATGAAAAAGAAGAAAAGCTTTCCAATAACAACCCCCAACCATCCATAAGACAAGTAAAGAGATTAGAAACAGGGAAAGGCAAAAGTGTTCTGGACAAGATACACAGTTTACATGAGACTCAGAACCACAGAAACAGCAATTCCTTCAACAGTCGCCAGTAGTCACTGATAAAAAAGCAATATAGAGAAAAAAAAACATTTGACAAACAAAGACAGCAGAGATAAAAATTGTTTGACTACATACTCTTCAAACGATCATGAATACCAGGACCTCTACCACTTTTTATTTCCACAAATTAGTATAGCAAAACCTCATGGACTTCTATCACAAAAGAAATTATGACAACATTTCAAATGCTGAGAGAAAGGGAAGAAGAAGCCTGGAACACACTCCACACTTACATTCTCTCATGCTCTTCCATGGACAATGAAGGACCATTCTGTTCATGAATGTCTCCATTGGCAGCAGGAGCCGCCTGCACTCTCTCACTGATTGTCTTGTTCTCGTCCACAAGGCTGCGGTTCTCTTGTTGTAAACGCTGAAAGAAAGACACACAGATTTCTTTCACCATGACGGAAAAAAAGAACATCAAAATACTTGTAAACAACTATCCAACTGTTTTATTCATCTTTTAAAATGCAATCCGAAAGACAAAAAAAGAACAATTGTTGCCATAAACCATGAAACAAACTGGCACACAATTTGAACTTTGCAAACCCACACGTACAAGCTACTGTTTCAGAATAATAGTAGTGGTCCAAACAAAAGAAGCTTGACAGAGTTCAAAATACAAAGTTATCACATGATGGAGGACTGGGAATACTTCAGTCTCTTAAAAGTCTACTTACAGCCCACAATAGGTCAAATAAATCAAATAGAGACACAAGTTGTTTTCTCTAGTACTTTGTAGCTAAACATAAGACCAAACTTACCAGCATTTCCGTTTCACTTTCACTCAATCTTCTGGAAAGATCAGCCAACTGTTTCTCGAGGTTCTTGACATTTCCTTCCAAATCTGAACGCTTTCTTTCTGACTCCTGTAAGCAATGTAAATTAAAAGCCTTGAATTAGGACAGAAAATTTAAAAAGCAACCAACTATTTTACGCCAAAAATATATGCATACATCCATCAAATTATGTCCTCAACCAGAATACTGCATCTGATAAAATAAAACAATGCTTCAAAGACTAATTTTCCACTTCATAAATAATCTCTCACAGCAAGTATTTACTAAACAAGAGAGCCTCATTAAACAAAAGAAATTCCATTAGACATCATAGCTCAAATCATAGAGCCCATCCCAAAAAATTAATTATAAAAAAATTAGCAACTCAAATTCAGTATTTCATGTATTTTGCATTGTATTGCAAATTGTTCGCTGCCTGAAATGGTTCAATTCTTGTACATAGATGATTCTATAAAAGCCATGTGAGGTGACAATGTTCCCTACAGTGCTATCTCTAACTCTGTCCTTATCACTAAAAGTCGACCAAGTACAATCTTGAAGAAACTGCTTTCTTTCATTCTGGCAGGTTCTTTTAAGATAATCCCTGCCTCAAAAGAAGCAGACCATAAATTTTCTGTATCACAAAGATTCTGATAAACTGGCATAATTCCACTTTGTAATTAATTATAAATATATTCTAGGCCCCAATCAACACAATCTTAATCCTTTGGGAGGCAGGCTGCTTTGAAACAACCTGTCAGGACCAGTCCAGGCTGAGAAAGAAACAGCACATAGATGGACTTCCCGCCTTTGCCACTTTAACTGATGCAATCTGATGTCCACATGCAGGTCATAGATGTTATATCTCGCAAAATGGGAATTCTTTAATGCTGGAAAGTACAAAGAATTATCATAAACAAAAAGACAACAGGGCACTATCTGAGGAGATTGTTCCTTTGAGTAAAAAGAAATGCATTGTCATAATAAGTCATTTCTTATTAGAAAAAAAAAGGCTGACTAACACAACAAAGGGAGAATTGAAAAATGTTCTACCAAAAAACAACTAAGCTCAACAAAAATGAAATAAGCAACTTATTTCAAAGCAAAGAACTAAATAAAAATATCTTACGTAAAATGAAACAATCAGTCAGCATTACCTGCAGCTTGGATTCCACCTCTTTGCTGGCATCCGCCCGACTTAAGTGAGTCTCCAGTTCCTGAAGCTTTCCCTTCAAAGTGCTGACTTCCGCCTCAGCTGTGCTGAGAGCACTGGTAGCATTTTGTAAATCAGAAGACAGGGAATCATTTCTACTTTCACTTTTTCTCAGCTGAATAGCGACCTCTTCCACTCTCTTGTTGATCATGGCGTCAGCACCTTTCTGTAAAATAAAAAGACCATTTGTTGTGTTGTGGTTGTGGCTGTTCTTAGGAATCCAGTTGATGATGTAATCCTGCCTGTGGCCATGTGTTGTAGTGAGTGCAAGTCTTTGTGAGATGTCCTATGTTGGGTCATTTGGATCGTTAACTGTCAACTGTTGACATCACACGGTGTGTTGTTGGCTGCTGAAGTCAATCACATCAACATGCTTATCCTCCTCTATTTGTTCCAGTCCTCAATGGCTCTGTTGACTTCACGGATGTTGATACTGCTAGATTCCATGATGATGCCAATGAGAAGAGAAGTCGTGGTAGAAAAAATATTTGTAATAGTTCTGTAGGTAAGGCACAGTAAACAAAGGTGATGGACCAACTCCGGAGAATTCCTGAGAGGCGATCCTGCACAAGGTGGGTTTGTGAGACTGGGTGTTCAGGGTGGACTCTGCTCATATTGTTTTACAGGTTAATGTCTCAGATCTATACTTTTTTCCAAGATGTGATGCCCTTATAGTTAACAGTGACTACACTGTATCAGTCTGCTGTGTGTGCTGAGGGAGAGGGGGGGGGGGCATGTTGAGGCTGTGCTGGGCTACTCCACAGGAAGCTTTCTCCTCATGAACAAGGCCTCTGCTCCTGTTCCTTTGATCCTGAAAGTGATGACCATTTACGGGTGCATTATTCTGTTCTTGAACTTCCAGCTATCATCTAATTTTCCTAGGTGAGTGTTCTTTCCTCAACCACAGGCACCTTTCACGAGTTTCAAGAACTGTAGACCTATAGAGAATTCCCCATGTTGAAACTGCATCATCGGTTGTTTTGCCCACAGCTCAGGCCACTGACTTGCTGCACAGTAACTCCATGACTAACAAGGCTAACTTTATACATAATATTTTGCAATTCCAAACACGATCCTGCTTGATTCACAGGCTGCACTTGTTTCACACACATTGACCGCTTAACTCCTGCTTTGAGTTGAAAAATGTACATTTCTGGCCCATCTCCTGTCCAAGAGAAAAAAACAAAATGTGCTACAGGCAGATCAACTTTCATTACTTTCCTCATCCTCTCCTATGTGTCTCGATGATGTCCTGTCCTTTTTGAGACTGTTGCAGAGGAAAACACGGTTTTGCCAGACTTGTAGATGGGAAATCTCCACAGTCTGCACTTAGTAGTGAGCTTGTCCAGGTGTCAGGTGGTTTACCTATATGAGAATGCCTGAGTTGCGAGTCATCTATATACAAGACCATTGTCAATTTACATGTCCATTCCCTTCACATAATAATATTCTCAAGGAATCTGACATTACAGGGATGAACCCTTCATGTAAACTAGCAAGGATGAAAGTATTTTTCTCCATTTGTCCTGCTAGGTAGCACTGTCAAAAAGAAGTTCATCATCTACCAATCTTCCTCTCAACAAGCCATACTTTGCATTTGAGGGCGATTTTTCTTTTCAACTCCACTAGACATGCCAGGGTCTCACCATTTGTCCTGAGTTTTCTTGAGAAAGTTTATGCCAATGGTTGCCCTAAACCTGTATGTTCTGCACAAGAGAATATGAGTCCTCGAGCTGTGAACTGTCATCCATTTACCAAGCGTAGAGTGAGCAACTTTGTATACATAAGCAGTACATGAATTGGCCAATGGCTCTTGGGACATTTGGAGTTTTTGTTTTGTGCAGGCAGTTCTTCTGAACCTAGACTATCTGTCATGCTCCCTTGTCCTTGTACAGAGATCATACAAGAGAGATGTCATAAGAGTACCGGCACCAAAAAGCCCTCTCATAAGATATCAAGATTCACAGTTTTGACAAATTTGAGATGTGAAAAATTAATAAATTCTACCATAATGACAGCAGAAAATTTATATTAAAATTATGCTCTAGGTCAAACTACACAAAACCGACACCAAATTATGTTAAAAAAATAGTAAAAAGATTGAATGCCTTCAAACATTTCAGATATAATATTCTTCCAGTTTTCATATACATATCGTAGTCATTAATGCAATGATAAATAACAATCTCAATTTCTTTCATTCAGTTCTATGAATGAGATATCAACAGTCTCTACATAAACTGTTCATTAAACATTTGTCTTAAAGTGAAAAAAAACTAAAACACAGACACACAAAAAATCATCACATAAGAAAACAAAAAGCACCCTTCACAAACTATTTTTTTTCCAGCCCAACAGTTGAGAACTCATAAAAGCGAACCCACACACTACAGCATAATCCCACTTCATGAACAAAGTCTAGAACAAAAGAAAAGCCATGGTTACCTGTCCGCCCTCCAGCTTGCGGATTTTTTCTTCACTAGTGGAAACTTTGGTTTCTGCGCTTTTCCTTGCCGTCTCACTGGCCAGGAGCTTGGCGTTACTGTTGTTCAGATCCTTTTCAAAATTCTTCACTTTTTCATTCAAGCTCACATTTTCTTTCCTGTGAAGTAAGAACATGTTGCTAACATGGTAGAGTTTGTTATCATTAAGGGCATAAAAAAATATGTTAATTCCAACATTCTTTTTTTATTTAGTTTTAGTAAGATTTAGGGCACTTGCAATACAAACAGGTCAAAAAGTGCCAAAGATTAGAGGTATTACAAGAAAGTGACAGACAACAAAAAGGAGGAGAGAATAGGATGGTAGATGTTTGATAGGATAGAAGGAGCTAACCACACCTCTTATTATAACATAAGAGGCGGTAAAACAAGCTAATAATATCCATAAACGAGTTGGGTAGTTGTTCGTGGTGAGAGACAACAGCAAGTTCACCAACAAGCAAACATGAACTGTGTCGCTCATATGACCTTATGCAGTTGCGAGCGCCGTAAAACCCTCTACTAAAAAAATTTAACAAAATATAAAAAATAGTCATACAGAGAAAAAAGTGGGAAAAGCAGACCATGACACAGTACCCACCAACCTCCCACCTCCTTAAACAAAAACTTTAAATTGGTAAAAGAAGTAAAATTTAAATAGTGGGACAGAGAAGCACATCAACACAATAACAGCCATGTCGTCCGAGGAAAAAAGCAAGACCGACAAAATATGAAATTAATGAACACTTAAGAGCTTACGAGTGATGGTTATCCTATTTTTTTCTTTTTTAATAGCCTTATATTTAGCCCAAGCCACACAGTACAGACAATTGTCTTGAACAGTGCAAGAGAAATAGTAAAAATGGGGGGTGGGGGATGGGAGTGTTGTACAGGTGGTGACCTTGGAAAGGGGGCTGTCTCAGCAAGTTCGACCGCCCACTTGAGAATTCTATCAAAATACGTTTCCAAAAATCCATTTCATTTTTTTAATCGACTATTTATAGAACCAGAAGCATCTTCGAGCCACCTTTAAGTTACTGAGACAACTTTGAACTAAAAACAATTTTGTGAACAATATGGTCACATCAGGAAAAGGGAAGAGAGTCATGACGGGGGGGGGAACAACTCAAATACTCAAATATTTCTAAAATACTTACGCCTTCAAAGACAGGGTTTCTTGAAGAATTTTGTTTTCCTAAAGTGTCAATAAAAAGAGAAAAAAAATGTGTATCAGACAACGTTAAGTGGAAAATCACACATATTATGTAATACAAATTAGGCAGAACAGTGACGGGAAAAAAAAGAACAAAACTCTCCTTTCCGGCTGGACTGACAAATATCTACAAAGCCTTGAGGGTTTGAGCACTACAGTAATGACTAGGAAAAATATCAGACCCATATTCATAAATTAATGAATCTATCAAAACTTAAGCTGTGGTATTTCAAAATGCAACAATCCCTTCTAAATTCGTGTATGAGAGCTGTAGCAATGCAACAGTCATCCTATACAAAATTTAGCAGCAATCAGAAATATATCACTGAAGGATAAGACTAAAAACATTCGTGACATACAAATGATTAATTATGAATTCTGACTTTCACATTTTTCAGATCTTGTATTCTCATCTTACAATATTTTAGAACTTTAATATTGTTCTACTAAAATTGCAACAATGTGTTTCTCTCTCTATTAAAAGGCAAAAAAGTAAAAGCTTTGACTCACCGCAGACAGTTTCTGAACAGCAGCCTGGTCACCTCCACCTCCGCCACCGCCTTGTTCCACTTGACGAAGTCTTGCCTGAAGGCCGTTGGTCTCCATCAGGTGCTGTTCGTGGGTATGCTGCATACGCTGCTGCAGTGCATCCAATTCCGCTTGCTGATGAGAAACTTTCTCCTGGAATCTTTTCTCAAGGGCAGTATACTTTGTTTTCTCCGTTCCAAGTTCATTTCTCAGTTCCTTCACTTTGCTGTTAGCCGACATGGCCAAGTTTTGCTCTGTGAGGAATACAATTCAATGCGCTTGTTCTTACATAATAATAACTCAAAATGCAACACACCAATGATTTACTTCACCTATAACCCACTAAAAACACAAAGAAAAAAAGCCTGAATAATTCAGGACTCACGAATACATTTTGTTATCACAGGGGAAATTTTAAAACATAAACCTGCTATTTTCAATTTCAAGAGGCAAAAATCAGAAGCAAACAGTCATTTGAAGCACTTCCCCACTATGACAATAATGAAGAGAGAACAGAAGAAAGTCTTACAAACAAAAGACAACAGTACCTTCTTGCAGTGCCCTCTCTTTTTCTTCCAGCTGTCTCTTGAGTAAGGACATTGGGTCACCTTTCTGGCTTTTCTGTGACAAAATAAGACACAATAATATTAACCTGTACATTTGAGTTTAAAATTACTACTTTCTACACATCTTTCCATATATCCCAAAACTCATATCTATGTCAAAGACTGAAATGTTCTAACAATTTTATTGAATAAAAATTTCCTGCAGTGACCAACTAACCAAGTCACCAAAAAGAAAAAGAAAACCGGGTTAATGCGAATTTTAGATAAAATTTGCCATTAATCGCTTAATTTTCCTTTTCACTTTTTTTCTCCATTTATCCAGAAGTTGGAAGAAATACAACTCCCCAAACAAGCCCCGCCTCCCCACCCCCCAAAAGGAGGAAGAGAAAAAAACAATTTGAACATATATATAAAAAAAGAAATATATATATAATTATATATTATAATTATTTATAGGTCTATATACACACATATATATACTTTTTTTTTTTAAACAAGCTGAAAAGGTCACCTTGTTCCATGATTCAGCTTGATTCACAGGGCTAGATGGAGCTAAGCCTTGCCTATTTAGCAAAATTTCAATTAAAGCCTGAAGCTCCTCATCTGACAGTTTGGCTGTTTTGACAGACGAAATCAGCTGCGACCCATTCAACTGAACATCATCTGGAGAATCATCACAATACAGAAATTAGTTTGCTAAACAGAACACTGCATGAGGACAAAAACTGGTTGATGTAAAACCATTAAAATGCAAACCTTATGACAGATGTAAGTAAACTAACTCGACCTGACTCATCTTGTCAAAACAAACATGAAGTTGAGTGCTAGACAATAAAGCTACGTGTCATATCTTCAAAAAAACAAAAACACTGACAAAATGCCTGTGAAAGTAAAAGTTTTAAAACTATACTGCATGACAAACTGTAGAATTTAAAAAAAAAAAAAAACTTTTAAAAATCTTAATAAAGCACCTTTCCACTCTTTAAGAGGTCGTGTCCAACATATTTTTTAAAATTTCATAAAATAGGATCAATACAAAACTAATGATTTAAATCCCTCGAAAAATTATTCCTTAAGGCAATCCACTGGAAAAATGAACTGGTCTGGTGACGATAAATTGTGTAAGAAATCCATGTCTGATGCTTGTTTAGCATTAAAACCAACGGACTACTTGAAAAATTGCCCAAAAGTAAGCAGTGTTTTTTTTTCACTTTTGTCAGCGCTCGGGAAATAACAAAGAGCCTTTGCTACAAGTCCTACAGTAGAGCGAGAGTAGTTGTATGTACAGTCGTTGTAACTATTCATTGATCTGCAAGCCATTCATATAAAAATGTATCACTGGAAACCCTAGACCAAAACGTTAAGGACCCTATTGATCAACAGGGAAAGCTGAATTTGTGCATTTGTTGTTGGGGGTTTTTTTTTTTTTGGGGGGGGGGGGGGAGGGGGCATTTTTCTCAAAATTGAGATTTCATTACAGTATGACATATTTTATGAAGGACACTGTATCTTGAAAAGATGTAAAAAACTGATATAATATTATGATATATAATACTTTATGAGGAACATTTTCACAGAATACTGTATATAAATGCCTCAATCCTGTCAGAGGCTTTTGTCTTGAAAAATTAAATTACTTATAGAAAAAAAATTGGTAATTGATCAAACATATAATATATTTGCTTTTGGACAGTAAAATAAAGGATCTCAAAATCCTGTCCTCGTTCAGACACTGATAAGTAGCAAAAATCTGTCTTGTCAGAAAACAGAAATTACACATATTATGATTGTATATGTATCCTTCCTAATATAACCAGATGTGAATTTTGGGCCTCCAAAAAGTTATATTGAATTTCAAAGCTATTGCAGAAGTGTAAATTACCATTTTTTTAAAACAACCACCTGGACATAAAATAAACCTGGTATCAACCACAATCTATTTATTTACTCCCTACTCCACTCCCCTCTTCCGGGAAAACTATCTTTTTCATGCAAAAACATAAATTAGTAAATTGTAAGTGGGAAAAATTATTCACATTAATTGCAGAATGAAAGAAAATTTCCCAAAGTCCTCAGCAACTCTTGTCAATGAAATATTAGAACAAAATACAGTGCAAGCCAACATTGACATATTACAGTCTAACAAACATTGATTACAAAATCCACCCACCAAAGTTATTTGGTCATACAAAAGAGCTGTGAATTTGGGGGGAAAGACCCTAAAGAAGGAACCTACCATGTTTTTAAAACATGTAATTATTATAAAATAATTATATTAAGCATGCATGATCTCCCCTACTCACTGAACAGTTGCAAATATTGATGCTGACACATGAAATAATGCCATTTACAAGCATTAACATTATAATTTTACATACAATTTTGGTCAAAACAAGCTGACTGGCTAGACTGTGTATAATAATAATTATTACGGTGGGAGCAAAGGAAAACACAGTACAGTAGTCTCCACCTAAGATCCCGGTGCTCGGGAGCAAGGAAATGAGGGATCTTAGGCGAACCGGGATCTTAACCGACGATCCCAGGGAAGAATCTATGGGGACCCATATTAAGGCTTACAATGAGTAAAATGGTCTCCCTCCACCCTAAAATGAACTGACGTGACCCCTTGGTGGGTTTATGACATATGGCGAGCAAAGAGTGGTTAACCTTGATGGCCTATCACAGTGCATAGTGCCATGAGGCGTGCCATTTTCACTTATTATCCTATCATGAGTCTCAAGATCTACGCTTATTCAGCTCCCCCTCCCCTTTACCTGTCGAAAATTTATAGCTGACCGAGTCCCTCCCTCCCCCTCCCCAAACGCCTTTGTCGTTACACACCATTACGTCGTGAACACACCAATTAAAATTCAGTCTGTCTAGCAAATTCGGGCTTAGAGACAACTGCTGCAATCAACGCCTACTGAAATGGTCAGGGAAGAGTTCACAATTCAATGTGATCCCGTCTGGAATGAACGTGTAGGCCTATACGTTCTCTGATCGTCTAGGTGTAGGCCCTATCCACCCAGCGAGTGATGTAAGTTTAAGGGGAGAGCTCACGTGTGAGTGCGATGCGTGGGGAAAACAAACGCGTCGGTCAGTTCACACCCCGGTGTGATCCCGTCGGGAGCAAACATTGTATCGCTTCATCCAGTTTTACAACGTGTATGTGATCATATTCACGATAGTGGCTGATCTTTGACGCGACGGACAGTTTATTGATCTCAACTTTTCACTCTTGTTTGATCGGCTATGCCCGCCCGGGTTTTTGTTCCACAACTTATGATCTGAAATGCGGGATCTTAGCCGAATGTAGACCTTCAGAGTGAATCAGAGCGGGATCTTAGGGGTGACTTTTGTATAGTAAAAATTCTGTTTTCTTAAAACAGCGGGATCTTAAGCGAACCGGGATCGTAAGCGGTGGGACCTTAGGCGGTGACTACTGTACTACCTAAAAGTAAAAGATGAATTCTCCTGCTCCAAGTCATGCACAAATAAAAATAATTGAACATCAAAAGTTTTTAACAAACAACAAACACATTTGATTACCTGACTTGATCTTGTTAGAACGTTTGTCCTGTTCTGCGATGTTCTGCTTTACTGGTGTTCCCTTTGGAGTTCCTTTTGGTTGTTTCAGGGTTTCTTCATTCTTCTTAGGAGGCAGATTTTCTTTTGACTCCATGGAGTGCTTCTGCCTACTCTCTTTTACTTCCTGCTGCTGCTGTACAGCCTTCACCTTTTCAATTTTCTCAACGACAACTTTCTCATGGGCCTTCTTCAGTTCCAGTTCATCCTTGGGAGCCACTTGTTTGTGTCGCATTTCCACAGTTTTGTCTGCCACTGGGGCAATTTCATCTTTGTTATGAAGGATCGACTTTGAGGACTTGTCTCTCTTCCCTCTCTGTCTCAGTCCAGCATTCAATCCCAAACTTTCAGTGCGTTCAATTATCTCAGGCTCGATTTCTAGGTTGACCATTTTGACTTTATGTTCCACTTTCAGTTCTGGTTCTGTAACCTGAGCTGACTTCTCTTTCACTTTCTCTTGTTTCCCTTTTTTGTATTTCTTTTTATGCTGCTCTTTCTCAGCTTTCTTTTCAGCTTTCGCTTTTTCTCGCTCCTCTTCTTGTCTACGTTTCTGTTCTTCCATAACCTCTTCAAAAGTCTTCTCTCTCATAGAGAATGCGGAAATGCAATATATCATTAAAGCTGATATAATAAAAACAGCAACACCAATAAGGATTGTAATGATCTCCATTTTGGTGGAAAGCTCAGTTTCACAGTTGACGTTGCAAAATGATATCCCTTATACAATACAATGTTTGTCAAATGAAAAGTCCACACCTATAGAGTATAATAGAGGAAATTCAAACACGACTCAGAAATTAGATCTATCTACTCATTTGAGAGAAACTAAGAATGTCCAAACAGTTTCAAACTATTCCCTAGACGTGCTTTCCATCGCAACTAAATGAATATTAAAGTCTCCACAGTAATTTCCAGCATCAAGCAAGAGTTATTTAAAATGGAAAATATTTTTTTCCTTGACGTCCAAATCTGAATTCCGTTTCAATTTGTCTCCTCTGACTCTTATTACAGCACCACACCCCTTTTCTCCTACAAAAGCATATGTTGCCACAGTCGTCAGCTGACTGATGTCTTCATCACGCTCCAAGAATAAGGCTGAAGAAAAGAGAAGACAAGGCGAGAAAATTTATAAGAATCCAACCATCATAAATTGACACGTAAGCAACATCACATCTTACAATGAATACAGCAGCCACCAACCCAACCCCCTGGACAGTGCCACGACAGACTTTGAGACGAAGCCGGTTGTCAATAAACGCCTTCATCAACTAAGGTTTACAGAGTCAAGTAGTTATGAAACTTGTACACCCAAAGGAGAGGTTCTTGCAAGTCGTGTTACTTTATATTTACCCTCGTAACTTCCCACAATATCCAACACTCACCAGACTCAGCAACGTGGAATAGGAAAAACACACATAGGATGCCACCAGACAGGACGAACTTACCAAATTTTAGAGTTCTAAAAATAGATCTAGAGGAAGGACGAAAGGAAGTTCTAGCAGTAAATGTAACCGATTCCCCGATTGGTTATGAAACGCTGCGAACATTCTTGTCATTATACACACCCCCTGCCACGTCTAACTATACTATTCAATTATTTTAAAATATCTTGACGGTTCATCCCACTTTAACACTAGTTTTCGTAAGCAACAAAGTATTTTTGCTGATTTAAGGAGCTGTTTTCATTGGTTAGGATGACAGGAGATAATAAAGCTTATTAAGGGGGTATAAAATAATGATTAACCGAAAACGCAGCGCCATCTATGCTGAACATGCTCTAGTTTCGTTTTGAACTCTGAGTCAAAAGTGAAAAGACGTAGGCGGATCGAATAGAAAAGAACAATAGGCTAATAGCTTTTTCTGTCATCTGTCGCTTCACGGGTGGTTTGAATATCTTCCTGTTTCTTACAAAATCAAAGCATTAGAATGTACGTAGTCCGTGTACATTTTTACAACAGCATGATGTGTATGTGCGGGGGGATATGTCCAGCTTTTACAAATGGAACAAAAGAACAAACAATAACAAACCTGAGAAACACTTCTTATTTCATTTAGGCATTGAATACCAAACCAGTACCTTTTTATTTTTATTTTGATCAGTGTTGCATACGTTTTTAGTTAGATTATAAATTAAATTCCAAACTCATTGCGTTCTTCCGCCGCTTGTGTGGCGGAGTGAGTCACAGTATACAATTACAAAACAAAATATTCCGTGATGATTTAGACGCTGTTTGTGACCTGTTATTGTAATGTGTGTTGTTGTTTTTTGTTTGTTTGTTAGCATTAACCGTGTTTCCATGAAAGAGTGTTCATAACAAGTAGGAAAGTACATTTTTGTTCTCAACCACTATTAAATGATTACAAACGAAAATAGTGATCTGCGAGTTGCCTTGATCTCTGGTAACATTGACAAAGACAAAAGGGGCACTCTTCAATTAAACTATACTGTCATAGCCTACGGTTCTTTACCAGCTCTCGGTTACTGATCTAATATTTTACATTTTGCGTTTAAGTGGAATGTTTACAAATAAAAACCGTTATTACAGCGACAATAACAACAAACATATGACAAGCCTATAATAGGTAAAAGCAAATGCACATGTATGTGAGGTCCACTCCTCTTTTCGAGAAGGACGCCTTGGGATATTCTAGGTCTACGCAAATTGTGTATTACAGGCTGTAATAAAAACACCTGGGCTAAGATTCTTGGATCGTCTTGGCTTTTTAATTAACAAATCGGCCGAATGTACACGAGCTGTGGCTGGTTTCAGACCATGAAGTTGATGAACATCTGTGTCAATTGTTATTGTTATTCTTTTTGTATAAAATATCATTTTGAAATAATAAATTAATTACCGTATTGTAAAATCGAGCGACAGCTGCAATCGCGCAAGTTAGACAATAAATTTGGGTACGGTATGTTCAACATAATAATGTAATAAGCCAATCTTTATGTGAGTTGTATCGTTCTGAAATTATTAAGATTTTCTGGATGAAAATTGGATGACTCCCACTCAGAAGGATTTAAAACATAATATGGGTCAACAGCTCAATTTCACCCCGTTTACTTAAATATGAATAGTGAACAAGAGTGATTGACTGCTGAAGATGAGTGTCGGAACGCTGACTTCACCCCCCCCCCCCCCCCCCCTTTTTTTTTTTGGAGTGGTGTAAGCCTTGACGGATATCATAATATTAAAAGTAAACGCAGTATGGACAAAGTCCTGATAAATCGATAATTGTAGGTCCTTTATAATTCATTGACTCAATTTATGTCATTCAGGAGGCAGACTGCGTAGACACGGATGATATCCTCCCACCCCCACCCGCCCTTCCCGATCCCTCGAACTGAAGTTTCCTGCGTGTACGACACAGGCTAAGACCCGAGCCATTACACAAGTCCGGCGGTGTAAATTCTTGACAAACCCTGTGTACGATCTTATTATAGGCCTGTTCAAAGAAAGCTGAAAATGACAGTCTTTATTCATTCCGCAGGCACAAATCGCTTACATAATATGGCAGAGGTGTTGCACAGTTGTGGGCACTCATGCACGCACACAACACAAAACAAGAAAGGAATGATATAAAAATATCACGTGCTGAAATTGTCGTTCTATAAACACCTCTCTCTCTCTCTCTCTCTCTCTCTCTCTCTCTCTCTCTCTCTCTCTCTCTCTCTCTCTCTCTGTGTGTGTGTGTGTGTGTATGTTTCAATTTTAGCACTGTCAGTTCAAATCCTCACTGCATTTGAAACTTATGAATTTCTACGGATCTGTCTGTTCTTGTTTTCTTGGAAATACGTCTCTAACCGCGTGTCGATAATTGTGAATTGACATTCGGATGTCAATGGACAGTTTACTTTAGCCTTTCTTAAAAAACGTTGTGCGAGAGTGTGTGTCTATTTGTTTGTTTGTTGGTTTGTTTGTAGGTTTGTTGGTTTGTTTTTTAGCTGATCCCTTAAAAATACAGTCGAACCTGCCTGAGCGAAAATTTGTGCAAGACTGAAATCTGTCACAACGGACTTCTCAGCTCTCCGCTCTTCCCTTAGTAAATTTCTCTATGATCACCCCAATAAGACGGAATAACATAACATGTCCAACGCAGAAACGGGAAGAGAAATTTCTTCTCTTCGGGCGCGGGAGGGGGGGGGGTACCTGTCTCTGAAGTCTGAAACGGAAAATGATTGCCCACTCAGCCCTGGTTTGAAACAAAACTGTAATTGGTCTCGTCGGCTCTTATCTTTGCGTCATGCAATCAGGCGGAGAAGGGGTGGATTGGGGTTAGTTGATGTTACCCTAGGCTTTCTCATTTCCTTAGAAAGCCTAGATGTTACCCTATCCATGTGTATCCTGAGCGGTGCAGATGGTCAGGGGGTTGTTGTGAGTATGAAATCTGACCAGTGCTTGTGAAAGAGCTCTAGGCTCGAGTGGGGCTCCAGCATCGAAACTTTCCTAGGTAGCCAGAGGCCAGAGGTGTGAAATTATATGTAGTTTGACCAATGCCTGCCGTTCTGATCCTACTGCCAACAGACAAAAAAGATCCTGGAATCGTTTTTTGCTCGGGGCCAGGCGTCGGGAGGGGTGGCATTGATTGATTGTGCGTATCACACCAATGGGTGGGGCAAAGGGTGGAACAAGGAGGTTCTCTTTAATGAGTCTGTGGAACACATCAGCTCCACAATGCCCAGTAGGACAAGCAAGAGCGAGACTAGGTGGCATTTGCTTATTTTTTATCACAATTTTGATTTTTTTAAAGCATTAAGGTCATCGAATGAAAACAGAACATAAATCTAGGCATTTTAAAACTCAAGTAGATCATAAAAACCCGTGTGACAATGAACGCTAGTGGACATTCCAAGCAAAGGTTAATTGATGGTGTGATATTTTTTGTCAATATGGCACCCTTGTTTCTCCCACAGCATCCGGTGCAGAGCAAGACCAACAAAACTGCGACAGCGACGAAGCTGAAACTGAAAAGTAACAGGGGTAAGGCGCCGCAAAGGTCATGCTAGCAAACACAACAAACATCGATCCTGTCCAGTATGTAATTGTCTCATTCATTGATCTGGAAAGTGTCGTTGATGTTGAAAGTTAGGGAAGAACAGAATCAGACGTTGAAAAACCAGTATGAGAAGCAATAGGCCTAGTAGCCCTCTTGCAGCTATGAAATATCTGACACTAAAGTAAACTGGAAAAAAAACAAGTAGGAAAGCATTATAATATTCAACAGGGAGGATAAATTAACCCTGTTATGAAACGCAGAATGAAGTAATTTAATACAAGGGACAAAGGCTGCTACATGTATATGAAAGTCTAAACTTTTATAAATACCCCCCTCCCCTTTTCCTGTTGAATTGAATCGTTCAAATCCCTTCACCGTATTTCCATCAAGAGCTAGCAATGAAGAAACCGACGGTCCTATGGGCTGAGATCCGAAAGAAAAGTTAAAGTGGATCGGTCAGGCCCTTGATTTATAAAATGAAAAATGAGTCCTGGAATTTCACATGGCATGCCCTGAACTGGAAATCCGAGGAAAGAAGAGAAGATCTAGAGGTAATCTAAGGAGTACAATACTTGGAGCCCACATACTCTAAGGTATCGAATAAGCACCCCTCCCCCGCTTGTGAATTTTCAGTTTTTTTGCGCATCCCCGCGCCTTATTCCACCCCCCCCCCCCCCTCGTGTTATTTTTTTCCCAGCTTGGCACGACCGACGATCATGTGAAACATTTAATTATATAACCTATATATTTTTTTAATGAAACTGGTTTGTTCCTAAATCGGAAACGTTGTCACAGTAACTTACTATAATTTGCATGATTTCTTGTTCTTTTATGCAATGAAGGAGAAATAGAACAATTTGTTCTTTTATCTTTGGGGGTTGGTGGTTAAATTGGGCTTTCACCCCCCCCCCCCCCCCCCCCCCCAGTTCTTTTTGTTTTTGGAACCCTTTCCCCCCCCCCCCCCCCCCCCAATCCCAATTTGTAAAATTCCTACCGTCTATTCGATAACTTAGGCTAGGCACGCATAGGGCAATTTTAGTTGCTCAGCAGTTGCTGTCTCCGGGCAACTTATTTTAAACACCGTGAGCACAGAGCTCAGCAACAGCCAGGCAACAGTTTCTTAAGAGGGCCTTTCGTCAAACTTTTTTATCTCTGTCAGCACACTCATCTGAGATCTTGTTTTAGAGGACAGGCTTCTTTTCAATGATAGAAATAAATTTGTCAATCCAAGTTGGATCGCTATCCTTTTTCTTTTCTTGCGGAAGTGAAACAGTGTATAGTGTGTACCTCTGTTAAGTCTGTTGTGCTGAGTGAAAACATGTTGGGAGTGGCGGGGCCTTGTCGAGTCTGGGGACAGTTTGGTTGCCTGTGCGCGCTATCTGTCAGTTTGGTATGTAACTCAGGAGATTTGAGCAATTGTTGCGTTGCCGAAAAGTTGTGACAAAACTCAAACTTTTCAGTCTCCAAAAGCCCATGTTGCTTTTGGGCACGGTGCTTATCTATTCCATTGTTTACATTTGGGCGAGAAAACAGTTGCGCAACTAAAGTTGCTCAGTGCGCGCCTAGCCTTAGAGTAAAGAACAGGCATGAGGGGATAGCAGGAGAGTCTAAGGCTAGACGTGCAAAGGGCAACTTTATTTGCACAACTGTTTTCTCGCTCAAATGTAAACAATGAAATAGATAAGCACCGCGTGCACAGGCAACTTGGGTTTTTGGAGATTGAAAAAGTTTGTGTTTTGTCGCAACTTTCCGGTAACGCAACTGTTGCTCAAATCGGCTATGCTTCCTACGAAACTTACACACGGCGCACACAGGCAACCAAACTGTCTCCGGACTCGACAAGGCCCCTCATTTTTTCACTCAGCACAACATACAGGGTGATCAACAACAAAAAAACTGTACTATTTTTCTGTTAATATTTTCCTCCACTCTGAATTTTGCTTTTCAAATTTGTACGCAACATTTGGAAGTCAAACGGAGTTTGTCTGATATTCATTTTAGATAAATCCACAAAATAGTTTTGCTCTACATAGTGTATAAAAAACAACCCATTTTCAGCTATGTCCCCATTTTTGTAGCATGATGCACTAGATCTTCTAGTTCGCATAATTAGGCCTACCACTAAAAATCCCAACGATTGCACCGTATTGCAAGCTACAGTAGTCTAACTGACAATCAGAAGTTTGCTGATAGTTTTTCTCAAGTTTCCTTTGCCTGCTGAAACAATGGTTAAGATTAGTAAAGAGCAGAGAGCTTTTTGTATTGAACATTTCCTCACCACCAACTCATTTCGTAAGTTTCGCACAAAGTACAGAAATAATATTAAAGTGCCCTTTAGATCTTATTTGATGTCACACCGTGGAAATGGCCCATCAGTTAAGACCTGTAGAGAATCAGAACTACAAATTCCCAGACAAAACGACCACTTCGGGTCAAACACACACCGTTTACACCCCTTTGAACGTCACCAGGGTGCAGAATTCAGCCCCATGAGACGTCTGTCCGTTGACGATGCCTGCAGCAAAGACTTTTCTACATCTCAAAGGTTTGCATTCTTCAGGCAGATCTTCATTTATGATTGTACCTTTTTTTCCTGTTCACGAAGTTATCAGAGGATAGCAATGTGTTCACGAGTCCTCGATCGTCTTGCAAAGCGTGAACATTTCCTCTATGATGTTTGGTTCCTTGACAAAGCCCATAATATTCACTTTTCAGGTTATATCAATTCCACAAAATTAGTCTATTTGGGCAACCTCACCCCTTCCCCCCTATTTTGTCTCTAGAAACAGCTCCATAATATACTGTAAGCTTTAAGGTGTACAGTGTGTGTGGCTTTGAGTACTCATAGTTGAGTGGATCCTTGTGTTTGGCCATCACTGAACATTATGAACGACGCCTTAAAATGTATTGAGTCCAAAGGAGGACATATAGACCATTGGTTATCGAAATTCCAGAATTTAACAATTTTTAAAAAGTCTCTATAGGAGAGAAGGAATATTGTTTGATTAGATTTTAAGAATAAAAGGAAAGGAGAAGAAACAAACCAATCATTCCATGACTTTCCTCACCAGATCTTTTGTACTGGTGCATTTTGCATTTAGATCTATAGGTGGTATTTATAAAAGCGATTTCTGTTTTCGAAAATAAGTATCTTCTTTGTGAATTTCATGTCAAACAAATTCATTTTGAATGAATTACATATGTTCCAAATTACAACATTCAAGAACAAATTTTGTACGAGATATTTAGAAAAAAAAGTTGTAGGCCTACAGTGCAGTACAGTTGGGTTTTTTATTTTTTTTTGGGGGGGGGGGGGGGTGGATCACCATGTACTTGACAGAGGTACACACAATACATTGTTTCACTTCCGCAAGAAAAGAAAAATGGATAGCGATCCAACTTGGATTGAAAAATTCATTTCTATCTTTGAAAAGGAGCCTTTTCTTCTATAACTATAACAAGACCTTAGAATGAGTAAGCTAACAGAGATAAGAAAAAGAAAGCTTGGGTCAAGGTTTGTGAGGCTGTGACTTAGAACTGTGAAGATCTGAGTCCCGAGGAAAGACATGTCAAAGGTGAAGAGTATAGTATAAACTTTCTTTTCAATAAGCCATGAAAATGATTTTAACACTGTTAATGAGGAAAGAGGAATAGTTACTGTCCTTGACGTCAAATGAGGAAGTTAGTAATGATGATAGCCTACTGTTGCCTGTCTGTTGCTTGGCTCTGTCAGCGCGGTGTATAAAACAAGTTGCCCGGAGACAGCAACTGTTTCGCAACTAAAATTGACCTGTGCGCGCCAAGCCTAAGACAGAAGGTCTGCCAAGAAAGCTCTTGGCGCGCAACGGCAGGTGGAGGTGCAACGAAGTGCTACCCTTTGAAAAGACGTCTGGAAAGTACCCGGTACATGAGATATATACCGTATACATGAGGTATATACCGTATATAATGTGTGTGTATGTGTGTATGTGTGTGTGTGTGTGTGTGTGTGTCAGAGAGAGAGAGAGAGAGAGAGAGAGAGAGAGAGAGAGAGAGAGAGAGAGAGCATTTTTTCATGTTGGTATAGTTGTTGTTTTTTTAATCGGAAGTATCATGTCCTTATAACTGGCCTTAGACTTTCTAAGATAGCCTAAACCTTACCGGATATTTAGGCTCTTTATCTGGCTTTGAATCGGTGCAGTGAAATATTGCTTTTCTCATTCTGTTTTGTTGGGATCTTCTAATAGACTGAGAAAGAGATAATGTCGATTTATTGACTTTACACCTACAACAATGTAATTAGTAAGTATATATTATGTAGGGGGGGGGGGTGTTACTCTATGTCGCTCTTTTAAAAAATGCCAATGACTTAGCAGTACATGTATTTAGATCAATACCTATCTTGTTTTGAAAGGACACACGTAAGTTTGTGTGTGTTTGTTGGGTTTTTTGTGTATGTTTTTTTTTAACCCATTATAGTTATGGCACAAATGACTATGGTCTTGGCTGAAGCATAGACGGTATGCTACTGGTAGATTTTTTTTCCGTCTATATACTAACAGAAATCTTGCTAAAATAGATAGACATTTAAAAATTGAGCAGCTAACGAAACATAAACTTTTAACTAACCAAGTATACACAGGAACAGTTCAAAATTTTCTCAATGCTGCCCCAAACGGAGAAACCTTAAGATTAAAACGTCACTGGATCAAGATTTTAAAAACATATTGGTCGCTGCTAAAAATTTTTATGTAAATTCAATATGGTGACCGAAATTGCAAAACATGTTGGGGTTAGAACTTTTAAAACCCCTTTTAATTTCTTGGATAGTAGGCCTACTCATGCTAAGGAAAAGTTCTAGCTGTTTCAAAAGACTTCGGCTATAAAAATAAATACGAAAATAGGAATAATTGGCAGTCTGAGTTCAGCGATGTTCGCGATCGCCCCCGCTCCGTCATCGGCAGTGGCTTGGTAACAATTACTGACTTTTGAATATCGTTTTCAAACTCTAATAAAAAAAACAACAAAAAAAAACAAGAAGAAAATTTAGTTCGGCGTTAGCCAGGAGCACAACTTGATAACGTACTGAACCCTTTTCATGATACAATTAAGCTTTGTGTATGGGGCTCCAGGGACTGTTGCAATACATTGAGCAGAACTGAAAGCGATCAAAGGCCTGCCTAGGAGGGAAACTGTTACGTGACACCCAATCAGTTATATTATTGTTATTATATCAAAGTGTCTAGTGAAAAGGATAAGTTGAAAGTGTTTTTTTTTCTTGTATTTGCCCTTCTTCTTATCCAACCAGATCGCATTCCTTTCCAACCAAATAGCTAAATTACGTTGCAATGGAGCAATACGTTTTTTTTTCAGCATATCATTGGACGATCCATCCAGGACAACATGTCCACTGGAAGCCTGAAGACGCTGATGTCATGTTTGGTTAGCCTACACGTTAGCCTATTAGATCTATAGTCTAACTAGCCTAGCTAAACACTAGGCCTAGCCAAAACGTAAACGTTTTGCAAAGAAATAATGACGTCAGAGGAATATGTTACTCCCATGTCTATAATACTGTTTGCACAATTTTAGCCATACAAATAAAGAGCTATCGTCTTTTATATACTTTAGTATCGTTAATATTGAAAGTTGCTATTTTATGAGTCAGAAAAGGAAGAATGTAGATCTGATACACGCAGACACCTCACATAAAATGAACTGTGTCGAGGGAGGCCACGAAGTGATAGAATGCTATACGCTACGAGCGAATTTGGTAGCGCCCCCTCGCGGTCTAGCGTCCAATCAATGGAGAGCGCACCTGTCAGTGCTACGGTACGGAGTGAGGCCGCCGGCGTCTTTGTTCTTGAGTGAGAGAAATAAGAATTTCTTAATTTTTACCAATGATGGCACCACAGAAAAGGTCTGCTGAAGAAGCAGAATCTCTGTTAGTTGGAGTACGATCAATTGTGTTCGACATTGAGGGCACTACAACTCCTATTTCATTTGTAAAGGTAAGTGTTGTGCAGCTTTGTTCTTCACGCAGTAGTGTTGTAGGGACGCGTTTCTTTATCGTTACTATTTTCGCCTCTGTTACACATCAGTCCGGCAGTTCAAGGCTGCAATGGCTACTTTTATTCTGTTCATGATGGGGAATTTTGTTTTTGTGTTTTAACCTCAAACGAGTAATTTAACGAAAGTATACTGTGGTTGATTTTGCAGAAAAAGCGATATGATTCTGTGTGCGATGTTTGTGTAAACAAATCGAAGTGTGTGAGAAAGCTCTTCCTGGTGCTCTGGTTCGTTTGCCATGATCATCACGAATCAGTATCGAAGACGGAATTTCATGACTGCGTAGAATATAATTGACTAAGGGTCTTTTTTTTGTTGATTAATACGATTTAGATCTAGCTAATAATTTTGTTTGCTGTTAATTTTGCGTGAACTTGCAATATTTATTTTTGTATAAATGGTGTTTTAGCACCTTCTTCGGCTTCGTCTGTTTATTTAATGCGCTACTGACAAGTGATCAAACGTCAATCATTATTTTGTTTTTTGGTTGTTGTTGCAAAGCAAACAATTTTAAAAAAAATATTTATCTATGTTCTGAATTTCTATTAAGTAATTGCTCTAAGTTTGTCCGTCTCAAGTTATTATCATCCATTGGTGTGTCACGTGAGTAAATTTATTTGACACACCGGCTCGTTTGAAGGAAGCCGCCTGTGCATCGATTATGGTCACGTGACAACAAAATGCTTTGTAACTGGATTTTTCCGGTTTTGGGCTTCCGCAAGTTGGTGATTGGAGGGGGGAACAGCTCTCTGCTCTAGGCCTACATCATTCAAGCTTTGGCCCAAGCTGATTCAACTGACCTGATCATGGGTTGAAGAAAGTAAATGGTTGAGTCTGTTTTGTCCTGTCGCCAATATTTTTTATAGCCTAATGTTATTGAAATGACGGATTAGAATTAAGTTTTCATCGAGAGTGAGAAAGAAGAATTACGTTTTTCATCGACGCAGACAGCAGGCTTTAGCTTTAGCCTAAAGTAGTTTAGCTAATTTAGGATGCTTGGCTTAGGCCTAGATTCTAGATATAGATTCTAGCCTAATTATTGTTGTGTCATAATAGAGGCTAGTTTTTTGTTAATTAAAAAAATAGGACTAATCTAAATATCTCTAGACCTAGATCTAGATTGTAGATCTAGATCTACTTCGTAACATTATATTCAGTAATGCAATTTATGCCAGATCTAACCTAGATATCTACTCTAGGTCTAGATTCTAGATCTAGAATAGATCTACCATCAATGCAATGGCAAGGTTAGTCACCAGGCTTGGCCTGTTCATTCTCACTCATACTTACAAGCCTATAGATCTAGATCTATTTGTAGGGCCCTAGTCTCTAGTCCAGATCTAGCACTATTCTAAGTTCCATCCTTGGCTTGAGATTGAAGAGTGCCTATCTATGCCTATATATATAGCTATAGCCCCCTCAGGTGATCTTGTAGTTCCGTTCCTTAAAGTCCACGATCCATTTGTTTACATCCAGAGAAGAAATCCAGAAGTCTTGAAGACCAAATACTACACAAAGAGCAGGGATGCAACCTAACTCAACTAACTGCAAAACATCAAATTAGTATAAAATTCAGGGGGCATGCCCCCCTGAACCCCCCCATCTCCATGTTTTTTTTTAGGTCAGGGGAGCAAGCCCCCCTGAAACCCCCCCCTGCTTGACTTTAACGAACGAAACTACAAAATCGCCGCCCCCTCTCTCAGTTCATGCTTCTGAACCAACAATTATTCTAATAAATATTATATTTGCTTAGTGTTATTATAATAGCGTAGTAGTCTGTACGGCTACTATTATTATTATTACAAGAATGACTTGAAACGGCCTTCAATTCACAAAATGGAATTGGGGGGTTTGCATGCTGAACACGAATATATATTCATACCCTTCTTTTTTGCCGCAAATCAATAGTAATAGTTATTGAGTTATTGATGTTTGAAAACAGAACTGTTAACAATATTACAGGAGGACCAATGGCATAGTACTATTTGACTTGTTTTTAATGACATGGAGGGTTTCAGGTAAAAATATTCTGGGGGGGTTTCAGGGGGGTATCCCTCTGCATTTCACCATGATTTGATGTTTTGGCAATTAGGTTTGATATTTACTAGGAAAACAATTGATTTGCAAGGCCTTACGTGTGTTCTGCAGCAAAAATTATGGCTGTTTAGCTTTCAAATCAGTGCATCTGTGTCTGGGAGCAAAAGTAAAAATTTACCTTTTTTTCTTTCACTACCGCCACCACACTGCACACAGATGAAGATGCACACCTTGGGGGGGGGGGGGGGGGAGGGCCGTTTTTTGTTTGCTGCAGATCACTTGTGTGGCCATTAAAATTGTCGTGACTCAGTTAATATTTGGAAACTTTCTAACCTAATATTAATTGCAAAACATCAAAATTACGAATTATGAGGAAAAAGGGCCATTTATATATAATCTCCCGAGATTTATTTTTTTTACCTCAGGGAGGGCATGTCCCCCTCCCCCGAAATCCGCCAGATTGGTCCAAAGCAGGGAGATTACTAGATCTATGCAATGAATTAGCCTTTGTTTTAGTAGAGTAGAGGTTTTACTGCGCTCGCAACTGCTTAAGGTCATATGAGCGCCAATTAGGCTTAGCGGGATGTGGGTCAAATAAACCCTGTCCGTACGCCCTGGGGTCATTTTGTACCCCTGGGGTTGTATTCTTCACTTTAAGAATACTTCTGGTACGATGATCTCTTTGAAACTTTCAGTATTTTTCAAAAAATCATTTTGACAGACCGCTAGCAGCTATGCAAAGCATATGGATTGGATTAACGAGTAAATTTCCTCTTTGGAAAGTGGTGGCACAGAGTTCCCCACGTCATATGGATACAATAGTAAAACACGACGCACGGATAAGGTTAATTAAAAACTATGAAATATTTCAAAAACTAATAATTTGCAACGGATAGTCAATATTTGTATAAACGGGATAAAATTGAAGAAAAAAAGTGTTATATACATGCATGGGGTGGGAATGAAAATAAATGAATACCAGTATCTATAGTATATTGATTTGTGGGGGTTTATTGTTTCCAGAAACCTATTCCAAACAAAACATTTTTTATCATCAAATACAATTTAAAAGAACAAACTAGATCTAAACAGAGTAAAATGCATAAACAATTATTTTCTACAAAATAAGAAGAAAAAAAAGCTCCCTAGAGTAATAAGACATTTTTGTACGAATTAGGCTTTACAAAACTAAAACCCTGTCAGGTTTGGTCAATATGAAATATCTTCTACTATCTACTCCGCTTACAACTACTTCCACTTCTACTACCCCTGCTACCACTATACTACTGCTACTAGATCTTGGTTTAGGATAGAAGAGGGATGGTGTGAGAAAAACTATTGGAATTTGAAAAAGTATCGATCAAGCTTTATTTTTATGTGAAATCATATATGATAAACATATTCCTCTGAGATTTTAGTTTTCTATTTTCTTCTTCCAAAACTGCTTTCCCGAAGTAAATCTTTTTTTTGCTCTTTACTTAACACTCCAGCTCCACCCCCTAACCCTTTCTTATTTATTTGATACCCATTTAGTTCAAAGGCATTTTACTAAGTAAAAAAAAACTAATTTAGTTTTGAAGATATTGTCAAATGGAAACTTTCCTGCCTAGCCTTGAGCAGTTGCTGAGACAATCTTTCATTTTTAAAGGAGGTTTTGAGATGTCGTTCTTTGATTTTGACTCACTGAAAATGTCTTTTGTCTCCAGGATACACTTTTCCCATATGTGAGGAACAACATTGATGGCTTTCTCACCAAGAACTTTGAGAATGCTGAGGTCCAGAAGGCCATCACTGCCCTCAGAGACTTGGTAAATTGAATTTTGCTTTACTCTTGATACAGTGGAGTCCACTTATAACGAGTCCTGAAACAACGAGAAGTCTGCTATAAAGACACTTTCTAAAACCCTGTTTTTTTCCCTTCTTTATCTTTGTAAATAAAATACTGCTATTGCGCAATCAGACAGTCACGCGAGTCAGTTATAGCGGAATAATGCTGCTGCTGTGTACAGCGCACAGACCAATTTAACATAAACCTCGCCAGTTGAGAAAGTTGTTGGTGATCCAGCAAAACAAAGAACGGGAGAGCCCATGCGAACCAACAATGAAGGCCGGAGCGAATGAGTGGGGAGGGTGTGGCATGTGCAGACAAGCAGAACGCATCGCGTGATAGGCCAGCCCAGTCTAGATTAACTAGGTATACCGTGCCTCTCACTTCTCTGGTGCGGGATGGAGAGGTCACAATGCTGTGATAGATGGAGTGAATGTGTGACGTGCGCAAGCAGACGCAACGCACCACAGAGTGTGATGGGGTGGAGAACAACGCAACGGGCAAGTTAGCCTAGAGCCAGAGCCCCTTCTTTCTGATCGCCAAAGCCGATTTGTCAACATTGCTAGTGCTAGAGAAAGAAACCTGATTCCATTTTTGATCAAGTAAGACCTAGGAGCTAGAGATCATGTTGAACAAAATCATCTTCAGGGGAAATACAAAAAGGAATAAACTGAACACCTAACTCATAGATTAGGCCTACTTTACTATTTCCCTTGAATTTATTACTGGATCCCTAATAACGAGAATCCTGCTATAAGGGATATTTTGCACCGGTCCCCTCCCTCTCGTTATGACAGGATTCCACTGTAACTGAAGCATTCTAGTGCATCCTTCAACTCCTAGTTATTTCCCTTGAATCTGGAAATTTAATATATATGCCAATAGAAAGGGAATTAATTGGTCTTTCAGATCTAGCCGATAGTTTTCATATTAGTCAAGCTTTCTTGAGGTGTGACATTTTTAATTGTACTGAAAATAGATGCAGAAACAGAAATCGGACTGCCACAACAATCACAAAAGGAAAAAAATCGCAATTTAGAGTTTACTTTAATTTGATGAGAAAGTACACTCAATTCTGCCTGTAATATGTAAAAGACCCCTCATTCTGTTGAAAAATAAAGAAATGAGGGCCGTTCTTGTGCATTCTACAAATTCTCGGTTATTGCCCTTGAAACCAGAAATTTCAGAGAGAGAATTTTATTATAAAACATCAATTTTAAACATTTTTATTTGATAAAAGTACCTTACAAAATCTCTCTTTATAAAAGTTTTTGTATTTTATGGGCGGAATACCAATCACCAGCCATGGTATGTTACGGATATAGCACTGCATGAACAGCTGAGCGTTAAAGGTACGTAAAATGTAAATTTTAAGTTTCCAAGGACTCTCAAGGTTTGAAAGTAATGAAAGTCACCAAAGTTAAGTGGCCATTTTTTTTGCTAATTTTACCTCCGAAACCCGGCGACCCCCACCACCTTCGATCGCAAATATTTCGACTTCTATTCAAGATAGATGGGTACTTTTTTCATCAAAAGGTAGACATGTGAATAAACTTTAAGATGATACTAATATTATAATTCCACATTCCTAAAAATTGACGAGCACCTGATTCCACCGCATCGTGACACACATATAGATTATATATATATATTATATTGTGTATTTTTAAAAAAAGAAATAACTTTTGTCTTTTATATGCTGGAATGGAAAAAATGTTTGTGATTGATGTCATAACCCTGAAATAGCACCTTTTCTTTTAGATAAAAAATGAATGGTTCTCATTTATGAAGATTTTTATCATTGAACAAAGATTTTTACCCTTCCAACTTTCCTGTCACTTATTTTTGTTCTTCTTAGAAGAAAAGCAGTGAATATAACTTTTTGTGGTAGGAAAACTAAAAGCTTTAGAATGGTCAAAATGCATTGATGCCTGACTTATCCTTTTTTTAAAATTCAAGGCCACAAAGGAGAAAGAAGAGAAAGTAGAAGGAGCTGTTGAAATCCCGGGAGGAGATGCAAGTAAAGAAGATGTCGTGAAAGCTGTCTCTGAGAATGTCAAATGGCAGATGGATGGCGACAGAAAAACGACAGAGCTTAAGGCACTGCAGGGATTGATATGGAAAGATGCTTACGAATCAAAAGAAGTGAAAGGAGAGTAAGTATCCCAGGGTTTTTCTGATTTTTGTGAAGCTGTGCCAGTCTTTTATGAATTGTTACGAGTTGTTTATTCTCAGTACAACACGGATAGGTCAAACACTGTAGACTCGAAATGATGCATACGGTCTGGTTTTTTCTTTCTTCTTTATGTTTGTAAGATATACCACGAAATACTGAGCCCTCAAACTACCGTGGCCGGTCTCGACAAAATTGAGTTATCGATATATTACTGTATGTGCATCCTTTTTTTAAATATCTTACTCTTGTGTCATGTTCTCTTCAGTCATCATGGTCCTGGGCCAGTCTGACTTGCTGTGCCCTGGAATATTCAGTTTTCTTAATTTGTGCATTTGTTTAGATCAAAGCACCAGGTGTTCTTTCGACTTGCTCTTTTACCTTGTTGGTTCCTGGTAAGTGCTTGCCTTGTGCTGGACGCAAGCTTTTCCTGAGTTCTCTGCTCTTTTGTTAAAGGGCTCTGGAAAAGTGGGCTGACTGGGTCTGCACTCGCTAGTCTTTTGTTCCCTCATGATTTTCACTTCTGTTCTTTCCCGTCCCAAGCAAAAACTTTCTATTGAAGTCAGATGTAGTTGCTCATCATTGTTACTACAGTAGTCTCCGCCTAAGATCCCGGTGCTCGGGAGCAAGGAAGTGCGGGATCTTAGGCGAACTGGGATCTTAACTGACAAACCCAGGGAAGAATCTATGGTGACCCATGTTAAGGCTCACAATCAGTAAAATGGTCTCCCTCCACTCTTAAATGAACTGACCCCTTGGTGGGTTTATAGCATATGGCGAGCAAAAAATGGCTAACTTTGATAACCTATCACAGTGCATAGTGGGATGAGGCGTGCCATTTTCACTCATTATCCTATCATGAGTCTCAATATTTATGCTTCTCCAGTTGCCCCTCCCCTTTACCTGTCGAAAATTTATAGCTTTCAATCTCTGACCGTGTCCCCCCCCCCCCCCCCCCCCCCCCAACCACATTTGTCATTACACCCCATTACATTGTGAACACACCAATTAAAATTCAGTCTGTCTCGCAAATTCGGGAGTAGAGACAGCTGCTGCAATGGTCAAGGAAGAGTTCATGGTTCGATGTGATCCCGCCTGGAGGGAATGTGTAGGCCCTATCCACCCAGCAACTGATGTAAGTTAAGGGGGAGAGCTCAGGTGTGAGTGCAATGCGTGGGGAAAACAAACATGTCGGTCAGTTCACACCCAGGTGTGATCCCGTCTGGGACAAACATTGTATCGCTTCATTGAGTTTTACAACGTGTATGTGATCACATTCACGATAGTGGCTGATCTTAGATGCGACAAACAGTTTATTGATCTCAGCTTTTCACTCTTGGTTGATCGGCTGTGGCTGTCCCGCCCGGGTTTTTGTTCCGCTAATAATGATTTGAAATGCGGGATCTTAGCCGAATGTAGACCTTCAGAGTGGGATCTTAGGGGTGACTTTTATATAGTAAAAATTCTGTTTTCTTAAAACAACGGGATCTTAAGCAAACCAGGATCGTAAGCGATGGGATCTTAGGCGGAGACTACACTGTACTGCTTGTGACTTCTTCTTCACATCAACATTGTCATCAGTGGCTTGTTATTTCTGTCATTAGGTCCTTGTGCCTATGAAAATCATTAATTGACAGTTTCATCTTGGTAGACTGTTGGAAACAGGTTTTTGAGTGACAGGAAACGGTAAAACAATTAAATCTTTCTGTTGTCAGCTCATGGCTTTTGTAAGGTGCATCCAGTTGTCTGTTGTACATCCAGTGGACTGTAGATTGGAGTTTTTTCTGTACATTCACTATTGTTAATAAAAAGTTGTGTTTCAGGTTAATTTCTTAAGATCTATGGGATGCTAAGCGTTGGCAAGGTATACTGTCCTTCATTAGGTTCCCTCACTTATTTTTTTTTCCACTGACATATCGTTAAGTTCTCAATATGTTTACCAAAGCTAAACATTTTTGATGAGATTACAAATTCATTTTCTGACTTTATTTAGATTTTGTTTGAGTAATGTGGGCAAGTCCAGTTGCTGGACTTTCAGACATGTTGATTTCTTTCTTTCTATACATGCATTTGTTTGGTCACCAGATTGTTTGAAGACGTTGGACCGATGTTGAAGATGCTGGCAGAGGAAGGAGTACAGTTGTACGTCTTCTCTTCCGGGAGTGTGGAAGCCCAGAAACTGTTGTTTGCCAATTCCAGTCAAGGGGATCTCACTGATGTAAGTAAAATAACAAGATTCTTCTTTTTAAAAAAAATCTCGCTTCAGAATATTGTACATTGTGAAATTTTGTTGGATAGTTTACTTAACTCTTTTTTCTCAGGAGGGGGTTTATCAACTTTTTTTGGTATGAAACCTAAAGGTGACATGCACGTCATTAAACGAGAACAAATTAATTTATTTTGATAGTTGGGTGTCAAAAGAAGGAACTCTTAATAAAAGAGACCTGTTTTCGGCTATTGCCAAATACTAATATAACACCATAGTTGTTGTAAAAGGGGACCGAGCCACTGCCTGCGGCTCATCGGCGCAATGCTTCTGACAGTGAGCTGCTGAGAGTCGCTTCCTGGTGATTAGGAATTAAGCTGTTTAACTCACTTAGTCTCTCTTTTCTGAACTGTTCTCAATGTTGGTTTACATTGACCATGTGCACGAGGGTGCTCTCTCATAGGTCTAGATATATTTCGCGTACTGTATTTCTTTGTGGGAATGGGCCTACTCAGCTGAAGAAGCTATGTCTAACTTTCATTCCTGTTACTGTCATCAGAATGAGTCTCCCTCTATTTCACTTGTATAGATGTCATCAGAAGCATCACTAATTTCAACAATTTTTTTTCACTATTCTTTTTCATAATGAGCTCGTTGAACACCTCTCAGAAGTGTGGGATTGTTTTGCCATCATTTACACTTTATATACAAAATGGACCTCTACATTCAAATCAGCACTAAGACAGGTTTGACTTGAATGTCTGATTATCTTCGGGTGATCGGGTGATTTCCCCTTGTTACTTTTGCAATGAGAACTGCCATGATAAAATGTTGTAGTCAGTATTATATTATAGAGGTTTACCTTCAAACGAGGGGGGGGGGGGGTTCCCTTGCCTTATATGGGCAGCAAGGGATGAATTGTGAGCTCAGGGAATCCCTGTGCACCTTTTAAAATATGTGAGAATTTAGATTTGTGAATAATGTGGAAGATTTGGCCATGTGCTTGAAAGTACTTTCTGCCCTTTGAGGTTCTGATGTCATATTTTTACTCTCTCCAGGTCTTTTCTGGTCATTTTGATACAACAACTGGCAGTAAAACGGAGAGTGCAAGCTACAAAAAGATTGCAGCTGAAATTGGAAATGAACCCAAAGATATCCTGTTTTTGACAGATATTCCAGAAGGTTATGATTGTTTGTTTTGTCCCCCCCCCCCCCGAATAAAAAATAATGTTTTGTTTTTTTGTTTGAAAGAGATTCTGCTAATTGTAGAAATGTTGTGTTTCTGCTGTTATGTTTTTTTTTCACCGCAAGAACTCTAGAACTATTAGTTTCACATAATTTTTTCTGTTAAACCTCATATTAACCTTTTGCCACTTGGAGGTGCCGATGTGCGCCATCATCGCTAAGCCCCATAGTCGCCGATGTGCACCGACACGCCCACTCAATTCATCCGTTTACACTACTTTCGTTTCTACATTGTCTCGCTTCCTACGAGATTGTGGAGCTTTTAGTGAGTATCTAGAGTGGTTGTCCTTTACTGTCGTGTTTATTTGGTGAAAATTGATCAAAGCAAGCGAGAGCGGTGATTTTTTAAATTTAGTGTTTTTAGAGACCTAAATCTAACTTCGTGGACGATGGAGACACTTATAATTGGGATTTAAGTACCAATATCGTCAACCAAGGGGCCAGATCTAGTACTGGTAGTACAAGTAGTCACTCGGACACTCAGTCATGAGAGTGAGAGTGAGAACTATAGTAGGAGAGCGAACACGATGTCAGAGATCTAGGTCTAGGCTCTAGGGGAGGGGAACAACTATGATAGTGATGTTGATGGTGAGATCGTTACTGGAGGTGATAATTTAGAAGACACTGATGAAGAAGATAGGCCTAGCCCTCACAGCACTTTAGCTAGAATCTAATACTACTAGCTCTACTACTACTACGTAAAAAAAGGGAGAAGCAGCACTGGGACTATGACAACTGTGGGCACTGTCACATCAAATCCTTTTGAGCACGTTGTGATCAGAATGCATGCAAAAACCAGAAACTTTACAAAGCGTGGCAGAGCGAGTGAGACCGTGACAGGATGCAATTTGTGCCATGTTAGGCTTTGCAAAAGACTGTGCTGGGTGAAACATCATGAACTTCTTCGTGCATAAAGCGAGTTGTGTCTTTTGGGGTTTTTTTTTTTTTACTTCAGAATTTTTTTTTTACCTAGTACACAATACATTTTCTTGTAGTTTATTCATTTATCTGTGCTCTGACACCTAAACTGTAATTTTAAACTCATGCTCTGATTTTTAATGATTTTTGAAAATAATATAGTCATGCAGTCTGAGCAGAGTTATGTCCCTTTGGCCAGAATTTCAGCTTTGTTCACGGTGCACAGAAACAGGATACTTTAGTTGAGAACTCAGGTAGCTAGTGCTGCGCTGACCTTTGACGGTGAGCGGGGTCATCGCTTGGGCATTCTTCGGTCCGCGTGACCGCGCGGGAGGTTTAGAAAATCGTAACTTTTCTTCCTGAATTGAGCGCTAATTAACGCAATAATATTGACTGAAAGACATTGCTGCATGAGGGAATCAGAAGTTCCAGTCTTTTTCATGATATTTCATAAACAAAGTGAATCAGTATTAGTCGGTTTAGTTGTAACAGAAAGTGCAAGATGGTCATGTCTGATTCCTGTCAGCGTTTCCAGTTATGACGTAACGAGTGCCGATAATTCGAAAACTGAGCATCAGGGTAAGTTCATCTTTGAGGGACATAAACGTAATACTTCAAGTTATCTACTCATCAAATTTCACTGCTATCACAGTTTCCGTAACCTCAAAATTGTTGATCTATACATCGTTTTGCCGTAAATATCCACACATTTCCCTCACTTAACTCTACATGAATTATTGAGTAGGCTCTATAGGTTTTATTGCTAATATATACACTCATATCCTGAATCATTGTGTCAGCATGTTGTACATCTACGTGTTGGTCACTGACTGGGACAACAGACTGAGGGTCGGTGTGGCAAGTCTGACTTGTACTGTGTGGGTCGTTTTTTTGTGTAGAGTCTGTGCTGAGAGCATGGGTACATGTACTTAGTGTGGTAGTGTCTGTCTCAGAAATGTTGGTGCTAGGACTAGCTTGGTTTGTGTATGTTTCCTGACTGCTGTAGTGAGACTGGGGGTCACGTTGCTTTTCTGTGGCACAGCCAAGAGAGAGCAGTTTTTTTTTCTGTTCACAGACTGCATGTTTTTGCATCACAGTCTTCACTGTAAGCACACCAAATGTTTGTAGGGACTCTGCACTATTTCGAGTTTAGCGTCATAGATCGTTTTATAACATTTCAAACACATAAATTTGGAGTGTTTGTCACCAGTGTCATCTTTGATATTCCACCCAAACACAAGGAAGAGATCATTGGCTATTTCCGAACATAAATACGGCTTTTTAAAGGATTTTCTCTGCTTCTCTGTAATGTTCAGTCTTCCGCACACTCTACACAGACTGTTTAAAGCGGATACATGACTTTCAGGGGTGTGCTCAATTTTAAGGTCTTCGATTTATACGGCAATAACGTCAGTAAATTCGCGGGCCGAACACAATAATCCGATGTAACTGAACAACCACAACTGCGGTAGTGCAGAAATTTACACACTTAAAACAAGACTTGTTACTGAAAACGCACATACTAATCCCAAAAAAATTCAATACTCCGTTTTGTGGCAATAAATGATTATTTATCCTCAGTTTGAAATAATTAAAAGCATGTTACACATGCATCAAACAGAAACGTGGGGAACACCTGGTATAAAACGTAGAAGACTGGGACTTTCTTTAAGAGGAGGAGAAATGGTGTTGCTAAAGTCTATAAATTAAAACTACTTGATGGGTCTTACGGCACCACTGCAATTGAGGTAGTAAATGAGACAATTTTATCGAGAACGCATCCCGTTTTATAACGGTGCGATAAAAAAGGTCAACATATACCGGACAGGGTGATTAATTACCTATGGACAGCGGGAGCTGTGGTGCAACTAAAAGGCGTGATTTCGGCTGATTTTGTGCGCCGTGTGTTGGGCAGGGATAGCTGTGAGAGTGAAAGGGTTAATATTTCACCCTAACTCGCCCGCGATTTGTCCGAGAATTTCCTTATGCGCTCCACACTAACTCGCCCGGAACCGCCCGCGCCGTCATAGCGTCTTTAGAAATGAAGTCTCGCCTTAACGGGACTCTGGGGCCGAGATTTTGGTTTGCATAGTTATTGCAAAATGTTTCTTTTTCCGTTTGATACCGAAACAACATTTTTAAGGCCAGTAGTTTTAGTATTAGACTAAATTAGAGCCGATCGAAGTGCGGTTGCGTTTCTGACACTTCGAAGGTGTCTCGACTTGTTGAAGAGCAACACAACTGAGTTTGAAAAAGGAAATAATGATGGATTTGAGCAAAAAGGATATTCATGACAAATTAGATTAATCAGTTTTTTATGAAAACATTGTAGCAAGAGTTTGGGGCGATTCAGATTTATCAGATGTAGAATTTAGATCTAGGGCCCAACCACGAGGCTGAGAGGGTTGGACGCTCCGATTGAACTAAAGTTAGAACATTTCCAACTGTTTGTGCATACATAAAGTTATATTTTTCTGAAACTACATTCATTTTTTAACTTTTTTATTTTTTCAGGTTTTTTGAAATTTGTTTAGTATTTTTAAAATGTGTTTTTTAAATTTGTATTCACGGGAGGTGGGTTCCATCCCCTTGCTTAGGATCTAGGAATGGACTTCCCGTCCAGACCCTTAGGGTGTAATGTTTTAATTGTCTTTTTGTTTTAAAATGCAGAGCTGCGTAAATTTTAAGGTTTTTTTTCACAATAATCAATTATGAATTTATTCAGTGAGAGAATAATTATGTTAATCTTGTTGACACAGAGACTAATGCAGGTTTGTTTCAATTGCTTTGTTATTGAAGTTTGTTAGAAGCGTAATACAGATTGTCTGAACTTTTAAAATACCAGCCAGAGAGTGATCAGTATGAAAAGCTTTTTGCGTTTGGTGTAGGTCAGTTTCTTGTTTTTCTTGTTTTTTATTTAATTTTTTGTGGCGTTCTGGCACCCTCTATGGTAGAAAGTAAGCTTTTTGAAGGTGCAAATTGAAATATGGACAGCTATCAATTCTTAATTTAGTGAGCAGAATTTGACTGGCTGTAGTCATATTTTTGATACTGCATGTTCTGTTTCTCCTGCTTGCCCCTTTGCAAAATCCCTTTACTGACGACTCATTTGACCTTCACTACAACAGAGGCAGAGGCGGCAGTTGCGGGAGGTTTGAGGAGTGCACTGGTGATCCGACCTGGCAATGCTGACTTGACAGACGAACATCTCCAAAACTTTGCGTGCATCGAAAGATTTGACGAGCTTTATGGAGATGAAGATGATGAGGATGACATTAAGCGTTTTGCGGGTGACAACGGTGAAGCAGATGATGATGATGATGATGAAGATGAGGGTGATGAGGATGATGAAGAGGGAGAGGGGGACAATGATGATGACGATGAAAATCCTGATGATATCTAAATACTGAATTAGAAAGTAGTATGTTTGTGTGTATGTGTGCATGATCTGTTTATTCAGTAGAAAGTGAAAGGCGATGTGGTGGTGAGGGACAGGAAGCAGTTTTGTGTATGATAACCATTGATTACAAGATTAGTACAAAGACAATTGTCAGTTCTTTTGTTTTTAGCAGCATGATGAGATACCTCAAAGATGTTTCTAAACAGTTTTACTTTTCTCCAAGTCAGAAGTTGTTAGAGAATAAAATTTAAAGCAGAGATATTTTTCTCCCCCACCACAGTCAGAAAGGACAATCAGTGGAAATCTGAAGGAATTGATCTCACTCTTGTCTACCTTGTTTGCTAGGTTCTTGAGGTTTGTGTTTCCCATTCAGTCATTGAAATCTCCAATTATTTTATATTGTAAAGTTCCCTCATCATGACATGTAAACTTTTTGATATTGTAAGCATTTAATGATTGTATTTATTTTATTTGTTTTCATTTCACCTGTTTCTGTCTCTTTTCAGTCAGTCTGTCTGTCTGTCTCTAAAATTTTCTATTTTAAAGACAATGAAAATCTGTTTTATACATCTCTTGTCCCTAGTCAGGTTTGGGTAACCCTTGGACTTGAGAAAGGAAAACCAAATGTCTACAGTTCATATCTCCAGGCATCTTTATTAGGAGGTTGTTCCAGGAAAAAGTCAGATCATTACCATTTAGAATATGCTGGTTTTTCCGTTCCATATCAATGGTACATGTGCAATGAAATGTGGTGCTTATGTTTGTGCAGAGATAGTCAACCTTGGCAGCTCTTCTTGTTTCGTGAAACTTTCCAGTTTTGATGAAATGAAATAATCTCTGAGGACAGCAAGTTTTTGTCTCCTTCACCTCTCTCGTTGTCTTTGCCAGTTGTTTTTACGCTGCCACGTTGTTTTACTACAAGTTTTTTTAATTCTTGAAAATTTACAGTTTTTGTAAATAATCATTGATGGATATTCGCAGCAAGTTTTATCTGAATTTTGTTTTCATTTACTGTGTAATTTTCCAAATGCAATTGTGAGAGTAGTGATGCGGTGAACATTACTTAGAAAGGTTTGGGTCAGTTGTTAGTTTTTTGCATCAATGAACTCAGAATATGATGCTCATGTTTAGGAAAAAAGTTTCTATGATACTTGTTATTTTTGTTGTTGTTGTTGATCACTTGTTTTCCGTTACGTCTCATATTGCATTGTTTCATCATTGTCATTTTCTTTTTTTTTCTTTCTTTTTTTTAATTTAATGTACATACACATTTTTAAGATATGAGCAGACCATTACATCATTTCAGTCCCAAAATCAAAATGTGGAATCATTGGTCAGACCAGAAGTTGTTCCTATGTACCCATGTCATTTCCATGCCCTTGTGGACTACACAAAACCATTGCACATTTGTAATAATCCAATGTATGATTTTGTCATCTCCTCACACAATTTCTTCCTTCTTTTTATATTGGGTCAGAGCAAAGGCACCTGAAAGCTGTTCTAAAGTTCCCACTTGTGTTCTATTGCATGTCCTTGTTTTAGAGGATCCATGTTACAGAAAGAAATCTCAGTCTTGTAATTTGATCAACTGGTCAAGTCTTTTCTTTTTGTTTTGTTATGGTGCTGTTTATTTATGAATAATAAATCTTGACAATGAAATTTGTTCCGTTTCGGGCTTTATTTATACAATGAAGTGGCCTCTGTATGCTCACTGAAAAGCTCCCAAAGTTTTAGACCACAATCCTGCGTGGTATGTTTACTTTTTCGAGTGTTTCCCTAGGTTCTGGAAAGCTTGGGATTTTTGTTTGTTTGTTTAGTTTTGTTTGTTCTCAGTCATCATATCCTTATGTGTTTATATGACCATGAACAAATTACATTGTAGTTTCATACATCAATGGTTCAGTCTTTTTCCTTTTTTTGTGTGATTATTGTTGTGTCAGCTTTCAGTGCATGCTGTTGTAAGTTTAAGGGTGCTTAAAAATACTGACATACACTGACAAGATCATGGTCTTAGACGAGTACCCATTCCTGTCAGGGAGAAGTTAGGAAAATTCATACAGTGAAATGTCTTTCCCCAAGGAGGATCGAAGTGGCAGGGCCAGACCCATAACCATTGGTCGTTAACCAGTCCAACCACAAGGCTATCGATGCCACCAGAATCTGACGGAATGGTCATAGCTGAGGTGCTTGAGTTTAAAATTCTTCCATACAATTGGGAGGCTGAGCTTTGGTCAGTCTTCTGTTTTGTATGGAAGGAGTGTCTTCCCAGACAATTTACAGTTAATTTAATTATTCATATCCATTATCATGGGCCTTGCAGTGAGCCAGAACTTGCAGAGATTGAACCTGGCCGTAAGAGCAGTTAGTCCTGTTCAAGCCTGTTGATATATCTCCTCATTCACAGGTCTTTCTCTTGGTTATAGATGGGAGTTTTTAGAAGAGCAAGAGCATCTGTAAAGACCACATGGGTGGTTGATGGGTGCTCTGGTTTGGTTTGCTCCTTTTTTTCCTATCACATGTATATTGCCCTTATCTGTCCTCCTTTTTGTGTTTGTTACTCTCTTGTTATACCTCTGATCTACAGCACTTATATTATGCATGTGTCGTATAACTTTATTTAACACTTTGCCGTCATATTTTGGGAAAATTCCAAAGAAACTGGGTGGTAAACATCGCGTATCTGCGAGATGAGGCGGCAAAGTGTTAAACTAAAGCAAAGTAAAGACCACTTCCTTTTGACATGGTTCATGGAGGGTCATTTCTTACAGTTTACAGTTTTCAATGCCATTATGGAATTTGGGTGTTGATAGTTTCCAGTGCTAAGGGTAATGTCTGTGTCATCAAAGGTTGATGAGTCATAAATTTGATGAAGCCAAGTTTCAAATCAAAACATATTTCATATTGACTATCACTAAATCCAGAAAAAAAATCCCCACTACTCAACAGGGTTGTCCCCCATGACAGACAGCCAGCATGATGACCTTCAGGGTTGTTTCTTTTCGTAAGAGTTTTACGGTACTTGCAACACAATAAGGTCATATAAGTGCCGAAGATTAGAGATGTCACATGGGAGTAACAAACAAAAAAGAATGAGGGGAGATTAAAAGGAGATGTTTGATAGGAAAGAAGGAGGAAACCACACCAGAGTACCCACCAACCACCCACCTTCAGAGTTTGCATTTCCAATACATACGTACAATTATATTGTACCTGTACAGGAGATTCACGTCCACAAGAGGACCGGGTTTTTTTTTGTCACTGACAATGGTGACAGCAGCTCAAACCTTTGCCCCCAGAAAAGCGAATTTTTATTGGAATTTTGAGAATGTCACAGATGCCATAGTAATGGCCATGTATACTGGGAAAAAGCAAGACAGACAGAGAGAAACTCAGATAGGGCCTACCACTCAGTGGTACCCTTCAACCACTTGCTGAATTAGCTTTCATGATTCAGTGTCTGTAAAAAATTACAGACCCTTGGAAACAAAGTGGTTGGTTGGTGGGTGCTCTGGTGTGGTTTGCTTCTTCTTTCCTATTAAACACCTATCATTATCATTCTTTAAATCTCTCCTCCTCCTTTTTTGTGTTTGTTGCTCTCTTGTAGCACCTCTAATCTTCGGCACTAATATGACCTTGTTGTGTTGCAAGCACAGTAAAACTTAAACTAAAACTAAACTTGGAAACAAACGAAAAAAATCATCCACACCCTAAGAATACAGTAACTGTACAAAAACATCTGCACATAACATATTGTTTATTACAATGTACCTGGATTCCTGGTCTTGGTTTAGCTGTTTGAATTTGAATAACTTTCTGAAACTTGATAAAGGAAAAAAGATTTTAAAAATAAAATAAAACATTTATATTACATGTGAGGCATCGTAATGAAATCAGACGCTCGTCAAATTAATGAAATTGAAGATACTGGCATTTTCCTGACGATTTGGCAATTTTTATCAAATTTTGGGTTTTTCGCTCAACACCTTTATCTTCATTTAGATTTAGAAATACATTTTTGTGTTGATAATATTTCAGAAAAACGATTAAATTCACCAAAAATGTAAATTTTTGTTTCCAAGGACTCTCCTCAAGCATTTTCTTGCTTATTTTACGGCTGAGACCAGGTGACCACCCACCTCTTTCAATCGCAAAAATATCTTGACTTTATTTCAAGTTAATTGAACTGAGCATTTTTTTCATCAAATGACAGACAAATGAATAAATTTTAAAATGATATTAATACCAGTAACTCCAATTGCCCAAAAATTTACAATTTACTCTTCTAGTTTACTTTCAACACAACGTTAAGAAATCTGACTTCCATATCTATATATATATATCTATATATCTATATATATATATATACAGTAGTCTCCGCCTAAGATCCCACCACTTACGGTCCCGGTTCGCTTAAGATCCCGCTGTTTTAGGAAAACAGAATTTTTACTATACAAAAGTCACCCCTAAGAACCCGCTCTGATTCACTATGAAGGTCTACATTCGGCTAAGATCCCGCATTTCAGATCATAATTTGAGGAACAAAAACCCGGGTGGGCACAACCGATCAACCAAGAGTGAAAAGTTGAGATCAATAAACTGTCCGTCGCGTCAAAGATCAGCCACTATCGTGAATGTGATCACATACACGTTGTAAAACTCGATGAAGCGATACAATGTTTGCGCCAGACCGGATCACACCGGGTTGTGAACTGACCGACACGTTTGTTTCCCCCACGCATCGCACTCACACCTGAGCTCTCCCCCTAAACTTACATCACTCGCTGGGTGGGCAGGGCCTACAAGTTCGCTCCAGGCGGGATCACATTGAACTGTGAACTCTTCCCTGACCATTGAAGAAGTAGTCTCTACTCCCGAATTTGCGAGACAGACTGAATTTTAATTGGTGTGTTCACACCGTAATGGTGTGTAACGACAAAGGCGGTTGGGGTGGGGGTGGGGGGAGGGACTCGGTCAGAGATGGAAAGCTATAAATTTTCGACAGGGGCAACTGGATACGCATAGATGTTGAGACTCAGGGTAGGATAAAAAGTGAAAATGGCACGCCTCATGCCACTATGCACTGTGATAGGTCATCAAGGTTAACCACTCTCTCCTCGCCATACGTCATAAACCCAAAAAGCGGTCACGTCAGTTCATTTTAGAGTGGAGGGAGACCATTTTACCGATTGTGAACCTTAGCATGGGTCACCATAGATTCTTCCCTGGGTTCGTCGGTTAAGATCCCGGTTCGCCTAAGATCCCGCATTTCCTTGCTCCCTATATATATATATATATATATATATATATATATATATATATATATATATATATATATATATATATGTGTATATATATATATATTTGTATGTTCATTAACTGCAAGATAAACCTTATTTGTAATTAGTAATACCGGTAGGCCTACTATGCTGACCTTTAAGAAAAACCAACACAGGTTTCCTGAAAATACAAAGCATCACCATACATGTACCAGTACAGTTGGAATTGTCTAAGATTGTCAAGAAGAAGAGTCGTCTTAGGTGGATATCTTGAACAGTGTCATTATAAACCAAAAATATGTACGGTGAAGAGTGGCTGTTTGTACTGAAGATTGTCTTGGACAGGCGGCTGTTAATACAGGTTCGACTTGTATTATATGCAGCTACCACAAAACGTTTTTCCAAGAAAAACAATTCAGCACCTACCTCCCTACTCAGCTGTGTACCATCAACTTCTTTTCAAATACAAGAATCTTCTAACTACATGAAAAGAAATAAAACTTCTAAAGACATCTCTGCCATCGGCTGACAAAACGCCATTTTTCATTTTTGGCACCAAGTTTTCTAATTTGCTAAATCGATAGAGTGATCAGTTACCCTACTTATGTGAAAAAAATCAAAATAAATCTGACTAGTGTGACTAGTTTTTGAAAAAATTAATATTAACATTTTGAAAGGTCTTTTCTTTACAGGTCACCCTGACAAAATGTCTTTATTCTCGAAACTACTGAGAATTTTTAAAAAGCGTTTTGTCGGCTGACTGCAGATCTGTAGGGTACATTTTAGGCTCTTAACTGTTGTGTGCAGAAGATGTGAGGTTGATTCCTCCAGCATGGGGAGGTTCCTTTTATAGAGAATCTCCATCATGTCTTCACATGCTGTGTCCTGCTACTCAGAGTTAGTCAGAGTGGGTTGGCCCTGACAAGCAGGGTTGAATTAAATTGTGTTGATTGGGGTGTAGAGTAAAAGTAAAACATTTACAATCTAAAAATAAGACAAGAACAAAAGCCAAAAATGTTTATCATGACCAATCAAATTTAATAGTAGGATTCAACAGAAGTGTATTGTATCCTAGTTCACTGTACATGAACCAAGGCTGCTCCGAAACCTCTCCAATTTAGTTCCATATTACACTGGGAGCCCCACATTACAATGGGAATGACTTAGTCCAGAAATTGCATTTCTATTAAGTGCACTCCCCAGGCAAGCAATACAAGACAGAAAGAAACATAAAGTTTGTACAAAAAAATCATACACCATAGCTACTTGCAAAATTGAGACTTAACAAAAAATTCAAGCAATCTGTCTACTACCTCTTTATTTGTAAATAAAGCAAGTGAAACAGCCACGCCAGAGAGCCTGAAGAGTATCTCTAAGAATAGATCTGAAAAGCTATTCACTTAAGGGAGCATATTTTTTTCAAGGTTTATTTACTTTGTTAATCCTATATATTATACATTTTACAAAATAAATAAGGTATACTTTTAAAAGCACTGACACAGCATCATTCAAAGCAGAGGCAAAGATAGCTACAGATGATAATTGTAAATGACACACACACGCTCGCGCCTGTCAAACTGGAACATCTGTGCTTGACGGACACATGATGAAAAAAACAAGAACTAGGTATAAATGATGTAAATGACGAATAAACAGAAGCTAGGGACACTTTTCCTCCTTGGAAATGAGAGGTCATTTTGGTGAGTCAAGAGAGCGCGCCAAGTAAAAGCTGTTATACAAGCTATGAGAATAGAAGCTTGTGAAGCGAGCCACCTACATTACAGTGATAGTGAAATGAATATTCCTACCATTCTTCTGCTCACACCAGCCAGTACAGAGGGAATGGAATTATTTTATTTGTCTACGGAAATGACAAATGCACAAGCTCATCTTCTTCAGCTGGTGGTCTGTGGCTTAAAGAAAGTGTGGGCTGCCCTTATTTAAACTTGTTGTAGTGTCAAAGTCAAAGGACCAGCAAAGAAAATCCAAAAACTTCCTGTGACTCGTAGCAAGTTTCTTAAATCTTTGCTGGTCATGACAATGTCAATAAGGGCAGTCCACACTTTGATGAAGTTTTCTTCCAGCAGTCATTAGGAATACATGTACAATGTAGTACAAATCTTCATCTCATCCAATGGCTTGAGGCAAGTAATGTACAGTACAGGATATTGAAAGCCCATTTGAATATCACTGCACTGGCGGTAGTGACAGGATCTTCCATCTATAAGTCTTGTATAAGCCCAAGGCAAACCCAGATCTTTGATTTCTCTATCACACTTGTGACTCCTGACATAACAAGAGTAAAATGTAGAAGGCTACATGGTTTTAGTAGGTTTACATACACAAGCATACATTTGAAAAAAAAATCACTGCCTCCAGCTGGTTGGCATTGATTTCTGCAGCATCATCGGTTGAGATTGCAGTTTTATTTGTATCTTCCCGCAAATTTTGAAGTCACACAGCTGTCAGTTGAACACTCTCTTTTCCTCTTCAATTTCATGTGTAGCCCATAAATCATAAATGACATAAGTATTGCACATAACAGTGAACCACTGCGAATTATCCATTTTTAATTGCATTCTGTACCTACAGCAACATTACCTATTCCAACTTTCTCTAAAGCTCACAGACAGAACTTATCACAACAGCATGCAAAGTGGACTTTACACAAGAATAAAGGTACAGGTAGATCATAATATAATTTTATTACCTTGGGCTTCTGGGAAATGAGTGGTAGGGAAAGTGGCAGTGAAGGCGAAGGTGAAAGGAGCTATTTTGGTGACAGAAGAAGGAAAAATAAAAATAATCTACAAGAATCCCGAGGCCATGGAGAGAGTGTAATTTAGAGAGTTCCAGATTTACCCTGATCTCCAGCATAGCAAGAACCTACAAAAACCTCCCCGCTTTCTCTTTATAAATAGGCTATATATATTGATCTTCCTTGCTTCAGATCTTTTCCACTCTGGACTTTTTTCTTTGAACATTTGCTCAAGCAAATAAAGATTTGTCATCAAATGAAATACAATGGTCATGTGCGCTTGCAGGATTGAATAAACCTTGCAGCAGCTGTTTTCACACAAAACACTGAGAGCAGTTCAATAAGTGACGTTAGTCATATCAGTGTGCTTCTTTCTCAGTTATGTGAAATGTGCAACCCATATGACTAACCATCACAGTTCACAGTGAAACAAACAAACCAAGCCTGAATTTACTGGAACATGTTCACTTATCTGTCAGTGTCAGCTCAACAAAGTCATTCCAGTCCTGCATGACATTAGGCAATATTTCACCCACAAACCATACATCTATTATTATGTAAAATAAAAAGAAACAGCTGAGTGAATGGCAGGTATACACATACAGTATAGAAAGGTTTTTACCCATTACTTTACCTGAAGCTTTATATTCAGTGTGTGCTGGCAAAATGTTATGGTCCTAAACTATGATCTATGTTTAACTTTAGACAAAAAACAAACCAGTGGCAACAGATAGTGACAATCTCCAGCCACCTGCATTAAGCTTGGCTTGTGACCTTTCAAATTGTGTCAGGAAAAAGAGACAACTTCCTCAGCCCCCTCTCCACGACTAGGGAGGAACACACAAATAGGACACTGTGCAAAATGGGCAGTTTCACATTTTTCTCTCTCCCTTTTACTATGCCAGTATTACCAGAGAACATTTTGCAAAGGAATACAGAGTTTTGCTGACAGTCCAAAAGTGTACAAAGTAAATCCTTCACATGGTATAGAGGGTAGTGAATGATGAATGGTAAAACTAAAACAGGTGTAACAGAAAAGGGCTTTGTGGTGATGATAACAGAAATACTTTATTCACATTAATAGCACAGCGCGAGAGCAAGCATTGGTACCAGACATCCAGAACACAAAGAATTTATAAATATTCTCATATATCCAATGGCAATTAAACCAGCTCACTATCTTAGCTCTTCTCTGAGGTTCCCAGGTGAGCATGCAGTCAACGAAATGAGAATTGCTTGTTGCACTGTAAGGGAAAACATAATACACTCACAAGTAAACAGTCCACTATCAGGCCTTCCAATCCTTCATCCACACAAACTCACACCAGCAAACAGAATGGTGGAAGCATGAGACCTGAGCCCACATCGACTGGATTTGCACAAGTTCATTTCACTGCACCGGCTTCACTCCACATAAACATACGGTAGCTCTATATACGTGAAAGCCAGCAAACGTTGACGATGGAACAATCAACCATAATGTGTTATTATACTTGATGGAATGGCAAAGAACAAAAGTAGGTATTGCAAGTATGGGTTTGGAGGGTATGATGAGTGCGGAAGGACAAATCTGAACGACCGTTACAAAAATAACCTTCACAAAGGGAACTACCACACAAATTAAGGCCACTCATAAAAAGTTCAAACTGAGCACAATGACAGCTCTACGTGATGCACTAGCTTCCATAATGGATTCAACAAAGGTAACAGTTTTCTGGCAAGTTAGTACTGAAGCCTTGACGGTGAAGAGAAAGGTACGTCAGATGGAAATAACAATTATTACACCACGGAGTAACATGCTCCTGCAGCCAAAGTTACTATTTTCTACCTGGTGCATACACTGAGAAGCGCAGGTGGTAGGAGAAACGTCTGCAAAGACGCTACATCTGGCAAGTCATTAATATGACCTGTCTATCATAGTGTTGGGGCTTTTGTCAACGGACACAGAGCTCTCACTTGAACAAAGCTTATTTGAGAATAGGCATAAAATTTCATGCCATTACTCCTGACAATACATCAATACATTCCTTCAGGAAACTAGTTATTTGATAAATAAAGAAACAGTTTATAAAATGTTTAAGATAAACAAATTCAGCGCGTACAAAGAAAGGTATTCTGGTAGCTTATTAATGTAATCTATTCTGGCAAATACAGAAACCTCAAGCACACGGAACACTCTACAAAAAAAGAAAACTTGTAAAAAAACAAGAACATTTTACTGTTTTTTAAAACACACTTTATCAGAGCGTAAACTGTGCCCACTGTTTCAAAACAAGACGACATTTTGCTTTATTTTCTCATTCAGCACCATTCACACATCTCTCTACGCAATACATTTCTTAGGGCTACCACTCATCATGAGTAATTAATCTCAGAAGGTACAAAGAAAAACTTAAGTCAAATACAGCTTGATGACCTGTAGGTGCCAGGTGATGGTGCTCAAGTACGACAATAGGAATTACTTGTTTAGTAAAATTAAATATGGTGGGGGGGGGGGGGGGGGGGCGTCGAGGGCAACAGATGTGGTTTCAAGACAGAAACAAACAAACAATAACCCAAACAAAACAACAGATCACAGCCTTCTGAACATTCACATAAAAGAAATTAGAAACAAACTCAATCATTAAACATTTTACATGAAAACAAAGACATGAAAAGTTTCCAAGCTTTTTCCCTCAGCTACAAGATTGGCATACTACATGACAAAGAGTCAATCTAAGGACTTAAGTTCACTCTGCACTCTCTTTATCCCTCCCTCCCTCTCTCTCTCTCCCTGTGTTATGACACAAGTTTGTCAAACATGAGATCTTGGTCAGACTCTGGTGCATGGTGAGATACTTTGTACCTGGCACTGACCTCTCCGACATGGTAATGAACGTGCTCAGATTCTTCTCTCAGCTCAAAACTTCGAAAGTGGTGTGTATAGAGAAGGCTCTTCGTTCATTCCTAAATTACCAGGAAGGTGAGACCACCTACAAAACTCCCACACAACTTGGAGAAGTTGTAGCACTCTCTTTTCCTTGCAGTATCAAACCACAGGGGCAGACCCCAGTTACTAGAAATAGAAATGATATCACATCAAACGGTGACGCTTACACACATAAAATCATTCACACATATAATCAATGAATGCTCAGACCAAGTATTATGCACATATGTCAAAACTGAGGCTCATGGCACTCACTCTCAGATACAACCAGATGTTCTGACAAGGAAAAGGACGGGGCCCTCGCAGATATGAGGAGGGCACAGTGTCTGTGTAAACACAAAGAGACAGGAGAGACTTCTCATGAGGGAGGACCCTGGGCTATCAGGGATATCATAGCTTTTGATGGACAGCAACACTGGGCCTTGGCTTACATCCCAAGGAGGCAAAACCCTCTGAGAAGGATAAAGACCACACCTGATCGGAACATTGGTCACGAGTCTAGAAGGCCAGTGCTTGAGTGAAAGACCTACGGTGATGGGTGTGAAGGGACCCACAGTCAAACGTGACGGGGAAAGTTCACAGCGCCACTTATGTAAGACTAAACTGTCACCACTTCAAGCAGCCCTCCCACTGACACACACGTGAACATACCGTTTTAGCACCTATAGCAAATGTCAAATGAAAAGTTGCAGCGCTGCTCGTCAGATGATTCTTTCAAAAATCATATAGGTCATTCTATAAGGATGAATAACTTCACATAGCAGAGAGGAAAGCAATGGTATCAGTTTGGCTCATCACTATGACTAGAGGATGAATGAATGTTTTCACATCTGCCATGTGTAAGATGCTTATTTATTGTGAAAGGTCAAGAATATCCGATTTCAGCACTTGACGATGACAAAAACTCTGCACACTGGCAAATGAAGGCAGGGTGAAGAATGGTGAGGAAGAAAAGGCATCAACCTAAGGGAAAGCAACTAAAAATATCACCACTTGAAAAAATCCATTCATACTTAGACATTTTCACAAAAGCTACTTTCCACTCACTCTATAAACATTTTTCTTCTGGGATCCTGAGCCAAATCTCAATCACACTGACCAAACAAACAAAACGCAACCGCGTCAAATGTTCCTAACACAATCTTCCTGATAACTGTTCTGTGCTTGCTGTCCTCCCTCGAACACTGAGGTCACCACTCCCGTGGATACTCAGGTCACCAACTGACCGACGGCTTTCCTGAAAAGTGCAAATTAACAAGGCAATGATTATTTGAGAAAATAATAAACAAAATCAAGTGCCACACCCTCTCTGATCCTAAAAAAGGAATCACAACCAAAAATCTTTGTGTGAATAATAATGAATTATATTCAAAAAGCAAACAATCACCTTTTTGTAAGGTCATGAAAAACAAAATGAAAGGCAGGAGTGAGGGAGAGACAGGCAAAACTAAAGACCTTACACTCCATAAACTTCTTTAAAAAAAAGAAAAAAAGAAAGGTACGGAAAGCTAAAAAGATATGACAACACATGAATAGCTTTGATTTAATGTGAACAAATAGTAATGTTATAGATATAACACACAATGATACGTCCTATCATTTTCACATCAGACATTAAGATACATCACCGTAACCCTCTGGCAGAGGTACCTTTCTAAACATGTGCCATAAGCAAGTTGTCAGGTTTTCAAGTAACATTTGCAGTGCTGAGCCTCTTCATACTTCACAGCTAAAGCCCTACCCATATCTACCTCTTCCATTCATTGGGGGAGGGGAGGTGCACCCTGAGTTATGTACTGTCCACTGTCACTCCCAATGCCTTGGGTGAGTCCAGTGCTTTTCAGTGTCATTCGATATGGTCATGCAAAAAGAACTAAAATCTTCCTCTGTAATCAGGTCCATAGGGTCAGTCAATAGTACACAACTAAAATAATCACAGGAGCATCTTCCAAACATTTTTCAGAAGCTCCTACAGGCATCATTCCTACTAGCAGAGCTGTGGAAGTTCTGCATCACAGACAACAACTATATAGGAAGGGAAGGACACTACCAGTAACTCAAATTTTCACTGAAGGTAATTCATGACCAAAAATAATATATTGTGTCCATTTCCTCACACACAGCGCATTACAGAACAGAACCTAAACTGCCGAACACAAGTTCACACGTAGAAAGTCAGTTGAGGTCAGCAGTCAAGTTAAACAATCTAGGTCATTGATTGAGGTCAACAGTTGAATTCAATTGGCAAGGTCAGAAGCTGAGATTCAGTCACCATCAACAGTTGAGGTCAACAGTCAAAGTTGACAACCAGGATCAAAAGCTGAAGTCAACTGCTGAACCAATAGCCATTGTCATAACAACCTTCTTATTAGGTTTTTGACAAGTTCAAAACCAGGAGTAATTTTCTTTTCAAACTGGAACACGCTACCCCTCTCAACTTCTCCTTCCTTGTTATACTCATATAATTATAACCCAATGTAGACACTGGTGAAGCTGTTGATGAAGGTAAATCAATAGCTACATGACAGTTTTTTGTCTTCAGAAACAGATTTAGACAACTGAAAGATCAAGGACAAAGAGAAGGAACAGACCACATCCAAGCACTCATCCACCCTCCACCAGAACAAAGAAAGAGATTTTTTGACAAGTTGTAGTATTCTGGGTAAAGCTTGTGGTACTCACATGCAACTTGTCGTCGTTACTGCTGATTATGTTGAGAACTGACATGGAGCTTGCTCTTTTCATACTGCCGGGAGGAAAAAAATGAGAAGGTAAGAATCGCTTTAATTTTAACCAGTGTCACATCAAACAACAATTGCATCAAGGAAATAACTTCAAATAAACTGACATTATATACAGTTGTGTAAAGAACATGGCACCACACGGGTAGAAAAGCATGCAGACTTCAGCACTGCAAAACAACAATCTTCACCAAAACAGTTCTATCATGGTACTTATATAATGTTTACAACTGTTCCAGATAATGAAAACGATACAATAAATAAAAGGATCAAAATACTTTCAGTGGAGCAAATTCACAAACATATGCCCATGAGCACCGAAAAAATCCACAAATGATTACTACATTGTACACAACTAGAATGGACACCTACTTCTCACACATTTTTTTTGCTACCATTATTTCTCTCAAGGTTTCCATGAGGCAGAGTTCATGTCACAGGCAGCAGCTACTCATGCTTCATTCTCAGGGTGCTGTTTCTACAGCGACAAAACATCTCTCATTTTTTGTCCGTGCACATGGAATCCAGCAACACACTCAAGCTCAAAACTATTAAGGCAATCTATGAGTAAGTAGTTTATGTGCCATTTCAAAATGCACATGTAGAAGACTTCTGACACACATATATAGCTTGTAAAAAAAACATACACAAGCCAAGCCAGTCGACTTGTTTCTGGTCACTGCTTAGGACTTTAAAAAACATTCGATAAGCCATCGCTTACATGCCATTTTGCGGAAGGATTGTGATCTTACAGAGCTACTGGTGAAGGAAGACCAACAGTATTCCCGACACCAGAGTAGGAACATAACGTTCCACTTTAGTGCACGGAAAATAAATATGAAAACAGTTGGGACAACCCTATAAATGAGCACAGCAACCACACAAACAAAAACCTCAACCAAACCTCTAGAGAATGAAAACAACACAATTGACTTTCTTTCAGTGAGATAGACATAAAAATTCTGTACAACTTTACCAGAATAGTTTTACAACTTAAGTGTAAACTGTAGTTTTTACCATCAAGGCTTCAAAAAGTCACCTTTTTTGCCTTGGGGAAAAAAAATAAGACTTGACCTTTAACTTTAAGGATAAAAAAGGCATAGAATAGTCTAGCAGTAAATGTATTTTTGCTCTTAAATTCATCTAATAGGGAGTGGTCTATATGGTACAGGACATGACTTAAACTGCAACTTGCTCAACATCTCTCTATACTAATAACTGGTAATAATACATGTACAATGGAACAACAACAACAAAATTACAACAGCAATTTAGAAATCGTACTGAAAAACTTTCACAGCACCAATCGTGGAAAAGCATCACTCTCATTGCCTTCACAAAGGGTGTGTGCAAAGTATTGGTTGAATGGGTTTGACTTATCACTCCGGTACTGGGTAAATATTTGCTCTAAAGAACAATTAAAGTAATTGTAAGGATGCATATGAGAAGACAAAGAAAGACAAAAGTGTAACCCTTTCAGAACGAAATGTCTGATGTCTCTGCTGCCAGCCAATATGACACTATCATGAACAAGACACTGGAAAGCTTTACAATCCCATAGGGGAATTTTCAGCCCAGTAATTCCCTATGCAATGCCTTTATTTTATCACATTTCTGCTCTTAATGCATTTATCTATAACAAGGAAGCCAAAGCTATTGTCATAAAGCTGCTACTGCAAAAAATTATTATCACTAAAAGAGAAAAAGGCGGTTTCAGAGCTCTATAAAAACAAAGATGGATACAAACTATCTCAACACAAGGATTTTTTTTAGAGGTTTTCAGAAATGTGATACCGGTAATGTAGAAATAAAACTCAAACTGAAACTTCCCATACAAGGGCGAGTACATGAATTAGGTTAATATTTTGATTACAGTAAATAAAATAACTAATTCTTGGGCAGGTGAAAAAGTGATAGAAAAAAAAATCCCTCCCAAGGGTTATCAGTACACAGCAGTATTGTATAGTATTATGAATAGGTTATGTGACAGTGCAACTAGAATAAAAAGGATATTACAACAGCCTTGTCTGTCTTTCACTCATCTACAAAACTATGTCAACTTATTCTGTAACTGAAAATATACGGTACAGCTGAACAGTTCTCTGAAGAAGTGACAACTCTGATCATCCAACTTGGTTCTCATAACACTGGCTCTAGAAGTTTTCAGTCATGCCACTGTATTTCTTGGGGAAATCTGCTCAACTTGAAATCTTTACCCAATTGAATAAGTGTGAGATGATGCTAGCAAAATAAAATTTCATTTTCCCTATGTCATCTATGAATTCTACAAATTTTTGTGCTGTTCACGACAGACTATACAAGCAGTGTTTGCTTTTACTGTCATTTGACTGGAAACTACCATTATGACGAAATTCAAGAAGTAATATTGTCATAAAATAACACACAGTGATGGATTTTTTCTGGTAGACACAATCTCATTACCTCTATGTTGACCATACAGCCATAATGAAAAAGCAAGAGATGGAAATGAAAAGACAACAAGTACATGTCAAAGAAAAAAAAAGCAGGAAACGGCAAGCTCTTCACTCGTAACTAACATCTATTCTAATCTTTGCTCACAGACACAGCTATAGGGAAAAAACCCACAACAGACATAAAACAATACTTAAATTATTTTCTCATAAAATTACAACATCTTTTAAAAGACTGAAAAGTCTTTAAGGTGTTTCAGGTTGTACGAAAATTGTATTTCAGTCTACAGGATTCTATAACAAAATGTGAAATAAAACAAAGATTTCATAATTTCATGGATAAAATTTTCAGTGACAATACTGTTACAAATACATGTATGCGACAGAAGCGAAAGCAACGAGAACAATTCAACAGAGGTCGTCTAATCTGCAATGATGAATCTGAGATAGAGAGGAGTAAAACTGAAGGAGGAACTACTAAAAGCCTTTCACAGCACTATAAAGACCATCTTTAACAGTCAAAACATGCTAAGGCATCAATCATATCTGTGCCATTTACTGACAGCTCCAAGTAGACCCGATCATCAAGAATGCAACAACGTTACATTTACTGGTCTAGATGTACAGATGGCGGTTTTGCTCCACCCACACATTTACACAGTGAGCCTCAAACATTTTATTTGATTCCTTTACTAGTACCACACGGCTGCCCATTCACAAGCTTATGTTTTTAGTAATCAGCACATAAAAAAATTAGTTATCTGGCTTAAAAATTCCTCATATGGCCGTGGATCGTCATCTTCTCTAGGGTGTTTAGGACAGGGGTTGTAGTCAAGCAAGTAAAAAAATAACGCAAACAAAGGCATGATGAAAAAACCCCCAGTTTTGACGGGCTTGTCACTGGTCGAGTAAAGAAAAAAAGGGTTGGAAAGGGGGCTGTTGTATAAAGTTTCAAACAATGATTCATTTTTTAAAAATCTCTCACTGGCCTTGGCTATCACACACAGCACAAAAAGACAGGAATATGGTAACATCTTGCCAACCATATGTTTACCTTACTTCTGAATTCCGAACTTCTGAAGTCTAATTTTGTAAGGACAAAGTGGCACTGAGCAACTACAACGGCAAAGAGGATGCTAAAGTCAGACATATGCATGTGACATGGGTAGTCCTGGTCTGGCAGTTTTTTTCCCCTTATACACTGGGAAGGTTGGCAGCGAGTTGGACTAGATCTAGCCAAAATTTTTTAAAATCTGAATCAATTATGACTGTATTTTCGTAAAATTGAAAAAAAATCGGGACGATTCTGCCAAATTGGTAATGGTGGGCAGCCCTGGTATCAATATTTTACACCCCCCATAAACACAAATTGGACCATTAAGGAGAGGAGGCGACACGGTTATCCCATGCAGGGTAGGATACAGCATCCCATCAGATACACAGACATTGAATGAAGTGATTTCCCCATAACGGTAATTCAACTCAGTCTTCTGTGTACAACAAAGAATAACCTTCTGTCACACCAGAGTTGTCAGTAGGTCAGAAACTAAAGTTTGTGGTATTTACTGGAACATTCACACACCCTTTTTTCCTTTGTTACACGGACCAAAAAGCTGTCCGACAGAGGAAACAACTGCCAAAATTTCTTTCTCCTCTGCACAACAGAAATGTTTGTTTAAGCTACAGCAACTACCAAGTTGAACCCACAGCACAAATTGGTGGACTGTTATTCTACACGTCAAAATCACAGAAATCACGCAAAAATGTTGCAGCAGTTACGGAAATCTGCCGAGTGTGTCCCACAGAAAGCCTCACTGTCCTCAGAGAAACAAAACACAAATCAGTTCCAGGAGAATGTTTAAAAAATTCAGGTTTTGTCTTCCTTAATCATAAGAATTTTAAAATCACTCACAGTAAACAGCTCCACTAATTTGAACTGCATTGACTGAGGTAAAAATTGAGGGTTCTATAACCCCAGAGCATGAAAACATGCCAAGAACATAAAAGACTTTAGAAATTTGAAAAAAAAAGTTTGTAAAAGTTAATTTGTGGTATGCACAATAAAATGCTGCATGAGTAGATTATAGTTCCTACATAGGTATATTCTATACACCCTTGACAAAAATGCTTTAAAAACAGACCCAGTTCTATTCCACAGAACTTTTGCCTACCTTCAGTTGTTCTGAGAATGATTAGCAAAAAAGAAGACACACTCCAATTACCCATACAAAACTGAGAAAAGACGAGCACAAAGTGACGCCATACACGGCACTGTCCTATAGTTCTTCAGTAAAAAGTCAAATAGTTTCAAGTCTCGGTACATTCACTGGTGTGCACAACAATGCGGTAACAGTTCAACATTTATATTATGTCAAATTTTTCCCCTAATTTTCCCACAAACACTGCTGGAAAGCCAGAATGAATTTTAGAATAACTTAAAAATTTAAGAACAAACTTAAAATCGACTTTCCTTCACTTCATTTCAGGTGGTAAAAACTATTTTACTGATTAAGTGATTGTGAGGGCTTGCATGATATATGTCATGCATGAAGTACGAGAGTTGATGTGATACTGATAATGGAGTAGGTTCAGCCACCGCCTTTTTGTAAGAACAGAAAGTCACAGGTCAAGAAAGCAAAAACAAAAAAGGTACAACAGACGGAAGTGCAAAGTAGCGTTAGGAGGGGAAATGGTGGTCCTTTTAACTGACCTTTCCAGAGGTATCCAGTTTCTGTCAAATCATTAGATAGGAGAGGATGGGAGACAAAGTGATCAGTGGAAAACAAAAAAAAAAAGGGTCAGGAGCAAATCGGATTCAAAACACACATCATGGAGCATCACCAGAAAGGCAAATACATGAAGAAAAAAAGAGAAAAAAGAACACACTAAGAAGCCAATATAAAATTAACTTGATTATTTGTGAAACTACACAAAGCGTTATTTGCGGCTTTTTTCCTATTAAACAACGGCTATTGGACTGTTGGCTCATCTTTCAAGACAAGAGTGTCACACAGAAAAAGAATGGGCAGTGAGAAAGTGGGAAGAAGGAGGAGGATTGAGAATGAGAGAGACAGAAAAAGATATTTGCAACTTAATCAGCTTTGACGTGACTGCTGTTATTACAGTGTTACATATATCATGAGACAAATCTTCAAGTCCGGTGAAGAAATATTTCATATCGAGTGCTCTTTACAAAACGGCACTTCAAAATATTCACAGCTGGTAACTGACAATTGTATAAGAGGGGGTGGGTTGAGAGGTGGGAAGGGGTGGTAGGGAAAGAGACTAGTATCATGAGGGATCATGAGTAAAAGGTGTATTCACACCATCTGCCCCACCACATCTTACTGGTATCCAGTGGGGACCACAAACAATAGGTTGCACACACTGCAGCTTAAGCCATTGGAATAGCGCCAAAGCAGCCTGATCTCATCAATGATTTGGTGATGGTGAATAAATGTATGGTCTTTTGAGGAGAAGGCAGGGTGGAGGATGAAAAAGTCAATGGTTTCACAAACCTTTCACTAGAGTAATAGCCCCGCACATGCCAATTAAGGCTACAGAAGGAAAATAAAATCATGCAATGTAAATTGAGTAGAGCAACAGAAACAACAGATCTACCAAAATGGGGCTGTTGCTACAGAGTCACTAAACAGTAACATAAACTTGGACAAGCCAGTATCTTTCGTCAGTTTTACGTCACAAAAAGTAAAATTAATCACACAAATCATATACACAATTGGAAAAATACAATCTTCATATCAACATTTTGGGCAAAAAGTCAACATACAATAACTAATCATATTATACCCCAGTCACATTGACTAAAAATACTATTCTACATCAACTCTTAAATACATTTTGAGCTTCCCATCATGACTGTAAAATTTTTTTTAAAATACCGAATATATAAATCCTGAGTGAATCCTATCCCAGCTTCCATGAGCTTTGGGTCTGCAAGGCTATTGTCCTCAATTAGGTGTCAGCCTGCTGGGGGAATTGGGGGGTGGGGAGGAAGTGATGGGCTTCATCCTCTCCAGGGAGAGACCCGGGACAGGGACCGGAGGTGTCATCCTCCATAGGGAGGGGGGGTGTCTGCTGGAGGGGTAGGTGGAGGAGGAGCAGACAGTGGGGGCCGGGAAGTGGGGGGAAGGGGGAACCTCACACTCCATGAAAGGGGTAGGACATGAGGAAGAAGAACAAAGAATAGAAGAGGGGAAGGAGAAGAAGAAGAGGGAAAAGAAGAGTCCACCCTGTCCTCTCCCCCGAACCCATTTGAGATTGAGAGTGGCACCTAAAAGGTGGGTGCCACAGGGATTGGAGGGACCTTTTTGTTTTTTGATGAAGCCTTTTCCTTGTTGACCATGGGCTATGCCAGGTTGGCCGTTGAAGTACTCGCCAACCCCGTGATCAGCCAGACTGCCTTCACATATATGAACGACCAGGGAGCAAGGCCACAACTGGTGGACAGACAGCCTTTTCAGCCTGCTGAAATGAGCAGCCATTTCATGCTTTATATTCTTGAATGGTGCGTTCTTGGAACCAAGTCAGGCACTCCTTGCTGAAGGCAGTGTACTGGCCGTGACAATTGGGACCGCAAAGACTAACCTTGCATTCCTTTTCAGGATGTCTCAGGAGGAGGGAGGGCAGAAGCAACTGCAAAGGTCCATAAGCAACTGTATAAGTCCAGTTTACCTGTTTGTTGTTTGCTCAGCTAGGTGGCAGCACCTGCTTCCGCCAGCTGAGACTTTTTTTAATGACACTTGGAGCTGGAGAAGGGTCATTGAGTCTAGAAGTTTCCATTCCATATGAGTTGGAGATGTTGGTTGGGCTCCGAGGCTCCCCATTCATCCTTAAGTCCAACAAAGGGACGCATTGCTCAAATGTCCAGAATTGTGTCAAGGCTACCCCCTAGTTATACTCTTCACAAGGGTGTACTAGACCCTCCCGTCAAGACTGACCCAAGAACAGACTGAAGGGGTTTAAGCTTCCACTTTATTGAGTGCAACCTTCCTGTCTAAGAGGAAAACATAAGTTAAAGAGGTGTATTGGTGAGGGACAGTCCGCCGACTGTTCTCACATCAACCATCATGGGCCTAATTTTCCCTCCGCACCGGTTGCACCACACGGTCAACAAGTCGCCCACTCTGTGGGGCAGACGGCCTCTAGTTTGCTGCACTTGGGGTCAGCAGTGGAGGAGAAGACAGAGGAAGGGAGTGAGAAGGAAAGAGAAGGGGAAGACACACCAGAGAAGATGTTGAGCAGAGATCCCAAAGAGTAAGGGTCCATGTGCGACACCTTGTCACTGGAGGGGATTCACCTCCTGTATATGTGACCATGGGCCTATTTGTACAAGCCCTAACACATGAAATATTTTTTAAAGATAATTTAAGAAGAGTGAAATACCTATTTATGGCAGGTATAAGACTGTCAGACTGTAAAAATATGGCCACAATTCCATCCCATTATTGATTAAGTGAGAAGTCAGCATTCTTGTATATTAAAAGTAACCAAACACTCATGCCAGTGCATTTGTGAGACCAACTATTCAATAACAGCAAGATCCTGTACAAAGGTAAACTTCTTTTTATATTTCAATGGGTTCAAAGGGGTATAAAACAGGTCCACTGCATAGTAAGTTATGAGGCAATTAAAAGTCTGACCCACATCCAAAACAACGTTGGACCGAATGGAGGCCTGGCCCTAGACTATGTAGTATCTTATTTAAAAGCAGCTCCATTCATGGCTCTCCTGTACGGTACAAAGTGTACATAATGTTTGTTAGATTTAAAACACTGTTACACTAGTGAAGATTTAGCTACCGGCTTTATACGAAGAGGCATCTTTGTAATTCAATGGACGACGTCAGCAGTGGGATCCTCGGGAACCGTAACGGACTGCAGATAGCAATAACGTGAAAATACCTCAACTTGCTAAGAAATGCCGTTATATTACTGTGTCCCAGTGTTGTTGTTGTTTGTTTTTTTAAATTTACCACCAAAGTTGATAAATAGATAATTAGTCACATTCTTTATATTCTTTTTTAAACTCTGATAGTAGAGCTGGATAAAGGAAACATAAGACTAACAAAGTGATCACGTAGAAGCAGCCCCCATATATTCTTCGGCAACCCTTTATTTAATGTTATGGATTCTGATAACTTATCTCCTAATTTTGGTCACTCTATGCCAGGATTTGGGGATGAGGGATTGGGTCCTGTCTCTCAGGACAGCATGTGGGGATCTAGAGTAGGCACCAAACCATGAACTAAAATAACGTTAAGAATAATTCACATCATCATCCTCAATATTTACTGATCTCATCATCATTATCATCGACATCATTGTAAATTTAAAATAAAAGTTTATCTTACCTTAACTTACTTATATAGGAATATCTAATGAGGAAGAGCATAAGTGTGTGGTAGGAGCTACATTGACAGAAAGGTGGCACTGGGTACAGAGTAGAAAAGACCAGAGAGTGGACTTGGAGAAGACATACAGTGGCACGAAAAAGTCAGAAGGGAATGAGTGGAGACAATACAAGACATCATCCAAAAAAATAAATAAATATCTGGGCATAGTTTGAGATGGAGGAGGAGGAGCTTCGGAAAAAAATGAGCCGTACCTTCCTCCAGTTTCACCCTCTGGGCCTTTTCCTTTCAGTTTCTGCACCAACTTGGCACTGCTGCGCTTCAATGAAGCTCTCAGTTTGGTGAAAGAACCGCTACGCCGCATCCGACCACTCTGATAGGCCATTAAAACCATGGCGGGAGAATGAGGGGATGATGATGGTGGGGGCCAGGACAAGGTGATGGCAACGACATGGATAGAGAGATGAAGAAGAACAAAAATAGAGGATAACAAAAATTCTACACTCAATTCTTTTATCGTCTAATGGCAGAAATGATTAGTGGGGAATAAAACAAAAGTTTTGATAAACCCCCGAAAAAAGAAATAAACAGACCCTGCATGCCCGACACCTTAGAGGTTGTTTTCTGTTCACCCGTTTGGGTAAAAGAGAAACGACAAGTGTAGAATAAGAAATCAACTTGATGATCAACAGGGGACAAAGTGCAAATGAAAAATAATTTCCTGATTATGTGATTGGACTCAGTAGAGTGTTACTGTAATTTAGCAATGCATTTATTAAAATCACTTGCTGTATCGACTACCATATCAACATGTTTATTTTTGTTTAAAACAGCTATTAGTAAGTTTAAAAATAACTTTATGTCTTTTATTTTATTACTTTAAAAAAAATTTACACCTGACAACAAGAACAACACAAGTATCACATTTAAAAAAAAACAAGAAACAAAGGAAAAATAAAAAACGGAATTAACCAAAGACAGCAAAAAACTGCAACAATAAGACAAAAACGAACACAGAACTGATTAATGCAAATAACAAAGCCTTCAAAAGAATTGGAAAATTACTTTTCATTGCGCCACTATGTAATCGGTACACGACAGGTAGGAACAGGGGCAGCAGGAGACTGGTGAGTGAAATATCTGTCTATTATAATTACTTATTTTGCACTTCAAAACTGTTCCATATTTTGAGCCCTGAAACCCTAGTTTCTTATTACATACCTCTTTATTTTGTCCTTTCTACCTCAACTTTTTAATTTTGTATTCCCCACATTCTGTTCTTTATTTTGTACTCTAAAACTCACAAATTAAATGCCCCAGAACCCAAAATTCAGTTTTCACACAAAGAAACAGCAACATTATGCATTATGTACTTGCATTGTGAGTAACTTAATAGAAACATCCCTAAAACAAAATATCCCCTGCACCGAGCAACACTCAAAAGAGAAAAAAAACCAAACACACTAATAAACTATAGACCAGAAAAACATTTTTTTAATGTAATAATTATTTCTTTTTTAAATTGACGATAAAAAGATAAAACTTGTATGAAACTTAAAAAACAACAACCTAGTAATAAAAAATATTCCACAACATAAACTTTTGAACAAAGAAAATGATTAGGATGCATTAACTTTTGATCAAATTACTTTTTACAAAACGAAACAGTAAGACATACATTCTACCAAGAAAACAGAAAAAAGGAATACATTCAAGACTAATTTTACACACAAAATAATAAGTTGAGTATGAGCACGGGTTTGGGAGAGGGAGACTGACAACTGGTGGTCTCTCAGTGATAACTTGACAATGTTTGAGTTAGTTCCCGCAGGCTCTACTACCACAGTTAAGGCAAAATCACTAGAGTGTATCTACAAAAGCAGAGCTACTACATAACACTTTTTCCCAACATAGCATGTACTCCACAGAGCAAAACAAATCAACTGATGTACTGGGTGGTCCCTAATGTAACACTCAATCCTCTTCCTATGCTGTCAAAAATATAGCAACCTCTCCGCGTAAGACTCTCATCATATATCACTTTTCAAAATGGCATAAGGCAGAGCCTTACACTAAGCAGTCAATAAAAATTCAGGTGCTACCTATGTTTTAAAATTCGTGCTGTTAAGTACATTTTAAAACTCGTTCTGTTAAGGAAAGACCCCACGTGGGTACTTCACTTACTTGAAGTTTGGATGAAGGAATATTGGAATGTAGGTCATCTGGTTTTGAGGAAAACATTATTTTAGCACTACTATAAGCAGTAAATTTTCCCCACAACACTGTCATCAGTAAGCCAGCTTTTGCCCCTTTATATTTAGTGGTTTTTCTTAATGACAAATGAGCAGCACATTATTAATATGGGGGGTGGTGGGAGAGGAGGAGGAGGAAGTACGGCAATCATGATCAGAGAATATGGGTAAGCAGCAAACAGAAAAATTCAAAAGTATTTACTAAAAGTGTGAAGTTAAAATGAAATGGAGTAGAAGGTAGTTTTTTGGTCATTTCTGACTGTTGCAAGTTGTTACTCCTCGCTCGCCTTTTTTAATTTCAAGCAATCTTTCAAAGGCATCCAAGTCTTGAATTTGCCCCCATAAGCTTTAAGACATTAATAGACACCAAAAATATATTTTCCCCAGAATGTTACCATATTTTCTTTTCTTTCTTTTCTTACCTTCCCACTCAGGACTAAGTACAACCCATGTTACGAAGGGGAAAAAACCCATTCAAAACGTATTCTGTTGATGACAAGAGACAACATCTCCCACCCTCTCCCTTCCCCCAAGCACTATGTTCTCCCACTGTTTAGTTTTAGTAAGTGTTTTACGGCACTTGTAACATAATAATATCCCACTGTGAATCATGGTTAGATAGTCTTCGTCGTCAGTTACAAAACCGAAAGAGAAACCCTGCATGGTATACAAAGAAAGCAGACGAAATAAAAGGTTAGCTGAAGAGAAAAAAAAGGGGATAAAAACGGGGTTTGCAGTGCAAGGAATAACTTTTCGTAAAAACGAAACCTACTGAAAAACCCAACCGAGAATAGAAAGGTGATCAGAGACTGCCAGTGTGTGAGATATTTGGAAAGTAGTTATAATGCTGAACAATCCCACAACCACATCTGCCATCAACAGCTACTACTATTTATTCAATAATAAATAAAACTCTTTATTTGACGGACTGAGCGTTGTTGAAGACACAATTAAGAAAGATTATAAATTAAAGTAATTGTCTAAGAAACCAGAGGGGTTTTTTTTAAAAACAAAAGCCCAGACAAATTATCCTTTTGAAATTCACAAATAGTCCCTTTACCCATTTTCCCCTTAGAAGAAGTACATTAGTAAAAATATTTTCTTTTTTATTCAAGCAATTAGTTTAACATTAGTAAGAAACAACTTTTAAGTTTTTCAAACTTGATAAGTCATGGCATACGAGGAAACTGACAATATATTCCTTGGTTTACCACTTAAGAAACAAAAGAGATAAGTACATATTTGATGGACACACTTATCTTTCTTTCCTTTAGAATGAGTATGTGCGTAAGAGCAAGTATTTCTTAAGCTTTCATTTGAATTTTATTTCACTCTCAATAATTAGAAAGCTCTCTTTTTTTTTTCATACAAAATCCTATGTAAATCCCTGTCTATAACAAGTATGCTTACATAAACTGGTTCTTTCTAGAATACTAGGAACAGCACACAGAAATTGACCAAAGCCCTATGAAGCAAAAGCAGAACTTCTGTAACAAAAAGGATGCAGTGATCACTGAGAGACACACCATTGGAAAGCTTTCCATCACGGTTTCAGTAATTTCTCTGTAACTCACAATCCAATTCCCCAGGTTCATTTCACTTTTTAAAGCAAAGTACTCTATCAAGCATAATTTAGTTTCCATAAAGACTGCTAACAGGCTACTACCAAACTCTTCTCTTGTTTTAACGTTGGAAGAAAACTTATTCAATAAAGTTTGCTCTGTTAAATGGGAACAGGTTTATGGTTCAGGCAAAAACCAGATATCAAAGACAAAGGGAGAGGGGGTAGTCTTGTCTCAGGGAAAGGGGGAAGGGGGCGGGGGTGGGGGGGGCGTTGGTCACACGAGGAACACAAAGCAATCAGCTCGAAATAACTGGCCCTGACTAACCTGCCAAATGTCTGTATGCAAGCTGAGCAGTTTATGGTAAAGAAAAAGGGGTATCTGATCGGCTTGGAGGAGTGGGAGGGGGTCGTGATTGGAAAGTTTCCGCTTGACGTGGAGGCATAGTGCTCATACTCACCCCATCCCCCAGCCACTGAGTTCCGTTACTCACATCGTTGCTATCGCTAGGCTCGTTGGAGTTGCGCCGGACCGCCACACGGCCCCGGTTGGAGGCCGGTGGGTTTTCAGCGCCGGCTAAATCTGGGGTAAGTTTGCCAATCTTTCCCGCAGCGGTCAATGCCTACAGAGAGCCGAGGGGGCCAAACCAAAGAGAGAAAACCCAACTTAATCCAATGCTCTACAACAGCCTGCTTGGGCATCTACAGCTTTTATGCTCATTTACTTTATGCGTTCCTACAGGCTAGGGGAATTTGGATATTATTTCTTTTTCCAAAACAAAAAGAATGCAGAACCCCCATAATGTCACATAGGGACTAAACAAAAAGGCACCAGAAGGAGGCTGGCTACATGCTCATTTCAATGTTATGGAGCATGCAAGTCTGTGCACAGATACAATGTCATATCTCAAAGCTATATAAATAATGTGGGTCTCCACTCTGTTTAATAAAGCAAAGGTAACAAACAAATCATTACAATTCTCATTCCATACACTCTGATGCCTTTAAAAAGAAAATCTAAAGGAAGAGCAAAATAAAAAACACAAGCACCATTATGCAGCCTCCAAAACAATAGCCCACCAAAAATAAAAAACGATGCTAAAGTAGAGACGCCCACTTTCAGGAATATACCTTAGTTATTGATTGGTCCCTTTAGACATGGAAAACTCACATTTGAAAAATACTGAATATACCATAACCAAGTCATGGATTATGTGAATAGAGAGAGAGAGCGAGTATAGATGCTAAAATAGATACTGATAGTGTAAAAAATAATACATATACATGTATTGGAAAGACGATTAAACAATCAAAACAAATTTTTTTTTGGAAAACACCCAAGACAAACCCATATGTTGTTGTATCACTGGTGTCCTTGAAACTTTCAAGTCATGCAAATGCAAAAGACAAGCCAAGTACTCGTGCAAGGGACAGACACAAGACTCACAAGCATTTACAGCAGTGGTATTGATGCTTTGAGCTTCTACAGTTGCAGCTAGAAATGTGTGTGCAGAAAAGTTGAAGCTCCTGATCATTATTCAAACACTAGTACATTCGAGAAGTAGGCAAAATGTTCTACTTTAAAATATTCCTACTAATTTGTGTAGAAGGCAAAAGGATTTAATTTTTTTAGGGGGG